TGCCAGGTAAAACTCCCATCAATCTCCAGTCGTAAAAAGAAACAACCAACACCTTTTTTTCTGTTGTTGTTTGTTAGGTGTTCAATGAGATAAGCTCGAGGGAAATGGAAAAGATTGATGTGTTCAAGGGGATACTAAAGAACTACGTATTCGTTGGGGTTCTAGCGTGTACAGTGGTGTTCCAAGTGATCATAATCGAGCTACTGGGTACATTTGCAGATACAACACCACTAAATTGGGGACAATGGTTCGTTAGCATCATGCTAGGGTTCCTTGGCATGCCTGTTGCTGCTGCCTTGAAGATGATCCCCGTTGGTTCACACTAAACTAAGTCAGAACATATTATATATGTGATTCCTTCCTTATTAGCTTTGAATGCTACCAATTTTTTTTTTCTCCAGCCATGGAAGTTTGATAACCTAAATGGCCCTGGAAACTTATTAGTTACTTCATTTCGGCAAATGTATTAGTGACCTGGAGGATCATCTGGTTCGTAAATATTAATGCTGTGGAACTTGTTTCTTTATCTTTTGTTCTTGTGTTGGACACCTTCACTAAAAGACTGAAACGTAACGCCTGTAATTGTAGCCTTTAGGCTGTGAATTTGGTCAAATTTTGAGGTCACTGAGGGGAGAGATCAAAATATGAACAAGTGTAGGAAGATAGTTTAGTCAATTGCAAAAGTCGATACAAGAGAAAACGAGAAGCAAAGTTATATGAGAGGATAAAGGTTGATGAGAAGAAGAAGAATAATGAATTCAAAGTATCTTGTGAATCGCATATCAAATTATATATATGTTCTTATAAAATAGGACACTAAATCTGAAACTCAGCTCAAAGTACAATTGGTCAATGGCTCTCTCAGAGCAACTCTGTTGTATCATAGGTAACATTTGACGGTCGAAAATCGATAAACGAAAAGACCTAAAAGTGATACAAAATATAATGAAGGGACCAATAATCATAACATGAAATAGCAAATGGTATAAAATCGACAACAACAACAACAACTCAGCAGATGAGTTTGCAGAGCTTCAAAATCAATTTATGAAACCATCATTCATCCTCCACCGTCGCTGCATAATGCCCAACGTTCATATTCTGCATCACAGATGGAAACACATTATATATATTTTTTTTACACAACAAAATGTCTTGAGAAGAAAATCAATCAATCACAAATTTATAATACCTTAGCTAACATTCGCTGCTTGTTCAAGAATTGCGTCCTTGCCTTGTTGAGAGCTGAGTTTGCTGATTTAAACAACCTCTGCAACAAACAAAATAATAGCAAATTCAGTTTTGTTAAACACAAGTCGGTTCAATGGGGATGAAAACATAAAATTGCAGTCAGATGCATATTTCTAGAATGCATAGTCAAAAATCAAACCTTTTCGTCACTAGACTCTCGTCTACTACTCTTCTTTGGAGTGAAATCAAACACATCATGAAGGAATTCATTCTCCTGCATATGCTTGATAAAGCCACCCCCAAGGAAGTGCTTCAAAAAGTTCAACTGTTGAAAAGACAACATGTATATATCTCAAGTTAAAACACAGTCACAAGAGAAAGATTTAGAAAAAAAAAAATGCTATACAGATTGAGACAAACCTGTATCATCTGATACCACGTTGACGTCTGTAAAGAGTCCCCTCCAACCTTTGTAGAGGTTTCAGGAGCGTATCCACCCTAATCATAATCAAATCAAATCATATTTAAAAATCCGACCAGAAGTGTATAATAAACCTCATCAGGAGCAATGATTATAGATAGAAAAAAAAAGAGTAGAAAAGGGATACCTCAAAAAACTCAACAAGATCTTTGAACAAATTTCGTTGGGTGTTGAGATCTTTCTTAGCAGAGCCTTTACCACCTGCCTCTACAGAGAGGTCTCTAACTTGATTAGTGATTTTAGATTTCAAGCCAAGCATGTGCATCAGTGCCTCCTGAGACGCACTTCCTTCTTTCACTGTTGTTCCATTATCAGCAGACGCTTTGGCTTCGGCAGCAAACTTCTCTAGAGTTCCCAACTCAAACATAAGAGCAAGCGCTTCACCAGCAGCTATACGTACAGATCGGTCATCCTTTTCCAATAGTGTGGAGAGATAAGTTACGACCCTGCAACGACATCAACATTCAAATCAGCTTATATATCCATTAATAAGTGACAAGTAGATCAAATAAATCCCCAAAGCTCCACTTACTCTTGCCAATTTTTAGGACCTAAGGTCCATCGATCAACTGTTGTGAGCAGAAACGCCCAGGAAGAGACAGCAGCAGTTATTACAGCAGGTGGATGTTTGGTTGCAACAACCTACACAAAATGCCAACTTACATGAAGCAAACTACTTTCTTAATAAACCAAATTAGCAAGACCTGTAGGATGAGAAAAGAGTATGATGCATACATTGGAACCCAGTTTGGGGTTAATCATTTGCCAGATCATTTGCATAGATCTCTCGGTTTGCTCTGCACTGTTTCCACCAACAAAGGTTATGACTGCCAAACACTCAAGAATCTGCAATGAAATAGCAGAGCATCAACATCCGCCAACCCAAGATACCAAACAAATTAACAAATTCTCAAACCATCATCCATACCGAAGTTATTTTCAAGGCTTCACGGGCAGATTTAAGGGCCTGAGAAAGAGGAGTAACGGATTCTTCCAGAATCTCTTGTGCTTGATCACTGAGTCCAACAGTCAATGCTAGCAACCCTGCAAACACCACCGTTAACTGTTAGTATGACTCGATAAAAAGAAGATGATGCATATATTGTCTGTTACCCGGGGACTAACCAATAACATGTGATGCTAATGCGGTCTCCTTAGTGGATCCTTTCTTGGTGCAGTTTAAGCACTGATGCAATAAAGTGGCAAACCTGGATCGTTCAGAAGAAACATTAGTAGACAATAATCACACTTGGTTCTGTATGATGGATGATTAACTATAAAAGTATCAGATAGTTACTTCTTTTCCACAAACTCATGCTGCAAGTCGCTGTTGAATGCGTCAACAATAGAGGCCAAAGCTTGCTCTCTCGTTGAACTCCTTCACATCCAGAAACGGAATCAAAACATCAGTTTCGCATCAAAATCAAGCACAGGCATGTTAAAAACTCGGTCTGGGACAAGTAAGCAAACCTTTTCTCATAGAGAGCATCAAGGGATTGATCCAACAAAACATCTTTATGAACCTGAACGTCATCCATGCCGGGCCTCTCAGATTGCATGGTGGAAGAAGAGCTTACACTACTTGCATCATCGTCACTATCAAACAAATCCATCGCGGCGTTCTTACGTTGAGCTTCTGCAATTGAGATAAGTGAATCTTAGTTTCCTATATCAAATCAAATCAACTTCCCAACCACACCAAGAATCGAAACTAGTATAATTTCCACAATTTCTAAAGCACTTGACGAAACTAAATCAGTTATAACAGAGATTTATAAGTAGATAAATAAACCGAAAGAGGAAACGCAATTCGAACCCTTAAACAAAGAATATCCAGGTGAAACAGAACTAAATTCTCTATCAATAAGATTAAAAAAAAGTCGAGAACAAAGAAGCTTACTCATAGCCATGATATTCACAAATTCGTTGAATACGCACAGAGTTATGGGAAACTAGAGTTTTTCTCTTTAGGTTTTTATTGATTCTCAAATAGAAGCAAAGTGTTTCTCTTCACAATCGAAGAGGTCACGTTTTATATAAACAGCAAAATCCATTAGGATTTGGAGAACGCATTCCAGGAAAAAGGAAACCACTTGGGAAAAAAAAAAGGAAAATTCTCAATTTCTCAATTACTCAATTACTCAATTTCTCAATCCAGGTAAAAATAAACTAAATCTAGTCAATAAGATTCAAAATTGAGAAGAGAAGCTTACTCCTCCCCATGGTTATCGTCTTGTCGGGCTGAAGCTGATTCTTTGCGGAAATTATAAAAGCGTCAAAAGGGCTTACAGAGAAACTGAAAGCTAGAAGGATTACGATGGAAAACAACTGAAGAAGAAGGAGAAGAAGAAGAGGGAATCGAAGCACGAAAACTACAAAAGAAGAGCAACAAACGTCTGGAGGAGAAATGAGATCGGAGAGGCGATATATCCATTAAAGAGCGAATTTTGATTTTTGGGGGTTGGGAGAGAGAGGTTGAGAGAGAGTTTGAGACTTTCGTCTTGTCCAAAGGAAGAAACGTGAGGAGGAAAGTGTTGAGATTTATATATAAGAGAGAGGCGTCGAGGACTCGACTCGGTGAAACCGAAGAAGAAGAATCAACCCCATTCCGAATATGCTCTCACACGTGGCTCATCTTTCACCGTTGGATTCTGACTTGCCGACGTGACTGATTCATTTTCTTTTACTCTAATTTCATATACTTCCTTTTCTTTCTTGTGTAAAATGCTTTACATCTTGTCTTATGTAGAGTTCTCTAGTTTCAGTTTATTTAGTTTTATACAACTTACGTTTATTTCTTTTTTATACAACTTTTTGATTGAGGAGAGCATTCACCACAAAAAAATTATACAAGAAAACATTGAAATGTCATTATTAATAAGTTATCTTTTTTTTTTGACATCATTAATAAGTCATCTTAATATTTAAAAAAATGGAAAAGAGTGAAGTTTGACCCCTCTTCTTATGTAGACCTCACAAACCGTGTAATGCTTGGAGAATCGTTATCTACCCATTCGTATTTGTTTTATGCTATGTTTTATTATTGCAACTAGTAGCCATTACAATTGACGCAACTGAAAAGGAATCCTTCTTTTTCAAGTGCGAAGTGAGTTTAATTGGAATGTTACTACTGTGGCATTTGCATATATATGTATTAATCTATATAAAACCAAAAGGGAAGTGATAGTTTCTTCTTTTAATTACCAGAAACAAGCATTACATTCAAATAGGGGTATTGATTTTGTAATAACTAAATTTGTTTCCCGTATCCAAAAGCAAAAAAGACCCAGCCGAAAACCTTATTATGCTTTTGTTATTTTCTTTACCACTAGAAACCAGAAACACTAGCAATGTGTTTCTTCATAGCTCTATCTTTATGATTATGATTTCTTCCTCCACCACCTCCTCTTCGTCCCCTTCCTCGACCCCTTCCTCCTCCATTCTCCGCCTCTGTATTAACCTCTGAGTTGTTATTACTATTCTCACTAGTTTTCTCTTGCGGTTGCTCTCTGTTAGACTCTCTCGCCATTCCTCGCCCTCTTCCTCTTCCTCTACCGTTTCTTCCACTCTCTCTTCCACCGCCTGCGTTCACGTTCATATTAGGCTGACCCTTTTCATCTCTCTGTCCCTGATACTCTGTCAGCTTCCTAACCGCCCCGAGAGGAAGGTTTCCTCCACGTCCCAAGCCAAGTATCATATCTCCCTGAGCTTCATTTACCAGTGAAGCTTCGTTTGCGTTTGCAACCGCAACTGCGCCTGCAACCTTGTAACTGTAGTTCTTACCATCTTTCACATAGAATTGAGGAGTCTTTCTGCTTCCCCACTTTGAAGCAGCAGAGGGTTCAGATCCTGCCGAGTCAGCTCTGTTACCAAATGCCTCGCTTTCTCCGGTAGCTGATTCCCCAACGCTGAAACCCAGATCATCAAAAGAATCATCGTATTCATCGTCATATTCGTATTGTGCAAGTAAAGCCGCATTTCTCTCTCTGTCAGTTTCTTTTCTTGCATCGAGGATTTTGTAGCTTGGAGCATCATCCTTTGGCTTTCTGACAAATCTGCCAACCGTTGTAGATGAGGCTGATGAAGCCGGAAGCGAGGGACGTGTGATCGGTTGCTCCGTGTAGATACCAGAGCTACTAGTGTCAGATTCGATTAGCTTTCCTTTGCCTTTGTCTTTGTTTCTAATAACTGGAGCAGATTTAGGCTGTGGCATCGTCTCCATTGAAGAATCCAATCGCTGCAAATCCTCATGCAATGTTCCTTCAAGAATCCTCTGTATAACTTCTTCTGGATTCTGGTTATAGGCTTCAAGACACGCAGCTAAGAAACCATTCCCATAGTCAGGGAATATGTCTTTTATTTGACTGATCTTGGATTGCATCACTACAGCATTTTCATCAATAAGCTCTTTGGTGTTTCCACCATCAGTTAGAAGAAGCGGGGACTCTGTGTCTGCAGAATGCATCATGATCATTGACAAATATTGAAGTTGCTCATCTTCCATTGATACCCATCCTGCATAGAGACCAATAACATACTGCTTCAGACCATACTGTTTATATAACTCGTGGCATTAAGAAATCACACCTCATATGTTTACAAAAAAACTTGCTTTTGCAGAAGCTTATGCATTAATTGCACTAGCTAACAGGGGAGCTAATACGATGCTTATTTCACCTTCAGTGAACTCCACGATCTATCCTAACAGAGCATACATACTAAAGACTTGAACCGACTTTGACATGAAAAATCAGGTAACAGCCGTGCAAGAACATACCTGCATTCTGTAAACTCCTCAGTCTATCAATGATTCTGTAACTCTTCTCAATCTTTTGGAGTAATCGGTTCTTTCTTTCCAGTGACTGCTCAGAAACTCCACTGATCTCCCTGAATGTTTGGATCAGTATGTCTGCCCTTATCATAGGCTCATCTACTCTTGATGGGAACATCTTTGTGACAGCTGGAACAGAAGTTTCGTGTTCGGAAAAAGCATTGCTGAGATAACAGATATCTAAGATTTTCCAACATAAACTTGCTATCCTTGTTGACAACAAGTTTAAACTCGTTGAAATGTCTGCAAGAGAATCATGGTCTCCATCCTTGAACAAGACCTGAAAGCCACGATGAAGTGATGGAAGCAATGAATCATGCAACCGAACAAGGCTGAATAGAAGCTCATCACTCCCATAACTGCACAGATGGATTTAGGTTCTGATCAGAAAACAAGCACAAGCAAAATATAGACCACTGCTAAAAACTAAAGTTCCACTTCGAATACTATTTTTCCATAAAGAGAGAACCTGATAATGCAATATAATAAAAACCCGACAACAGATGATTGTGTTAATGAATACTGTGTTATAGATGCAAATTTCGGGGTGACTACTCAGAGTACATTTAAAAGTGTTTCTCTGGCCTGTAAAATTGAAAGATTTGAACAGGAGATGGTGCATACCTTGTTTCAACAGGGCATGCCAAGATCACAGCTGCTGGTTTATAAGCAGAAATGAAAGCATCCAAAGACACAACTCCATCATTAATGAAGTCCATTACCTATCAGATAGAAAGAAACATTAGCACAGATGCATCATATGCCTTCACAGTATTAATAAACAAAATATTTTGCTGCATGTTGAATATAGAAGAACACAACAGGGGAAGAAACTGTCTGGCATTATATATTGTATAGCCGACTGCGCTAGTGCGTGCAGACTTACATTTTGCTTATGTAAATGTGCGGAAAGCATTACAAAAGATGAAAGATATTAAAAAGAAATTTGTTAATGCCTATTCATGAAACAAGCTCATCTTTCCTTAACCCAGAATAATGGGTTCATGTATATGTCCTACGTAACAAAGAAAACCTTATCAGGCTATAGATAAAATATTTTGAAAGATAAAAATCTACACAGCCAAATCATCTCCGCATCAAGCTTATCTACATGTAACCATTAAAAAGATTCACAACTGGCAAAATTTTACCTTTTTTGCTTCCACATTTATGTCTTTAAGAAGTGATTTCAGTTTCTATTTTCCCAAGGAAATAAACCATGTTGTTTATATCCCAAATGCCAATGTTGATAGTTTCAGTTTTTAACCAAACAGGGAACAATGTATCAATTACTTCCTAAACTCTGCCACTGAGAGTGAAAAACAAGAAAAGCACCACAGCACCGGGAACTTAAATGCTACTACTAGCTAGCCTCATGTGCCAACAAAAGCAAATGCTAAATCGTAACATTGTAAAAGCAATGTAACAACAGAGAAAAGGAGGAAATTCACCTCTAAAAGGTCAGAATGGAGTTGTCTGTGTCCATTGTCTTCACTGGTTGCACTCGACAACAAGGTCTGCCGATAAAAAAAGTTGAATAGAAATATAGATCCAAGGGAAAGTTGGAAAAAAAAAATGTTAAATTCAACACTTGATGTGATCTTGTTATCTTAAACTTGATATGTATGAATATACATATACGAGTAGTTAAGGTTCTGAAATCAAGTATGAATAACACACCTCCAAAGATGAGGTGCAACGGCGATGCATTGTGTGCAGAATGCCCAAGAAATGAGACAACATCATATTCAAATTATCAGGAATCCCGATTTGCAATTTCACAGCGTTCTCAATCTGGAAAATGGACAACTAGATTAGTAAAAGAAAAGAACATTATCTCAGCTTTAACATACAGCGGAAAGTAGGAATCTTAGGCCAAATATGCACAGATATAAGAGATTATCTCAGCTTTCAGACCACTTTAAATTTCCTGGAATGACTTACTAAAGATTTTGTGAGCTCTGCATTCTCATGTCCATATATAGCGCAAATATCCAATAGCTTTGGCAAGTCCAGTAACTTCTTGTCCTGCAAGAGAACTACAAACAAAACTGGTGAACAGCTGTAAGCTAGAAAACAATGCAAGTACCGCAAGACACGTCAGGTTTAACGAAAAGCCTAACGAAGAAGATATTTAAGAATCAGGAACTAGAACTCAAATTTACTGCAATAACGAACTCATTTAATCCTAGAAAGTCTTGATCGATGAGAGGACTTATCGCAATGCCTACTTCTCACAATCAATCCCAATTTATACAAAAGGAACCAAATGTTCTACTGCTAGAATTATCTAACCCAGCCAAAAGGCTAGCCAAGTCTAGTTACCATTGGGAATTCTCAATCTTTCATTCCATGTTCAATTTATTTATTTGAGAACGAAAACAATTAGCAAAGAGAAAGAGCAAAAGGCCACCTTCATGATCTTTCTGACTGAGGCTATCAGCAGCTCTAGCACCGGGATCCCTATTGGAGGATCTGCCACAAACCAATATACAAACTCCTCAACTCACAAGACCCAAAAAAGAATTAAAAACTAGGAATTGTCATAGAAGTTCTGAAATGTTGTTGCAAAAAGACTATTCGACATAAATGGTAAAGAGAGTCCCAGATGGCAGAGAAACTCACATTCTATACAAGACCATGAAAATACGGCGGCATAATTCGACTTCTCCAACGATTACGCCGGCAACGATTCCCTTGACACCATGAAAAGGGAAATCATACCACCTGCTTCTAAACTGCAAGAAGCTATCCAGAAACTCGTGCAACGATCCATCACTAGCCACTGTCATTCATCAACACAAGTAACATGAGACCACTGAAATCGCAGACATTATCAACCAGAAATTATCATAACTCAATTGACCTTGTCTCCAAAACTCTCTAGGATTGAGCTTGAGCAGCCTAGTAAGCTCTCTATTGAGGAGATCCACGACTCCCTGAGACTCCACTGGATCCAAACCTCCATCCTCGGGGCTAAGACCAGCAGCTATGGCCTCGTCCTGCGGCAAGTAATTCACGAAACTCCCACCGCCTTGAGCCGGACTTTTGCTGGGCACCCACTGCCCCTGATCCCCCATCCTGACCCTACTACCACCCGGAGCAGAGCCCCTAGAAGTCGCGGTGGATGAATCCGATTGCCTAAGCGAAGAGGAGAGCGAAACGGGAAAAGGGGTAGAAGCAGATGATGTAGGACTTGGATTCAAGGGTTTGGGAACAAACTTCTGCTGTCCCTTGGGGATGTATCTGGCGTTCTCATCTTCCCGGTTTGAGCGTCGGTGAGACATAATTGTTATCGGCGATGATGGGAGAAACGAGAAGCTTCGGGGATTGAAATTCAGACGACGAGGCGGGAGGGAGTGGACAAAAGGCGCAGCCGCAGATATACGCCGTCATTCAATTTACACACATAATAAACGATTGGGATTCCTTGAAACAGCGTTTTCGTTTGCGTTTGCGTTATATCGCGTTTGATAATTAATCGCAACTAATCGCAAAGCGTGTATATATACCCACAAAACCTGACCATAATATTGACTTTTATCTACAGGAAGATGCAAAGCTTAAACAAAACAGCAACAGCTAATTAATAGATTTGCACAATTCTACACTTTGGTTCCCTCAAAAGGGAGAAAGAAAGAGTGAGATTACACTGGTAAGTAACTGGTTCATTTACAAAGTGATTTAGAACTATCTTAAGCACAAAAAAAACAATGAGAGCCTTCATTTACGACGACGGTATATATGTCACGAGTTTGATTCCTTGGGCAAAACCAAACCGATCAAGCATTCAGAGGAACTCGGGGAAACCGAAAGCAACGAACATATCTCTTGCGAGTAGGGAAGAATGAAGAGATGCCTTGCCCATATGGGACTTGCTGCGGGGATCCTTATCACTCCTGCACAATCTCTCTGCTTCAAGTATGATATGAAATCTTGGAGCTGCCACAGAGAGTGAGTTTAAAAAGAGTTAATATTATCACACCAGGAAGATAAAATGGCGCTACCTAGGTTTAATTGATGCACGGTTTCAAAAAGTTGATCACATACCCCTTTACGATCGTTGAAAGTTGCCGGAATTAACTGACAAACCTCTCTCTGCAAAACAACAAAGCTTGCAGTCAGTAATTTTGTACATGGAAGAGAACCTAGTGCATGGAATTCGAAACTCACTCTGTGTGGCTGTGTATTCGTAAAAGTAGATTTTACATTCTTCATATCCGTGCGCTTGGTCATATCCAATTTAACTGGCCATCTGCAGCAAGTGAAAAAGACAGGAAAGGAATGTTCATTCTTGTAGCACATCACTTGATTATTTATAGAGAAAGACACAATTTAAACACAAGGCAGCAAATAAGTCTGAGGTGTTGTCACTCACTGCACAGGCTCTGAAGAACCGTTGATATATTTGCAAATGTCTGATTCCAATCTCTGTGCAATGATCGTGGAGTAATGAACTCCACTTTTGGACAAAGCACCCTGCCAATGGTGCTCTATGTTCTGCTTGGAAGCCTCCGGTCCAGAAAACTGTCTGACCATTGGAGGTAAGGATGGGGGCGACGGTGGAGAACCAGGAGGAGGAGGAACTAGAGGCGGGTGTGAGTGAGGCAAAGGAGGTGGGTGTGACTGAGGTAAAGGAGGTGGTAGGGCTTGAGGAGGAGGCGGCATTATTTCTGGTGGTGGTGGTGGATGTGTTGCGGAGGGTAATGAATGTCCTAAAGGCGGAGGTGGATACACCTGATCAAAATGCTGAACTTGAGGTCCTTGTGCCTGAGAGACTGGAGGCACGGGAGGTGGCATCAATGGAGCTGAAACATACTGCGGTGGAGGTCCTTGAGTCTGTGATGATGTTGCTATTGCATTAGCACTAGGAGAGATGTGGTGGCCTTGAGATCTTGAATCCCATGAGCTGTTTGGAGGAGGGTAAATGGGTTGTTGAGCAAACGGAGATGGGGGAATTTGAGATGTCGGTGTAGCAGGCTGTCCTGGAGCTGGCATGGCCACACATGAAGGATTTCCTGAGACTGAGGAACGGTGGTCTTAACATCTTAAATTCATACACAAATATTTTCTGTCACAAGTGAAAAAACATTCATGATTCAGGAGAGATAAGAGACAAAACTAACCACCTTGTGTAGGATGCACAAGAGTGCCACCAGAAGCAGGCCACTTTTGCTGAAAGGTAGATCCAGGAGGTACAGAATTACAGCGGTTATCCGTACTCATTAAGGGGGACACATATTCCCCTGATCCACTATCCGGTTTTGATGTGGAAGGTACTTGAAGGTGCCTCTCTGGATGACTGGTCAGAGAGAAACAAACGTCCACGTCAAACCAAGGAAACAAACAAAATAACACCAAGTGCATAACTATATAAAAATCAGGACGCTTGCAAGCGTGTGAGAAGATAACAAGTCTAAAAGAATTTAATTATCACTATAAACGTCAGCATAGCTCAGAAGAAGCAGAGACAAACCTTGCTCCATCTTCATGAGGCACAGGATGATTGATTGATGCCAAGTGAAATTTACTCTTTTCTCCGCGAAAAAACCTGAGATGGGCCATAACAATGGCAGCATCATCAGGTGTATCAAACTCCATCAGAAGGGCATGTTCATAGTACAGGTCAGTCACCATGCGAGGTCCCTTATAAAGGGCTTGCCGTGACTCATGGACAATTTCATCCCTCTCCCACTGGCTAGAGATGCTTCCTATATACAAGTGAGTACAATAACCATACGCCACCCCATTCAACGATCCCCTTGCACCAACTCCTATATCCATAAATTTAACGCGCCAAGGGAATTGCGCTCGCAGGTATTCACGAGCTCTGATTGCATCAACTATACTTCTATACTCAGCTAGGGCAAATCCTTTCACTGGATCAAAAAAGAAACGGTCCACTGGGCCGTACCTATCAAGCTGAAACCTTAGATGACCTTCAGTTTCATCTGGTCCTAAATACCCTAACCACAGCTGCCTTGAAGCCGGGAAAATGTCATATGCAGAGGGGTCCCCATCCAAATACCAAACGATTTGTCCTGATAAAGGGCCTACCGGTGCTGCTTGATAAGCAGGTGATCCTGCAAGAACGAAATTGTTCCTACCATCTGAAGGCACTCTTGCAGAAGGAGATGGTGTCTGATGGTTTATAAATCCCCTAGGGACTGAAGATCTACCGCATGACAAGTCTCTCTGGTCAACAGTATCAAAATCCATGGATCGTGAACCTCCAGCATCATAAACAGATCCAGCACTAGAGCGGACATCATTTTCTGCAGAACTGTGAGGTTTCACATTGGAAGCTGAAAATTTCCCATAATCATCCTCGTCATTCTCCATTTGACAATCTTCTAACTTGACATCTTTTCCAATAAACTCAAAGATTCCCTCTAGAGAAGGAATAGCACTGGATATATCCATGAAGGATGACAGGCTGCATATTTTCTTATACTTAAAGAAGGCCCACCTACCAATAGAGGGACTCTTCCTAAGAACCTGCATGAAGGATTTATGACACTATCAGATTTTTAGTAGTATACACCCATTAAACTTTAGCCAATCTCAGAAATGAGTAAGAAAAAGAGAAAGCGAATGAAATGAGTGACACGGTTGATACACAATACAGGGAATCGTCATAACTAAAGCCCTACACAAATAAGAAAAAAAAATGCAACGTAATTGATTCTACACTACACGGAGTATTGTATTACCATTCCTAACAAGCAGCTCTTTAGACTGTTGGATGCTTCTGGGATCGCACTCATCCCTTCCTCATTCTTAACAGTAACCTCGGTTTTGTTAGAACCTGTCTGACCAGAATTCTCTTCTGCTTCAGGTTCATTACTAGCGCCATCAATATCATCAATCTTATATGTCATATGAGTAATGAGATACCTCCCCGTGGCTACATCCTCCGTTGATGACGAATTGAAGAATCCAAAACAAGTGGCAATCGAATTTTTAGGGAAATTGAAAAATACTTTCAGCAAAGCTAAAACACGGAACTGGGATAGTTTGACCAAAGGTAACAAGTTTCCATCTGAGAGTTTTTGCATCAGCTGGGCAAATACTTCATCAGGATCTTGCACCTTGAAATCGCTCTTCTCAACTATCTGGAAGATATCTTTGTCTTCAAAGGACAGCACAAAGAAGGCTAACACATTTCTGAACACAGCACAGCAGATATCCCGAGCCCCTGGGGATGATGTTGTATTTGAAGAAGCAGCAGAACATAGGTCAACAAGACCAAATATGCAGGCTTTAGCAGTTTGAAAAGCAACACCATCAGCATCTTGTCCTCTCTTTAGTGCTTCTAAGCTGAAGTTATGCATGTCGATGACAGCTTGCACTGAATCGCCGACAGCATTAGGGCAGTACAGTGCATATCGAGGAACAAGATCAGCCACAAGACGCTTAACACTAGTACAACCTGCAAGTATAAGAAACTAACCAAATCATTACTCCAACAAACTTCATTCTGGTGACTCTATGAGATGTACTTGAGAAATGTGGCATCCTTTGTTTAAATTAGGTGTAAATTTCACACATAGAAAGCTGAAAATTCCGGTGGTCTACCGGAAATTCTACCTTCAGGACTAAAGTTTTGCAATTGTCATACGTTCCGCTAGTTTTCCTCTCATAGAATGAATTCCACATAACTACAGACCACAACTTACATATGAATGGAACAAAAAAGTGAAAGAGCAGGCCTAGTTCGAGAATTGCGAAGTAAATATAACAATGAGTACTGATACTTTTCGGCATTGGCATACATAAGAAATCTATGGAAGGGGCGACATCAAATGAAAGGAACACATGAGAGCTAACGCAGTGTGAATAGGGCAACACAGAGACCCCCTAACCAGCATATACATGGCTTTATCAAGCTTCCAGATTAGTTGAAACATCCTAATTCGAGCCAGGAGACACTAGAACAATAACTTTTGTGATATCCTAAACTACAAATACACAGTTAAGTGTAGCGTACTCAGGAACAGCAATATCGGACTCTACCAAAAGGCATGTTAAAGAGATTTTACTTTTGAATTCACATTTGTAGCTAAGAGAATGAATCTAACACATCTTATTCTTCTGCTCTACAACTAAAGAGTTCAGACCCAAAAGGCAGTGGATTGTAACGAACTCACTAGAAAAGGTTGAATATTTCGGCTCCTGACCCTAATCTTCACGCAATTCAATTAAGAAAAGCCGACTAGAAAGTATTCTTTCTCCTGTGAGGATATCTAAAACCACATAACTCAAACGCTACAAACAAACAAAAATCGAACTTCACCAACTCCGAAAAATGGCAGATTTAATCATCCATTCGGTAAAACTGAATCGAACGGAAGAGACAATAAAAAAGAAAGAGGGATAAGAATGCGAGGAAAGCAAACCTCTAGAGGCAGAGATGAGGGAGCGATACGCTTGCTCAAGACTAGCAGAGCGCCTGCTATCTCTCTGACCAATACAAGATTTGAGACGCTTATAACACTCATGCACTCTTCGAATCTCTTCTCTGTTCCTGCTTCTGGTTTGAATCTCCTCCTGAGATGGAGGCGGCGGCGTCACCGGAGCGGGGAACGAGCTCACGAGCGTAGAAGGGGATGCGGATTCTACTTGCGGTGGCGGAGGCTGCGATTCAGGGATTGTCTCATACAGCCGACGCTTCTTAATAGGCTGCTCGGCACAAGCCATGGCAGCGATGGAGAGGAAAGAGAGAGAATCGCACTTGCTATGTTCACTTTCTTCTTCCCTTCTTTGTTAGTGTTTACGACCCTCTACCTAGCAGAGAGGCTCCACGGTGGCGATCAGAATTCAGATCACGATACGATTTGGTTCGACTCAACCGAACACCCTTTTTTAAACATCAAACCGAACCGAAATTAGAATGTTCATAAAACCATTTAAAACCGAACCGAAATTAGATTTGTTATGTACTCCCTCTCGTCCCATATTATAAGCTGTCGGGCAAAAATGAATCTGAAAAAAAGTGGATGTATCTGGATGGAATCTGAAACATAAATTCAGTCCAGATACATCTACTTTTTTTTCAGATTCATTTTGCCCAACAGCTTATAATATGGGACAGAGGGAGTATGGTTGCACGGAAGCTTCGTCCGAGAATCGCTTCCCGCTTCAGAATCAGAATCGGAATCAGAAGCTTTCGGAAGCTTTCGGAAGCTCGCTTCCATGACGCTTCCTAAAATACCCCTATAAAAATATTTTGGAAGCCTGCAATTCCGTTTTAAAAATATGATATCTTTTGAATATTTTTATATCTTTATGATTTTATAAATTTTACAAAAATGAAAAATTAATATACCATGTATTTAATTTGGCATTCACAAATTAAAGACTATTTTTCATCTATTATTTATACAAAAAAAATGTTTAGAAAGATATTACAAATAAAATGAGAATAATTCTTTTGATTAGAAAAAATACGATTTCAATTTGTGATTTTTTTTAATAACATAGATATAAGATTATTTTACATGGAGTTAGAGAATAACAAAATAAGAAATTAAAATTGGTTTTTGATTTGAATTATTTTTAATTATTATTAATTGAGTTATATAAAATTGATATATTTGATTTATGCTATATACATATATATGTATATATATATATATATAGACGCTTCCAACACGTACCCACTTCCTAAGTTTTTTAAAAATATCGTTTTTGCGCTTCTAAACGCTTCCGCTTCTTCTGATTCCATGCAGTTTAGGTTTTTAGACATAGGAAAAACCTAAACAATGTTGAGATAATGATGAAGATTGATGACTATAAAAATCTCTTCTTCATCGACATTAGGTGTCTATGTTTCATTTGCTAGAAGTTTCTATATATAGGGCACTCTTTTATTGTAAAATTCATTCCACTACCAACAAAAGAAACTTCACCACTTACTCTCTCTCTCCCAAACTCTCATCTCCCACGTGTGTCTCTGGTCCCACATTTTCTTTTTTTATAATATTAGTTTTACAACACGTTATCAGCACGATTGCCTCTATACCTATATCTGTCTAGATCTATTCTTATCCGAGAGGTAAGCCTAAATTCTGTCCAAATTTATTTAAAATTATTATTTTGTCTATTCTGCCGGGAAGCTAGGCTATGCCTACTCCGAGCTGATCGTCATGGATGGCTCTGCCTCCTCGATCAAATAAATCTCTTAAAGCCGGGAAGCTAGGCTCTGCCTACTCCGAGCAAATGATCACATGGTAGACTATGTCTCCTCAGATCATATATATGGAGTGGTAGGGAAATCCTCCTCCGGAGTTGATGGTGAAAACCTCCTCTATGTAGCGGAGTTGATGACTATGTCTCCTCCCAGATCTAAATTTCTGTCTTTCAATTTATGCTTTCAATTTTGTTATTCTGTTTAAAGTTTTCAAAAGAATTCAGTGGCCCTGATGGTGCCACGATTTGAGATTAAGGATGGAGATACTTGTCTAGCAGACAGTGCTACGACACATACAATACTCAAAGATAAGAAGTATTTCTCCTATCTCAAAATGAAAGACTCCGCTGAAAGCGTGAGTACTATATGCGGTAGTGCAAAGATAATACTTGGCTCTGGGAGTGCAAGTTTTTCATTGCCAAGGGGAACGAAATTTGAAGTGCGAGATGCACTATATTCCCCGGAGTCTCACCGGAACTTATTAAGTTTCCGAGATATCCGCAAAAATGGATATCATATTGAGACTATAAACAAAAATGGCATTGAATATCTTTGCATTACAACGGAGAGGAAACAAACATTGGAAGAATTACCAATGATGTCCTCTGGTTTATATTGCACAAAAATCAACATGACTGAATCTTATGTTGCAGTAAACCAGATGTTTACTAGCACTTTTAGGGTGTGGCATGAAAGACTTGGCCACCCAGGTTCAGTCATGATGAGAAGAATTGTGCAAAATACGAGTGGCCACCCATTGAAAAATGAAAAGATTTTTCAATCGGGGGAGTTTTCATGTAAAGCATGTTCTCAAGGAAAACTCATAATTAGGCCCTCGCCAGCCAAAGTTGGGAATGAATCCCCTGTATTCTTAGAGAGAATACATGGTGATATATGTGGGCCTATTAACCCACCGTGCGGGCCATTTCGATACTTTATGGTATTGATTGACGCATCTAGTAGATGGTCAAATGTGTGTCTTTTGACCACAAGAAATATGGCTTTCGCAAGATTCATTGCCCAAATAATCAGGTTGAGAGCGCATTTCCCTGATTATGCCATAAAGAAAGTCAGGCTTGATAATGCTGGTGAATTCACTTCAGCAGCCTTTAATGACTTTTGTATGTCTGTGGGAATCGATGTTGAACATCCGGTTCCGCACGTTCATACGCAAAATGGCATGGCTGAGTCATTAATAAAGCGGTTGCAGTTAATTGCAAGACCGTTAATCTTGAGAACAAAACTCCCAATCACTGTATGGGGACATGCAATATTGCATGCGGGAGCCTTGGTTCAAGTGAGACCAAGTGCTTATAATAAATTTTCGCCCATACAGTTGGCATTTGGAAATATGCCAAATATATCCCATCTCCGGGTATTCGGGTGTGCGGTCTATATCCCAATAGCGCCACCACAGAGATCAAAAATGGGACCACAGAGGAGATTGGGAATATATGTCGGGTATTCGTCCCCTAGTATAATAAGGTATCTTGAACCGGCAACTGGTGATATGTTTACGGCACAATTTGCCGATAGCCACTTTGATGAAAATGAATTCCCTGCGTTAGGGGGAGGGTCGAGAGAATCACCAAATGATATCACCAAATGGTGTACACACTCTTTGGCTTATCTTGATCCTCCTTCTAATCAACGCGAGGTGGAAGTTCAGAAAATTATACATATGCAAAGATTGGCTAACCAGTTGCCATGAGTTCAGATACGAAAAGGGTGACGAAGTCCTATATCCCCGCTGCTAATGCTCCATCAAAAATAGAAGTTCCTCATGAACATTTTGATGTGAATAGAGCAAGTGAACCGGTTCAATTAAAGCGCGGGAGGCTATAGGATCAAAGGATAAATATCCCCGAAAGAAAAAGAATTGTGGAGTAAAGGTTCCTGATGAACCGAAATGTCTTGAAGACATTTCCGAACCTGATAAAGAGGTTCGTCAAGATGACGAACCAGAGACAGAAAAATTTGAGATTTCCATCTCCTTCGCCCAAAGTGGAAAAATATGGGCTAGAAGTGAAATAGATGATGATGGAATGTTCTCTTTTTCTGTAGCTAAAGAGATCGATCATGAAAATGATGATCCAGATCCAACTTCCGTGTCAGAGTGCCAAAAGAGGCCGGACTGGGAGAAATGGCAAATGGCCATGAAGAATGAAATATTCTCTCTCAATAAACGGACTATAGTCCAATGGTCAATAGATCGCTTGATGTTAACAAGGATCCATTTCGACCTATTGAAGATTCTGAAGAAATGTTAGGTCCTGAAGTACCTTACATGAGCGCCATCGGGGCACTTATGTATCTTGCAAATTGCACTAGACCAGATATAGCTTTTGCTACTAATCTGCTTGCAAGATACAGCTCATCGCCTACCAGAAGACATTGGAACGGAATAAAACATATATTCCGTTATCTTCAAGGTACGATTGAGTTTGGATTATATTATTCAAGAAACCCCGAGGTTGGTTTAGTTGGTTTTGCAGATGCTGGCTACTTGTCTGATCCGCATAAAGCTCGATCGCAAACCGGTTATGTTTTCACATACGGTGGAACCGCGATCTCTGGCGTTCCCAAAAACAAACATTGGTTGCAACGTCTTCAAATTATGCGGAAATCATTGCTCTCATGAAGCATGCAGAGAGTGTGTATGGTTGAGATCTTTGATCCAACATATACAAGAAGCCAGCGGAGTATCTACAAAGAAAGAGCCAACAACCATATACGAAGACAATTCTGCATGTGTCACTCAACTCAAAGAAGGCTACATCAAGAGCGACAGGACAAAACACATCCCTCCAAGATTTTTCTCCTACACTCAAGAACTCGAGAAGAATCAAGAAGTGGATATTCAGTATGTTCGCTCAAGTGACAATGCAGCTGATCTCTTCACAAAGGCGCTTCCTACAACAGTGTTCAAGAAGCATGTTCAAGTATTGGAATGCGTCGTCTACAAGATTTGTGAAGAGAAGACTATATCTATTTTCAGGGGGAGTTTGTGTTGCGGTACTCTTTTTCCTTTTCATGGTTTTTATCCCATTGGGTTTTTCCATGTTAAGGTTTTAAAGAGGCCGTACGCAACTTCATAATACTAGTGATGAGTCAAGGGGGAATGTTGAGATAATGATGAAGATTGATGACTCATCATAAGAGATAAAAATCTCTTCTTCACCGACATTAGGTGTCTATATTTCATTTGCTAGAAGTCCCTATATATAGGGCACTCATCTATTGTAAAATTCATTCCACTACCAACGAAAAAAACCTGACCACTTGCTCTCTCTCTCCCAAACTCTCATCTCCCACGTGTGTCTCTCTGGTCCCACATTTTCTTTCTTTATAATATTAGTTTTACAACAAACAATTATTTGTTTTAATTTTTTTTTGAGACTTTTAAAATAATACTCAAACTATTTTAGAGAAAACACTAAAAATTTGTAAGCTCGAGAAAAATGGATGACTAAAAAATAACAACAACAACCAAAATCAATCAGTATACGGAAATGATGGAATATGGATGATATCAATCCTTATATTGACCAATATGCTAAAGAAAAAATGTTTATACGACTCAACTATTGGTGTCCACGACCATAACCAGAAAATCGATTTCATGTATCTAATTTGCTGTTGGAATCAATAGTTGAGCCGAATTCCTGTTTTGTTGTGGATATATATAAAGATTGTTATTCCATGATTTTTGAGTTTTGATTGACTTTACTTGTTGTTGTTCTTCTCTAGTAAATCAGTTTTGTTTTTGAATGTATGTATATTAAAGTGACGCTCTAAAATAGTTTGAGTATCTTTCTAAGAACCTAATTTTTCGAGCAAATGAGTATATTAACATTTCTTTCTTTATAAACATTGATTCCTAATTTCTCCCTAAAATAATATATGCAAAAAAGGGAAAATGTTGCTTTGATAACATTTTGAAAGCTTTTATGATTAATATAATCATTGTATTACGTGTACATACTTGTAGCAAACGGTTTAACATGTCGTTTATTTGTTTGGTAAAACTAATGGCTTTAGTTTTAAAAGTAAACAACTAGGTCTTTACCCGTGCTTGGGAAGCACATGATTTATAATTTATATAAAATGTTTTTTACTATTGACACTGTAATTATGTAAATAATAGTATATATGTTTGTGATACATGATGATGAATTAGTGTTATTTTGATTGTATAAGTATATCATGTTATAATTTAATGCTAGATTCTCACCCCCGAGCGAACACAATCAAACCAGCTTCAATGACTGAACAGTATATCATAAATATGTGTCGTTTTACGGGTTTTTTCGGATTTATTTGGTGATTTATAATATTGAATAATATTTCACATTTGACATTCCGTTTCTTCGAAAAGAAATTTTATATCAACAACTTATAAAGCAAATCAAGTGGCTGTTGTTGTCTAGATCTATGATTTGATTGTATTATTAATTTATTGTGTTTTCAAATCGATTTGGTTCGGTTTAGGTTAATCAAGGAGGCCTTAATTTTTTTTTAAACCAGCCGAACACCGTCGTTTGTTATTTCTCTGTTTCTTCTTCACCGATCTTCTTCCTCCTTTAATACAGCTTCTACTTATCTTCTTCTTCTACTTCCTTAAAGCACATAGTCTCCTACGCTTATGCCTGTCATAAGTTATTCGTAGACACTTTCCTTCTATACACAATCACCGGATTTTTATGATCTAGCAATTTACCGGAAAATCTTCAAAAATCTGAATGAATCCGAAATTGGTTTCTTTTGGTTCTGAGCTCGGTCAAATTTTATAGGTCTCTTGGTTTTGGATCCTCCTATGCCCTTCTCAAACGCCGCCAGCATAGTCGATCTCTACTCGCGGAAGCCTTCCGAGTTCGATCTCTAGCTCAGGTAAACCCCTAAGCTCAAGAAATTTCCGTTCTGTACGAATCCTTGAATTTAATCTTGCTTGCGAAATCAGAGTACCAAAACCGTTTATGTTGTGATAACGATATTGATAGGAATTCTAATTATGATAACTCAGCCTTTTGATAGTGATTCTAATTATCATTCTAGTTAACTCAAACAATCTGAATATGTCTTTAGATCTGTTTTAAAATGATCTGACACAAACTGAATGTTAATGTTGATCTGTATTTGAAACCATCTATATTAATGTTGATGAGTTAATCAATTAAATATTTGTTAATCACAATTCTTGTTTGTATGTCTGACGGGCTAAGTGAACATCAGTGAAGGAGATTGAAAAGAAAACATTATTTTTGAATACAAAAAACGTCGCTGCAAAATACTAAGGTATATGTTCTTTGCTTTTCATACCTTTCTCGAATCCCTGATTTTCTGTTTGTTTAGGCATCTAGTTGTGACTTATTGTTTTTGCCTGTACCCAAACTTGATTTCTCCCTTTGTCTAACAATTTCGTTGTTTCGTTATTTGCATAGACTATGAACAAATTAAATCAAATGTCACTAAATAGAAAGATAGGTAGTTCTAAAACATGAAACGAAACTTTAATACATTGTTGTCTTAGATGAGTTGCATAAAGATAAGTAGACGCACGGCATTATCTTAAAACATCTTCAGAAATTTTCCTTGAGAATTTGGATGCAGATCATTTTTTATTGTCGCTTTTACAGCCATTGAAGTAATCAAATTCCATTTCGGTGAAATCCAATGTCTATAAAGAATTCCCTATGAAATTAGTCACAATCGGGCAAAGATTCATTCCGATCTATACTTCAGGTAATATATCTATGTTGACAATTATAATCTCTTTTCATCTTTGTTCAGATACTTTTTTTCTTTTCGTCTTTCCAGAAAGACCCATGTCTTAAAAAATGTTGGTTCTTACCCGTGATGTTGCTAACCTTTGTGTTAGTTAAATATGTGAATATTAGGTTTTTAAGATTGAATATTGTATTCAAATAATGTTTGATTAAAATGTTGTTGTGACAACATATGTTTCTTTATCACGGGTTGTTGATTTTTTTGAAGAAAATTAATACTCCCTCCGTTTCAAATTAGTTGTCGTTTTGGCAAAATGTATCTGCAAATATTTAGACGTATCTGTAATCCAAAACATGTTCAGATACATCCAAATATTTATAGATACATATTTCCAAAACGACAATTAATTTGAAACGGAGGGAGTATGTTAATTTTTTGTTAATGAGATTGATAATTAACATTGGTTTTAGTGTGAAACTCACTTTTAAAAGAGAAATTTGGTAATTTGGATTAAGAAAACGATACTCTTGTATGTAGATCTAATCTTCTTCTGTTCACAAAAAAAAAAATCTAATTTTCTTTTCTCTTCATTTGTAAATTTGTACATGAAACACATGTTAAAGTCAAGATTACAAACTTTCACCTTTGATGAGATTTCTTTTTTCTTTTTGTCTCTAGGAAAAGACCCGGATCTAAAAGAATGTTGGTTCTGACCGGTGATGTATCCATCATTCCACATCCCATGATTTATATCTTATACAAAAAATGTTTTATTTTTATTTTTATCATCTCTCTTATTTTTTAGCTAATTATTTTTTTTTTTTTTGTTTATTTAGGAATGGAAAGCATGTTCTAACCCGTAGCCCTAAACTTTTATCCTTTTCAGATTGGAAAAACATGTTTTTATCCGTAACCATAAAATTTTCTCCATAAAAAACGAAAATATGTGTTCTCACATGTTCTTTTGGCAATCTGTTTGTTTTGAGAAGCACGTGATGTTGAGATTTTTGAAGATTTTAACTTACTAAACAATGCAATTAGTCTGATTTTATTTTACTTTAATTAATGTATGGATTGAATTAATTATAGGACAACTCTCAAAATAAATTAAGTGGTAAAAATTGACCCGATTTATTTCTTTTCAGGTATGAGTGTAAAACGGCAAAGCCCATGTCTTTTATCGTTTTTTTTCTGTGATTTTACAAATTGGGTCTTTCTATGATCCACACCATTGGAGTTTATCATCTTGTTCAGATGAACAGTTAGACAATCATGATATCATATCAAAATCTATAAATTGTAGATTATATCATCTATTTTCTCTTCTTTTATAAATTAGTTCATGAGACATGTTAATGTTAAGATTATAAATTTTCGATTTTGGAAAACCCTGGATCTGAAAGAATGTTAGTTCTGACCCGTAATGTTGCTAACCTTTGAGTTAATTTAATTTATGAACATTAAGTTGACTAAAATTGTATATTGTTTTAAAGTTTGATTATAATGTTGTTGTGACAACATTTGTTTTGTAATATTTTAAGCCTCAATTATTTGAATGGGATTTATTTGTTTTGAGCACATAAATTTGTATCTTGTAGAAAAACAATTAATGGGCGTGATTGGTAAGTGCTCTGAATGCTCCGTGGAGCAATAATTTTTTCTAGAGCACTAATGTCAAACCAATCAAGCTTTGATATCATTTTTTAAGTTTAGAGCCATAATTTTAAATATGAAAATATTTTGGCTCTGCAGAGCAGATTTTTCAGAGCACAAATTTAAGAACTCTGAGACTTCTCTCTCTTCTCATTCCTTAATCTCATTCACTATATTCCTTTTTTAATGTTTCTTTCCTATATCTGTTTTATTTATTTTTAATGTTATATTTATGATATTTTATAAGAAATTCTTTATAATAAAAATTCTATAGCACTAAAATCTACAGCCTATATTCTACAGCAAAAAAAATCAAAGCTACAGACACAACCAATCAGGCCCAATATGACTTGTATTGTTATATATCTTGTACAGTTTGTTTTGTATTATTATTATTATTGATTTTCTGATTTTAGTTATGATTTTAATGTTTTGTGCATTTAAGTATAAAACATATTCTGGCATGTAGCCGTAAAAGAACAAAACGAAAACATGTTCTAACCCGTAACATAAATTTCAAAAGAGTAGAGTTATATTTTTTGTATTTATGTTGATAGTGTGGAATCTTTTTTAATTATAGAAAACTTTTTTTTTAGAAAAGTTCAGCAGAGTACTATATTTGTTTTTAGAAAAGTTCAGCAGAGTTTCTTTCCCAAATTCATCCTGGAAAAGGTAGAAATAATCGAGCATTCAAATCATCTGAAACTGAATCAATATGATAGGATTATCAGTTCTCACAAATTGTCCCGAGCATATTAATGTTTATCCCGAGCATTCATATGGTTCGGTTTAGAAGTTTTATAAATTCACTTGGTTACGTTTCTGTTTATACTTGACAAACATTATGTAAGGCTTGACTCAATTTTTGGTTTGACGCCGGTTTACTAAAAATGGACCAGAGTAATTTTAGTATAGTCAACAAAGCCAACTGGTTAAAATATGGAAAGCTAAGTTGTTTATGTTTCGTTCTTCCAAAAATCGAAAATTCTCTTTTGTCGACTCTTAAATCAATTTTAGGGAAAAAAGTTATGAGGTTTATAGGATGAGGGACTTCCCGTAATCGTCGAATTGGTGTTGTGGGTGAGGGAATTCTGCTCTTCAGCTTCTAATCGAAGGCAATTTCGCCTTTGGACTGTTGAAACTTGTTAGAGCGAATTCAATTCCCGTATGAAAATGAGGTAAGTGTAAAACTAATGGTTTAAGGTTTGTAGTTTGTCGTTGGGTTTGTGAAATAATTTGATTTCTTATCATGATTTCTCAAGAATCAAGCTCTACTTGTTTTGAAAAACCTATGTAATCCTTTGAAAAACCATATAAACTCATTTGTTAAAATTATACTCCTATTTATGCTTTTAAAAAAAAATTATACTTGTTTATGCTTTAAAACAAATTCCCAATCTAAAGCTGGGATTTTTAACCAACCGAACCAAACCGGCTTTCGATCAGCTTGGTTATAAAAAGAGAACCGAACGGCAGCTTTGTATTGTATTCGGTTATCATTTTGGTTCACTTCGGTATAATCAAACCGAATGGTTAGCCGTAAAAAAATCATAAATCTATTACACGATATGTGGGAAAACGGCTATTTCATACCCAAGGTTATGCCGTATGTTCGATTCATAGCCTGTCAAAATCCATACCCAAACTTATATAAAATTTGAATTGCATACACAAACTTTTATTTTTTTGAGTTTTCATACATTTTCCGTCACTGTTTACCCAATCCGTTAAGTCACAATGACGTGGATACCACGTATATGCGACGTCGTTTTGATATGAACGAATTAGTAAGCTGAAGACAAAACGGCATCGTTTTCATTTCTTTATTTCGTGGCTTGAAATGAAACCATTTTCTTTTCTCTGTTTACGCGAAAACGAAGAGATCTTGTTTCATCTCAGAAATCATTTTGTTCTCATCAGAAACAAATGTTCTTTTTAGCTAAGCTTTGTTTGATTGGAAGCTCTTTTGTTAGAGAATTGAAACTGCCTAAATCGCCAACAATGACGGAAATGTCTCTATCGCTTTGCTCTTTTGATTTGAGCTCGTTTTTTTTCCCTTGAGTTAGCATTCATAAGAGTTTGCATGTTGTTGATTAGAGATGAATTGGATGAATTAGAGATGAATTGGCAGTTAACACCATTCGTTTTTGTTAAAAAGGAGATTCGAATTTTATGCATACCAAGTGTTTGATGAAATGACAATAAGAGATTTTATGGGGTTTTGCAAGGAATCTACGGATGTTCACTTTGCAATTTTGAAATTTTGAAACTTTGGGAGGAATCACTGCTTCGTATAATGGAGGAGAGTATGTTGATCTTGTAAATTGGGTTTGGAGAAGACAAGGCAAAACGACATCGTTTCTGTTTTAAGGCAAAACGACGTCGTTTCTGTTTTTAAGGCAAAACGACGTCGTTTCTGTTTTTAAGGCAAAACGACGTCGTTTTGTCCTCATTGACAATTTCTACTTAAACCTAATTCTTGCCGTCGACTTCCGCTAATCCACGTCAACAGTTTTTTCGGATCAATAATCCATGTCACTAGTTTTTAACGGACAATTAGCCACGTCAAGAAAAAGGTATGGAAACTCAAAAAAAATGAAAGTTTGTGTATTCAATTCAAATTTTATGGAAGTTTGGGTATGTATTTTGACAGCAGTAAATGTTGGGTATGAATCGAACATACGGCATAACCTTGGGTATGAAATGACCGTTTTCCCCATGATATGTCGTTGTTGCCACCGTCTTCTCTTATTTGTTATTTTTTTTTTTTGGTAAAAATGTTAAACATTTGTTACTTCTTCTCTTCATTGATTTCCCTTTTTCTGTTCTTCTTTGATTCTTCTTTTCCTCTTCTTCTTCTTCCTCAGTGACTATCATCTCCATTGCCTACCCAATTCATCGCTTCTATCCTTTAGCTAGAGATCAGAGAACTGTGTGGATTTTTTGCTGATATGTCGGATTTCACTGGAAGTTTTGGCTCCGGCGCCGCATGCATTGAAGAGTCGGTGGTGCAGATTACTAATTTCGTAAGATTCATGGCGAGTATGATCTTCTTCAGTAATTCCTTCTTCCCAATCTGCAAACTCTAGAACTTCAAGTCTTTCATTCGATTTATGCATCTCCACCTGGGATTCCAAAATTTAGCTCGATTAGATGACCTGCAATTTCTCATGTCCCCTGCAGATTCAGCTCGTTCTTCACCGTAAGCATTTGTTGAGAATCGAATCCTCGATTCCACTAGATTCGCGACCCAAGACTTGAGCGAATAAAGAACACCAGCAATTAACCCGGTTCACGGTGTTAACGAACCGCTACATCCGGTGAGGATCTTTCGATCCCCAAGTTGGATAGATGTCATCGGAAACCACCTCCGGGTTTCTACACGAAGATCACTTACCACCGATCACAACCCAATCGGTTTTACAAGAGGTAGAAGAAGAAGACTTGGAGAAAACCCGAGAACCCTAAGAGACCCCAAGATAACATACACCAATGCTCTCTCTCTCTCACATCTCTCAGTATCTCTCTTTCTCTCTCTCTGCGTTTCTGCTAATCGCACACCAGTGCCCCACCGGAGAAGAAGAATGAGCTTCTTCACTTAAGGAGATTAGAGTAAAACCCCCTCACGTGTCTATCACGTGCGAACAACTTAAACCTCCTCTTTGAAACCTTCTGGATCAGCTAGAGTATTTACTATACTTAGCTTATTCCTTCTTCGTTTTCTTCTACTCTTACTTCCAAGCTTCTTCAAGTTGAGTCATAATCCAACATTCTCCACCTTGATTCAGCTTGAAGAATCATTTATGAGCTGTCCCTTAGAACCGTTTTGACCAGGCTCAAATCTTGGCATTCCATCTTCATAAAACCTGCATCTATCCACTTATACAAGCTAAACACATTAGTAAATTTAATGCCTTAAACTTACTATACCATCAATGAAACCAGGCACGACTTTCATCAAGCTCAATCTGAATGGTCACAAAGTAACCACAATTTTTTACCTGAGCTCTCCTTAAATCCATGTCTCTTCCTGAGTTGTACCAGCTTCGACACATTCTTATGTCAAGCTAAACTCCCATTGACTATTGTGTTTTCATAACCTGTATACCTGAGTTAAAACTACTCAGAAACAAAACATTTACAAGAGACATCTCGAAACTTGTTAATATTCAACAGAAAACTCCACAAGCTAAAAAACTTATGAGCTTATCAATCACACAGCCTCCTCCATGACTACTGTTACAGCCATGAATCTGTTACAGTGATTGAATTAAACCTTTGTTCCTCTGCAACTTGATTCCCTTTGTCGACCAATTTGATTCTCCTCATGTGCACTGAGCTTAGAATCAAACCTTTATCGAATCACTTGCAGAAAACCAGAAACGTTCATGTTTCATACTTGAATCAATCTACGATTCAACCCTGCAAAACAATCTCAAAATAACCTTTAGTTAGTAGACAATGCATTAGTGACCAGAGATTGTACTTACAGTCATCTGTTTAATCAATTCAGCCTTGAATCACACTTGTATCGCTGTTGAACATCAACCAAACCCGGCTAAACTCCACCTTGCTGTGAAGACTGTCGATACAAAACTCATCTTTGACTGCATTGAACAAACAGACCAGCACTATCAGCTTATAACTCATTACCAGCAACCTTTACCATATCTCTCATCATCAAAACCTGTGATGGTCTTGAGATATTCCTTTACAGCTCCTTTCACATCAAAACTCGAGCTCATGGCGTGTTTCTCCTCCAGCTGTAAAACAGACATGCAACACATTCAACAGTGTGCATACTCCACCAAAACCTTTGGTACTTGCATCATAATCTTTCTCAGACCTGAACCATAATCACCCCTAGCTCAATATTTTCGTCCAGCATGCTATTCGCTGAGCTTCAACACTTGATCATCCTACAAGTGTTTTTTCCGTGAGAAGATTACCCAAACTTTCCTTCAGATACGATGCAACCAGACAACTTATAACTTCTCAGGTTGTTGTCTCACAAACCCATCTTGAATCTGCTCCATTCTTAACCCTTTCTAGGACTTTATACTAGTTGTAAGTATCAGACTTGAGATCCCTGTTTTCATGCTAAACTCACAAACAAATGAAATCCTTGAGACGCGAATTACTTTGAGAAAGCTCCTGCAAAACGTGCACTTGTTTCTCATTTCCGCATTCACCTCAGACCGACACCTTGACTTAGAGAGACTTCCTTGCATTCAGAATGTGGAGAACTTAGACTGATTTAATCAATCTTAACCTCAGACCTGAAATCAAAAGACCTTCAACTTCTCCTCCAGCAAAGCCAACACGAGCCTATGTGTACTGCTGTTTAAACCAACAGGACACGCCACCTAACACCCAATATTGAAGACTTTCGACACACAATCACGGCTCCGTCCATTGCAAAGTAACAATGAGACATTTCTCACACACAAACATATGCAGCCTCCTAAAACATTGAACTTTTATGGTTCATCAACTTCTTTGTAGCTTGAAGACCTGATCCAAAAAGCAAGATTCTTGCTGAAAACATAGCTCCATCTAGAAAATATATTCTTCCTGAATAGATCCAATCTCTGTAGCATCAACTGCTCCACCTGAAAATAGCCATCCAGGAGCTCATGTGACTTTAACCTCAGCTTCACTTCCATTCAGTTCGATCTTCTTATCAACGTTAAGCATTTGACTGTATAAACATGGTTCATTCGTTGAGCTTTTTTGTCAGCCACTAGACATAAGCTCTTTCATAGTACATACACTTAACATGTTCCTTACACCAGAAGATCACAATGATTTTCGAATCTGATTGAAGCTCCGACTTTTTGGCATTGATCCACCAAACTAACCAGACATATACTGTCTTAGTTCAACTGATTTTTGACAAGCTGTAACCTGTTATAGCTTCAGCTCACTTGACCCAAAACAACACATCCCATTCTGACTTGAACCCATCAGAACTATTCTCTCCTGCAATCATCTCTTGAACTTTGAGTCTTCCATATCTGAGCGCCCATATAACCACCTTATTTGACTCTCTTAGACTCAAATTCTTTGAATCATAAGAACCAGAAACCATATGATTAAAACGTGGTTTCTACCACACTGATTTTTCCCCATCAGTTTCCCACACTGATCTGCAGTCACTACCCTGGGGTAAGCGAGCCACTGGAAATTTCTAGCACCATCTCATATGTCACTCACAGTACCTCACCAAAGCTATCAGTTGATGTTACCACAAATAACTTTGTTCCAGCAGACAAATTGTGTTGCTTTCACACACAACTTATCTTCAATCGGACTGCATCTTATCTGACTTGATGACTCTCCATGCTTTCCCTTTAAATGAACCTTTGGCTCGTCAAGCAACATGTTGTTTCTCATTCGCCATTAAACAAACAACAACATACTCTGCAATTTAATCCATTCTCCTCTGGATTTCCAAAACTGCAGCAAGCTCCTTAATTTTCACATCTTGAGCTTCTTAGATTCGCTAGAATCTGAAGCTTAATCTTTGAAACTGAATCTGTACATCCTTCTCTCAAATCTGAATCATAATTTGAAGTCCTCAAAGTTATTAACCTCTCTTGTTTCCAGCTGATTAAACTCATCAATATCCATTTACTCTCTGCAATTTTCACTCCTCCAAATCCTGAAAAACTTAACTGATGTATAAGCCTCCACCAACACACAGTAATCCAACTCCTAAGGCGTCCCCTAGACCTCAGATCCAAGTGAGTTTCTTGTAGCTTATTCCTCAGAAAAAAACTTGAACACTAACAACACCCAACCCTTTTACACTCAGATTTGACCAAAGAAAACAAACTGAAACCAGTACAACTTTGGCTATCTCCTGTAAAACAGTATGCAACCTTTGTGTTCCAAAACCAGCTTTCAATTCTTTGAGAATCGCAGACCACGAGTAACCAGAAACTTCAACAAAGAGCATCACAATATCTTGTGATTTGCAGCGGAACTAGACAATCAATGTCTCTGAGATTTGAGTCTTGATGCTGACCTGATTTGGTTACACCCATTTAGCCATGTAACCTGAGCTAAATGCCTTCCTTGACTCGGAACCCAAATCCAGACTGCGAGATCATCCACCTCGCACCAGCTTCAGAAATGATTTCACAAACGCAAAACATGAACAAAGTAAACCTCCATGCTCAAGTGTTCTTGCTTCAGTCTCTACGCCTTTTCCTTAGTGCTTAACACATCTTCTCATGTGAGTCTTCAGAACCAGAATTCTCATTGATGTAAAACCCATGAAACCTTGGAGAAACTTAACTTACATATTGATGGAGAGTGAAAGCTAGATAAACTCGATGACCGTTGATTCACAAGAATTGCCGTTCAAACGAGGACTCAGTGACCGTTGATTCCGAAGAATGGCCGTTCAAACGAGGGTTGTTGATAATCGTTGATTCAAAAAGAATACCGATAACAAGGATAAGATGAACTGAAAAGTTCTATGTTTATTCAATAATCAAAAGCTACCTTACAAACAAGCCTAGCGGCTATCTTAAATAAAAACGACAAGAAAATCCTAACTTGACGATCAAGCAAAGACCAACATAAAATAGAAAGCCCATAATGAAAATCCCAACAAGAAATAGATAGAGAGATCATGAAGACGTGATCGTGTTAAGATGCGCTGCATCAGGTCCCTCCGGGTATGAAAAGATTCGTCCTCGAATCTTGGTTGCAAATGCATAGAAGCTGGACACGTAGGGCAGCGACGTACCATTCCATGAGCAACATCAAAGTATTCAAATCAATCACACTTGCACACATAGTATTACGCTCATCATGTGATAGCCCCATAGCTGTAAAGTTAACACCAACCAGCACATGCGAATTAAAAACAGCCTCTTCCCAAACAAGAACTGCAGTGACAAATGGCCGACGCATATCATAAAATCTTCCGCTAACAGATCTACGTTGACACTCCAATTGTGACGAAACCAGAAACGGGAACATCACAGAGTCGGCCGTGAACTGAATGAGAGAAAACACACAAGGCATTGGAATCCTCGGTGGCCACAAGAACTTGGAGACTCTTGTGTCAGTGAGGTCAGAGATCACGAAAAAGCCAAAAGGTCGCAACACACGTTCCATAAAGGCAAAATGAAGAAAACGCCGAACTCCCCTAAGCTCTGCCGCATTCACGCCAATGGACGTACGAGAATAAGGAACCACAATACAGAATACGACACCCCAAAGGACACCGAACTGGCACTCTTCACTGTCTAATAAATTACTGTGGTGTAAGTAATCAACTCGAGTTCTCAACAGCGAAGCTCTACAGCGTAATTCCAATAGTATCGGATTTGTCGGAAAGAGCCCCATCGCCACGGACGTAAACGCATGACGAAGATATACAAAACCTCACGAGTCCAGGGTGGCCACAAATACTTGGAACTGACCTTATTTTCTTTGACCTCAGAAAGATGTGCACAAAGGAATGACTCATGAAATTGGTGGTGGTGTGTATTTGATCCATTGGAGATGATTTCACCAAGGCGTAACTCAGAAAAGAAACCCACCATTGCATTCAGAACAACCCCAAGAAGACGCAGAGCAGGTCTTGCTCGTGGACGTAGCCAGTCGTGAATGTGTTCCGTTGAAGCCAGCTCTTTCGTATGCACATGATGACAGTCACACGTGATGAAGAACATATCAGCACCAAATTCCATGAACTCAATGATCCAATGACATATATCATAATTCTTACAATAGTTTAATGTTTATATGTTGTTCCTTTTTTAACATAAAAGTTTAACAATTCTAACACTATGTTTATAATATAATATCATATAAAGAAACACAGAAATTAAATCCAAATAAAAAATGTTGTGTTAAGATAGAAGAAATGATGAATTGTTAATGCTATTGTTTCATAAAACATGCATGTAAGTAACTAACTTTTTCCCTACACAATCTGTTGGTATTTACCTTGTACTTCCATATAGTTTTTTTATCATCATTTAGCTCAATTTAGATGATGTATCTATATTACAACATCCATGCCAACAACTACTCGAAATGAAATCTCTCCTTCTCCTTCCCAATTTGCTGACGCTTTCTGTTTCATTATACAGCCTTATAAATATATGAATTTATTTTACGCTCTTATCATATATGAATGATACTGTTGTATATGTAAAATAAAATTGTTATTTTTCCTTACCAGGACTCTTACATATCTTCTATCTTCGAGTACATCTGTATGTGTTTCACCCCATCTCCTTAAAATCATAATTCCACATATGTTCATTAGTTCCACTAGGAAATAAACCCGTGTGTCAACGCACGATAAATTGACTTTTTATTATTAAAAACTTAAATTATTATTTAATAATATTATGGCACAGTTGTGATAAGAATTATAATGTTTTTTTACAATCTACAACACAATTGTGTTGATTCTCTGGTTTGTTTATAGATTACTATTTTTTCTCTTTTTTGTAATTTAACATCACCAAACAACGGATCATTTTCCATTTGATTGCATTTTTAAATTGATAATTATGAATTAAAAATATCAAAAAGAAATTAAACAGAGTTGAATAATCATAATTATGTAATTAACTAACCTTTTTTAAGTAGTGAATCTTTCTATTATGAACCTTTGTATCCCATACCATTTTCTCTATTTCTTTTTTGTTGATGTTTTTATTTTGCTAATGCCCAAAAATCCGTGTATAGAAAATCAAAAGTTGCAATAGATAGAGTTCCAAGTGTTGCAATAACTCCAAAGATTACAATGTTGTCAGCCGTTGTAATGGTTAAAGGGTTTCAACGTTTCACTTAAATCTCCAATATTAACGATCTTTAAAAAAACACATATCAACATTATAACTTTTGTTGTATTAATATGTGTAAAAATATTACTTTATATTAATTTTGGGAATCTTGTTTAATAAGGTTTTGAAGTCTAAAATTCATAGTGGATTACGGTCTAATTCCATAAATTTACGCACCAATGTGAAGAAATATGTGTTGAGGGCACGAGTTAAGAAATGGTTATGTCAACAGTTGACGGAGTAAGTTAAGAAACAGGAATGCGAAGGAGTAACAGCCGTGGTAAAAAACAGGCGACAACTTCAGAGAACGGTGAATATAGTGTTCGTATATATGGTCTTTGTTTCTTCATATCATGCCTTTCCTTCTCTATATTTCATCTTCCTCATGAAACCAAACCATTTACCCGTTTGTATATTTTAAGGTGTGTGCATCATCGGATAGAATAACAAAGATGTGTAGAACTGTGCACATAACAACATAGTCACAAAAAGCTCAACAGTCTTTTCTATTGATTGATATAAAAATGAAAGTTAACGTCATGTATACATATCATTGTAAAATCAGCTGCTATCTAGATTGCTTGAGTGCTCGGCCGCTAAACAAAACCAGTAAAATGATTGTAATTGGTTCAGATTGGAAAAAAGCTAAACAAAATAATCAGATGCATATTCAATCAGTGGAATCAACACCGTTCTCATTCAACAGGTTGTAACTTCTCTTCGTTGCCTCTGTCTTTCCAGATTACCGGGCGCAACACCGTTGTCCGATCTGGTGATCTTGTTGTATTCACAATTATGGAAGATATGAAAAGCTGCGAATTAAGACAAAACATGTTTCATTTATGCGAAATAGGGTTTTGTAATTTATAGTCTAGATAGAACACAACCAATTTTCATCGTATACTAAAGAATTAAAATAACAAGTCAATATATCTATGTACTCCAGTGGAATTTTTTCGGGTAAATTTATAGCGTGATGGAGAAACTTACCACGCAGCAACAACATCGACACTGTAACGATCAAGAAGCTCTGCACGAAAGCAATGTGCCATTCAAACAGCTTTATGAACCTGTGACAGTATAAAGAAGAGTGATGCAGAAATCTCTTTTTTTCTAAGTAGTTTCGAAGAGAATCTATTAAATAAAGACGCACACTATACGTAGACGTTCAGTTAAGCATTCGTTGTATATTCAGGAAAATTTTGTGCAAAACAGAGTAATCCAACTTCGTTTCTTCTGAATTACAGACAAAAAAATAAGGTTTCTAACTAAACAATAAATGTTTCCAGAATTTAATAGTAGAATATAACCTTGTGAGCCACACGAAGACGCACTCCGCTCTCAGTATAACCTTCAAAAATATATCACTACAAGAAAAACCTTCTATTCCAACGGACATACTTGTGGATAATTCGTTAGAAATGACATTTTCCAACTAATTTCGTACAAATCATATTTTGTTGGAATATGACCGTTGGAAACTGGGATTTGTCAAAAAATCGTCGGAATGTTTTCCAATAAATTATTTTTGCTGTAAATTCGTTGGAAGTTATTGACGTAGCATTTGTAACAAATTCATTAGTTTATTCTGTCAAAATTTCCGACCACTTTTTTCCAATGAAACATTTATAAGAACCTTGTCGGTATGTGCCATCTATTTCCAACAAAATACTATTAAACGATTTGTTGGTAATTTTCCCAAATTTTCGAAATTCTAAAAATTGTAAATTATTAAAATATATATAATATTATTATTAAATCCGATAAAGATCCAAAAGCTTAAAGAAACAAACATCCAACACACTAAAACAAATAGACATCCAAAAAGATTATTTTTATAGATTATAAATTTATAAGGACCCATGAGACAAAAGACTTATTACAAACTAAGAATTCAATAGTCAAAAGAGAAATCCATATAACTCTTGTTTCCATTTGAACTTCAATTTTTCAATTCTCCACATGTAGTAGTTTCTATTGGACCTCCCGTGTTTGAAACTTTTTTCTCCTTGATGTCAGCCTCCTCCTGCAACAGGCTAACATTTCAATTCATATTACTATCATAAAGAAACCACTACACGTTGGTAAAATCAAACAAAGAAATAAGTAAAACAAAAGAAACCAGGCAAAAACTTTGTTACCTTATAAGTCTTGAATATTGCGGCAGTGTAAAATCCAGAGTGCTACTCTCATCATCCTAGCTACATTGACAAGTACGAGAACTTTAGAACAGCACAATGAATTGTTCCAAAAAGAAATGCATAATACAGTTCAGAAAGGAACAATTCTCACCAGATGTGTTTCCACACTAAGAACGACTACATGTGTTTCCACACTATGTTTTGCCTTCATTTACCAGCTTCTAACATTTCAAACCTGCATTATTCCATACTACCATTATGTCAAAACGAACTAATTAAGTATCAGATCTGAATGGTCAAAAGGGAAATGAATTACACGACTAGATCTGATCTCGCTCTCTGCATATGCTTCTAAGAATACTGCAGCAACAAAGACCCAATTTTTAGTATCGAGAAGGTACGTAGAGCACTACAAAAGACCTGTATTACAGAAGAAGAATACAAAACGACGGATTTAAGAAATCTCATGAGATCGAAGGTAGTATAAACCCTAGATCGAACAAAAAGAAGAATCATACCATATAAACGAGAGGGACCATGTGAGAGGCGTGCTTCGTCTTCATCGTTGAAGGAGGCTCACAGAGAAGAGAAGTGGGACAAGGAAGAGAAGTGAGACGAGCAAGGGTAATGATCTCTATGGGAGAAGGAAAGAGGCAGAGAACTGAGGAAGGAAGGAGTGGGATTTGGCCACGTCATTGATCCTAATGATCTATCTCCATTGGTTCTCCACTTATATTTAGTTTTTATTAAAAACATGTTTTATATTTTCAAGTTTTTGAAAATTCGTTGGAAACAGTTCGTTGTTTTGTCGCAAATATTGTTGGAACAAATTGCTATTGCGTCGCAATTTTATTTGCAATGAGTCCCACGACATCACGCACTCTCGTTTACAAAGGCTACATATTTGCAACGAATTTTTCGTTTGTAATTTCCGATAATAATTATATTGTGGGTAGTTTCCGACGATTTTGATTTTGTTGGAAAGTTCCTACAAAACTGCTACAAATCTTGTGACAAGATTCCGACCACTCATATTTGTTGGAAATTTATGTCGCATTTCTAACAAAACTCATTTAGGACGGAACGTTGAGAGATATTTGTTAGAAATTTTCCAACAATCTTGTTTGTCAAAAAAAATTGTTGGAAATTCTATTGTTTTCTTGTAGTGTATGTACATATTGTACCTTGCTACAAATTAAAATAGAGATCGTGCTATGTAATCAAACAGACCTGAATGTTTATAGATGCATATAGACATATATAGAAATTCCAATGCGGACTAAAGTCACATGTTGAGAGCGAGCGAGAGAGATTAAAGTCACATGTAGAGAGCGACTTGATGAGAATATAACATAACAACTTAATATGAATTCTATCGGTAAACAGTCTCTCGTGGAACAATGAGAGACGCTTACCTCAAGAAGAAGGACAAGGAGAAGGCTGAACTGAATTTTTTGCCGGAATTAATTCATATATGTAAAGGTAGTCCACTTGGGTTCTATATATAATGGTGAGCAGATGCGACTCTTCCATCTCTAATTAAGAAGACGCCTTTATTCGTAGTGCAAAAGAGACGACGTTACTCAACGAATCCGTACCTACGGATTACACCTTATCAGCAATCATTTAGAGTCTATTGGAGATGATACCAACCGTTAGATTATTCAAATTAAAACCTACTATAGTAACAGCATTATCATAAACAAATGTATTAGCAAGTTAAGTAATAAGTCGTCCTATTATCGTTTCATCCAACAACGGAAGTTCTTCACTTTATGATATATGTTCCTTCGAATTGGACACTCCCATTTTCATTTTGAAGTTGTGTCAATGTTGAATCTACACCGTTAAATTGTTTTTCTTTTCTTTCAGACAAATGCTGATGTCATCAAAAAATAAAACTGACTTTTGGAATTAATCTTGACCGTTGATTAGATTAAGTGGATGAAGTTTAAACCATTAGATGTGTTTTTTTTTTCTACAAAAAAATGCTGATGTCAGCGAACACAAAAAGTGAGTTTGCTATTATATATAGATTTGTGAATACAAAATTCTGTATTTTCCAATGTTAAGGAATCCCACATACTTCTCATTGCTGATGTATATTGTTAAAAATTTCCTTGTAGACAATGTTGGTCACTCCATTGTCTTCATCCGATTTTGATTCTCCACAGGAAATTTTCAAACCTCTAATTGTATAACCCTCGAGCATGTGACATATAGTTGTCCGTGACTGAAAACGGGCTTTGGTAGATATAACCTTACTTTCTCCAGACTTTGTCCTTGAATTTTGTTAATAGTCATTGCGTAACAAACACGAAGCGGAATAAGAATTTTTTTTAATAGTCTGATCATCTTGTAAGGGGAGTCTGTGTCTTCTGTTGTCATGATGATCCTTGGAATAAAGATTCTTTACCCAACATTTATTCCAGTTATAATTTCTGCTTCGAGAACTCTTTCACCCAACCTTGTTACAATCAGTCTTGTACCGTTACACAACCCTTCTTTATGGTTCATGTTTCTCATCATGAGAATGGTGTGTTTATCCTCACCTGTAGGATATGATTTGGTAGTCTAGAGAATTTCAAGTTATTTAAATACTATGGTGTGTAGAAATTATTTACCTCATCCTCTTTCATATCCTCATTCCCAAGAATATCAGAACTAAAGTACTCCTTCATCATACCATGCACCTTAAATAGGATAAATGCAATCATCTCATCAACCATTTCATTACATGGAGTTAGAATTTCTCTCCCTCGTATGTATTTTTTATCACCATACGGATTTTCAAAATCATCGTACATTGATCGAAACACCTCTTCTAAAGACTTTTCAGTTCTTGGTAACAATAATTTCTTCGCCACTTTAATAACATCGTTCTCCAGGCACTGCACTGATCCCCATGAAGAAGATTTTACTCAGCATGTTCTATTCGATATGGGTAGGAGAAGCGGTATTCTTTTCTTAAACTTCAAAAAGTAGCCTTCTCTGCAACTTTGTTATCAACATCCAAAATTTAGTTAGAAAACAATTTCTCTTCCGGGTTTAATCGCATATTCTGCTTCAAGATCCATATATTTCGTTTTTCCCAAAGATATGACCAGTTAATTGTTGCCATCACAGTATCTTGCCTACTGTCTCTAGGGATCACTGGTAGTATTTGCCTGAAATCTTCACCGAGAAGAACATTGATTCCGCCAAACATTTTCTCCGATCTTGATTCGTCTTTGCTGCGCATAATTTCTCTGAGTGTGAGATCTAATGCTTCAAATGTATGCCGATGTGCCATAGCTGCTTCATCCAAGATGATTAGTGAGGTTGATCCATCAACTCTGCTAGAATTTTTTTTGGCTTTATACTACACATAGAGTGCTCGTGTAAATCAATTAGAATCTTAAACCATGAATGAGCAGTCCTACCACCTGGTAATAATGTTGCAGCAATCCCTGATGTCCTATTTGTCCACATGAGAAGAGATCCCATCATGTGGTGATTCTGACCAGAAATTCGGTATGTATAAGGTCCATAACCCTCGACCACAAAATTGTCAACTTTTGCTACAAGTGATGTGAAGGCTAGTAGGGCATTCATGACCTTAATATTCTTCTGGTAATTTGATGTATTCTGTAGAGCTGCCAACTCCTCCGGAGGTTTTTCCATCGCTGGTAGGAACACTCTTCCCTTTTGACAACATATTTGATATAATAACTCCCCATTGCTTCCAGCTTCCCAAACTAACCCTGAGCATCATGGACATTGTCCTAGTTTATATATATTTTCGGCTTAAATGTCTGTGCCGGACTTCCATAAGAAGGACAACAACCAAGATTCATGCAGCTCTACATTTATGACACAACGAATGAAATATCTAACTGGATCAAGATCTTTGTCAAGAAGAGAGGGAACATAAGAAATTGATAAAGCGGTTGTGGAGAAACTGGTGAAAATGTTGGATGAACATAACCACTTGGCCCAAGAGCTGAAAAAGGCAAGAGACAAATATGAGTCCGGAAACTTTGAATAATTTTCTATCCGACTCATTGCCCAAGCTAATATGGGTATGCAATTTGATTTGCCGACAGGAGATAAGATCGCTGGATTGGTAGTATGCGAATCACAAGAAACATTTGTAGAACGTGATGTGATTATAAAACACAAAATAAGGAACCTCCAACGGATAAGCCTATTACACCAATATTGCAGGATCCTTAAATAGTAGAGTTGTCCTGAACCTGGATTCATGTTAGTGACCCTACCAGTTGCAGTCCCTGGATTCATGTTAGTGACCCTACCAGTTGCAGTCCCTTTAAGTCGTAAAGTCCATGTTTTATCTGTCGAGTTCTACAAAAATCTTGTTCGGAATTGAACGTAAGTCAGTTCACGTGCTATTTCACAAGTTTAATTTTTTTTCATCCATGTTGTGAACATTTTCTCCCATATTTCCATTCGTGATGCCACTTCGTCCAGCGTTTTATTCTCGTCAAAAACGACGTTGTGTTCTCCTTCAAGATGTATTAAAAGTTTCTGGACTGACGGCCTCTTTTGGTGTATGTCAAATCCAAATATACGCAAATAAGCTTCGTATGCCGATAAATATCGGCTTTCTTGGAAAATCTGCATCTCATCCACATTTTTTTCCACCTTAAGGCTTTCTACCTTTTCTGATGTATTGATATATCCATATTTTACATGTTTTAACTAATGTTTTATTATGTTTTCAATACAAATAATGTGGCTTTTATGCCCAAGAGGTAGTTATCTGATATACCTCTATTTTACATGCTTTTTATACTATTTTACTATGGTTTTCTAATGGTTTTCTAGTGGATTCTTGTCTTAAAAGGTAGTTTTTATGGATTTATACTGCAAAGAGTCATTTTAGGTCAAAAGGTGCATTATGGAGCAAAACAGAGGATTTGGACTTCAAACCAGTCCACTGTCACAGCATCTACTTTGGGAGGAGCTAAAAAAAATCTACTCAATGGATTTCATCAAGACCACTTCCCGCGTGCTCTGAGTGAGTTAACTTTCCAACGCAAGTGGATTGGCATCATTTGGATGAGTAGAAAAGGAGTTATGATCAAAATAGCAAAGACTGGTCCAGGCGGCTCTATCGAGAAACCGCGGCCAAAGTGCGGAACGGCCGGCCGAGGAACATCCGTCCACGGTCGGCCAACATCCGAACGCTCATCTGTCCCGCTGAACAACGGCCGAGCCCACGTACCGATCCGGGAAGCATCGTCCCGCGGTCGGCCAAACCAAAATCACAAAGCCAAGCCGCACGAACCGGGAAGCATCGCCTCGCGGCCGTGCGGCACAACTCACACCGCGGCCGATACAGTCCGACCAGGAAGGCCTCGTCCCACGTCCGGCCAAATCCTTCGACCATTATCATCCGTCCGGCCGAACCCGACGAACGAACGCAAAACTCTCGGCCACGATCGACCGACCGTGCCGATAGCCGACCACGACCCGATAGCCGGCCGAACGTCCCGACCGACCGTCCGAACGGTCCGGTCGACCCGAAGCCGTTTTTGAAGCCCGTTTCACACGTTTCAAGCCCAATACATGCGACTTACTAGATCTAGGTCTAGCCGCTCTTCCATGAGCATTATAAATACATCTTTTTAGCCTTGTAACTCAAGAAGGAGAGAGACCACAATTTACTTTACATCTTTAATAAAGTTTTGCTTGCTTTTACTTTGTTCTTGCTTGTTCTCTTTCAAGAGAGGATTCGAATCTCTGTTCTTATGAATATGAATTCGTTTTCCTTCTCTATGTCTGAGTAGTTTACTTGTTAAGTGATAGGAAGTCAAAGGATGGCATTCATGTATGCTTGATGATCGATCACATGAATTAGGGTTTTACTTATAATCTTCATCTTTGCTTATACTTAATGCTTGTTGTTAATCTGGCCAATTAGCATATGATCTAAGGTTGATTTGAGCCTCGAAAGTGCTGTATCATTCGCCTGAACTAGTATTTGGTGGGCAACCTCTTTTAGACTGCGAAAGTTGATTTACTTGTAGGTTGTGAACAATTGAACTTATCGAACTAATGCTTGATTTAATCACCTAGGGACATACCAAAAGTTTAGCGACTAGGGAGATTAACAAAGGGGTCGGAGCCACGAAAGTGGAAAGATCATACCATAGTGTTTCGAGTTCTAGATGGCACCTAATTACAATAACCCTAATCGATGATCCTTGCTTCTTGAATTGCTTATCTTAAGACTATCCTATTGCTTAGCCCTCATCTCCTATTGATTTCAATCTTTTTATTACTTGCATGCCTTTACTTTCACTGCACTCAACCAATCTCATACTGTTTGCCCTAGCTCGATCTCAATCTCATAGTTTGTAGTGTGCAATCTGGTCCTCGTGTTCGATACCCGTTTACTACTTCTGACCTGTGCACTTGCAGAATCAGGGATAGGAAAAGGGAAGACCTGATCCCGCGATCATTATCAAATAGGTCAAAATGGCTAAGAAGAGGTCAATAGGGAGCAAAAGGAGCATAACTATCAAATCCAGCCAAGTTCCCAAGTTTAGAGTGCCAAGATCACATTTCTCGCTACAAGGCATAACCGGAGCATCCGAAGTATCGCCGCGTTTCATGATTTCCCTTCAAAAATCACGATCTTGAGATGGAAAGATAGATATTGGAGCCATGCATCACGTCGAAGTGGATTCAGGTTATTTGGATCAACCATCCGAGCGGAACTTATTTTCTACCAAGACATGTCCGGTTAGCGCCCAAGTAGAGCCCATGGAGAATTTGGAGTGTCTAAAGGCTTGAGCAACCGCGCTCAAGGCCTTTAGACACTCAAGATAAAGTCACATACTTGATGACCAAGTCACATACTTGATGACCTATAAAATAATTTTGGGACTAAGATTTAATAAAAATAATTAAATAATTCTGAAACAAAGTTCATTTCAAAAACTCAACCAAATGTATGTTAACATGAACATCATATCATAGAATAAAAGAAAAGCTCCCACTAAAACAAGATCACTGTTTAAGAAATCCAATGACTATATCAGTAGTATGACTCTCGTGCTTAGGCCGTAGAAGAGGCTTTGTCAAAGGATCTGCAACATTTGCATTCGTTGAGACTCTGCTAATCTTCACATCTCCTCTATCAACAATATCACAAATGAGATGATATTTCCTTTCAATGTATTTGGATTTCTGGTGTGATCTAGGTTCCTTTGCCTGAGCAATGACTCCATTATTGTCACAATAGAGATCCACCGGGCCAGAAATGCTAGGAATCACACCTAGTTCAGTAATGAACTTCCTAATCCAAACAGCCTCCTTTGCCGCTTCAGAAGCAGCGATGTATTCAGCTTCAGTCGTTGAGTCTGCCACAATGCTTTTCTTGGAGCTCTTCCAGCTCACAACTCCATTAAGACAAAAGATGAATCCAGATTGTGAACAGAAATCATCTTTGTCTGTCTGAAAACTAGCATCAGTGTAACCACTCAAAACAAGCTCATCACTTCCTCTATAGACCAAAAACTTGTCCTTAGTGTTTCTTAAATACTTAAGGATGTTTTTGACTGCTGTCCAGTGACTCTCACCTGGATCCGATTGGTATATACTCGTCATGCTTAAAGCACATGCAATATCAGGACGAGTACAAAGCATGGCATACATGATAGATCCTATAGTAGAAGCATATGGGATTCTACTCATGCGCTCTCGCTCATCATGTGTCGAAAGACACTGCTTCTTGCTAAGAGAAATGCCATGAGACATTGGTAGAAAACCTTTCTTGGAATCATGCATACTAAACCTGTGCTCAACCTTATCAATATAAGTGTCTTGACAAAGTCCAATAAACTTGTTTAATCTATCTCTATAGATTTTTATTCCAAGAAGTTGTCTTTCATTGATATCTTGCGTATTTGACGCATTCTAACCCTGTTTTCACGAGTTTTATCGAGTCTTTCTAGTCTTTATTGAGAGCTTCAGTCACAAGGACCAACAACAGACGAAAGCAGGCAAAACAGAGAGAAGTGGAGCTCGATCGAACCCCTACGCAGTTCGATCGACCCCAAACTCTATGACCAGCTCGATCGACCCCTTACGAGACGAGCTGAGTCGATCGACCGCACCTTCACGTACTAGCTCGATCGGTCCACCACCTCCTGTACAAGCTCGATCGATCCCATGCAGAGCAAGCCAGCTCGATCGATCCCTGTCTGTCTCAGCCGTTCGATCAATCCCAATCAGATGATATCACAGCCGTTCGATCTACTTGGTGCAAACCGACTCGATCGAACCATAGCGAACCGGATTGAACCGAAGTCGACCCCAGAGCTATTTAGACCTATTTTCAGCCATTGTTTAGGCTACGCCGTTTTTCAGAGTTTTACATTGTTTCTGAGGGAGAAGAGATCGAACCATTGTTTTTCACAGTTTGGAGAAGATTTCTGAACCCTTGTTTTGCTATTTTCGTATTTTGATTCAATGACATTCATTCAGTTATTGTTTGTTGATTCGCCATGTCTGAGTAGTCACCTTGCTAGATCTAGGTTTTTCAAAGGGATTCATGTGTTAACTAGACTGAATACAGATAGGGCTTTAATACTGTCTTCGCCATTGTTGCATTCATTGCTTAGATCGATCTGATCACTCGATCTCTGATCTCAGATTACCTGTTCATCAAAAGTGCAATAGGTTGTTAGAACGAACTGTGGTGAGCGAATCGTCCTTAGCCTGCGAAAGTTGATGCTAAGGCGATTCGTGAACATATCGAACCTGTGTTTGCTGCTTGCTTTCAATTGCTAGATTTAAACGACAGTTTAGACATCTAGGTTGTTAAGTAAGTTGTTAAGATCGCGAAAGTGAATTGACATATTGTTTTGTTTGAGTTCGAGACCTGTTCTTTATATGTGCCCTGAATAGTTGTTTGGTTGTTAACCGTGAATCTCTGCGAATTGCCTTGGTCTAGTCCTGTTTTATTAAGTTTACATCAACGTTTACATTCGTTACCTGTTACTAAAACCAATCATCTTTGTCTTAGCTCTTTTGAATCTCCTAGATTCACAGTGTAACGCTGGTCCTCTGGATTTCGAATCCTTTATATTACAATCTTCATCACTGTTAATTTTCAGTAGAGAAAAGGATCTATTTCTAGACTATCAAATTTGGCGCCGTTGCGACTGGGACCAATTCGTTACCTTTGATTCTTGATTTGAAATCTAGTATAAGATTTACTAACTTGTTTTCTCTCGTTTTTCCTGTGTATGTTTCAGGTGCATGAACACTAGATCTCGATGGAGCAACCGCAACGAAGAGCTTCTCATCCTGTCCAACACAGAACTAGCGAGAGTAGAACGAGCAAACAGACAATAGAGGCCGAATCCAGCCGACATGGGCGATAACGGCAATCCAAACATGGCTGCTCAGTAGCAGTAGCTTCAGCAGCAGACAGAGCAGATGCGGAAGGCTCAACAAGATAGAGAACCGCAACCACGTGCTTCTATCGGAGACAAGGACAATCCGCACACCTTCTATCAAAACCGGTCTGCGATTTTCCCTCCAAACGTTCAGAGGCAAGACTTCGAGATCAAGCCCGGCATGATCGGTCTAGTCAAGGATAACATCTTCCATGGACTACCTGCTGAGATACCGGTGGACCATATCCAAAACTTTGAGGAGATATGCAACACGACTGGCTCGAATGGAGTACCGGCTGACTTTCTGAAGTGCAAGTTATTCCCATTCTCACTTGCCAACAAAGCATCTCGCTGGCTCAAGTCATTACCACCTGGGTCTTTGACTTCATGGAGCGAAGTTAGAGCGGCGTTTCTGGACCGCTTTGAACGCAGCCAGCAATGGCGATTTCATGACGAAGTCTAAGGAAGGTGCATTCGAGCTGATCGAGAATCTTGCAGTGAGCTCGAGCAACAAGAACACTGAGTACGGCAGAACATTGAGCACTGTATCTGTGAAAGGAAGCAGCGCAAACGCGAAGAAGATTGAGGAGCTCACTGCGAAGGTGAATCTATTGATGAAGGCGCAGCAGAAGTCTGTTCATTTTGTTGACGAAAATGACGACACACCTATCTCTCAAGAGTTCGGAGGAGAAGAGGATGGGCAAGCTTTTGTGCCAAATCGTGGTTCCAACTCGAACTACAGAAACCATCCAAACATGTCCTACAGGAGTACCAACGTCGAGAATCCTCAGGATCAGGTCTATCCGCCTCGATCGAACCAAAACCAGCAGAGTTATCAGAAGAGCTATCCTAACATCTTCCAGGAGAAGACCTTTGCCCCTAACCAGAACCGTTCTCAAGGTGGTAACCAACAGAAGGCGCAGTTCAGCAATCAGCAACAACCTTCAGGTTCATCGAACAACTCGAACGATGAGCTTAAGGGTATGATGCAACAGATGTTGATGAACCAGCAGAAGTCCACTGCGGAGACACACTTGAAGATAGACACCATGTACAACGATCTGAATGGGAAGTACGAGGCTGTGTGGACTCATGTGAAGAAGCTGGATGTCCAAGTAGCTCAAACCGCTGAAGGTGTGAAGAGACCTCATGGAACCCTTCCTGGGAAAGGAGAGCAAAATCCTTGGAATGAGTATGTTGCACAAGTTGAGCTGAGAAGTGGGAGGAAGCTGTTACCTGCTGCGATTCCTCCTAAAAGGCCAGGCAAGGAGAAAGTCGACAAAAGTCCGGAACATGTGACTGAACTCGATCGAGCGGAGTCGATCGAGCTGGTGATGACGCCTCGTCTTCTCAAGAACCCATTCTTGAATCCGACCTGCCTACTCCTGTAGCTACAGAGACTGCTCCAGCCAGAGCTTACACACCTAAGGTGCCTTACCCAGTTCCACGGAAGAAGTCCAGGAAAGATTTGGAAGAAGCAAAGTGCAAGGAGAAGTTGAACGACTTGACTGTGAAGTTGACTCTGTCTGATGCTGTTCAGATGATCCCTACTTTGAAGAAGTACATGAAGGAGCTTATATCTGGGAAAGTAGCTGAAGAGGAGAATGTCATGCTAGTGTCAGAGGAGTGTAGCGCTGTGCTGCAAAACAAGGTGATAAAGAAGAGGAGCGATCCAGGAAGATTCGTTTTGTCAATGCAGATTGGTCACATGATCTTCGCGTGCTCTCTTTGTGATCTTGGCTCGAGCGTGAACCTGATGCCATATTCTGTGGCGAAGCGATTGGGATACACGAAGTTCAAACCCACGAAAGTCTCCTTGGTTTTCGCTGACAGATCGACTAAGTTCCTAGTCGGTATACTTGAGGATCTACATGTGTAGATAGGAACACACTCATTCCAGCAGACTTTGTAGTCCTCGAGCTCGACGAAGAACATAAAGATCCACTGATATTGGGGCGAAACTTCCTATGCACAGCTGGTGCAATCATTGATGTGAAGGGAGGAATCATTGATCTCCATCTGGGAGATATCGTCATGAGGTTCGAGATGAACAAACTCCTCAAGAAGCTAATGTTAGATGGGCAAAATTACGTGATTGAAGATGGCTCAAACTTGGTGGACGAACTGTCACTGGTCATCGCTGTTGTGTAAGGAGGTGAAGTTCGACTTTGACAGTACATGCTTGGAGGCCTTTCACACGATCAAGGGAGCTCTGGTGAGTGCTCCAATTGTCCAACCTCCTGACTGGAACCTTCCGTTCGAGGTGATGACAGATGCTAGTGACTATGCTGTCGGAGCGGTTCTGGGCCAGAGAAAGGAGAAGAAGCTGCATGTGATCTACTACGCCAGTCGCACACTTGATGAAGCTCAGTGCAAGTACGCTACGACTGAGAAGGAACTTGGCGGTGGTGTTTGCATTTGAGAAGTTTCGGTCCTATCTTGTTGGATCGAAGGTGATTGTCCATACTGATCACGCTGCCTTGAAGTACTTGCTGACGAAGAAGGATGCGAAGCCGAGACTCTTGAGATGGATTCTTTTGCTTCAGGAGTTCGATCTGGAGATCAAGGATAAGAAAGGGATTGACAATGGTGTAGCTGATCACCTGTCAAGGATGAAGATCGATGATGACGTCCCTCTAGACGACAGCCTACCTGATGAGCACGTCTACGCTGTTGAGGTTCGATCGGTTATGACAGAGGTCGATCGAATGGGATGACGTAGATCGAGCTGTGAGCTGTAACGCCGTTGACCGTTCCAGTTTCCCATGGTTTGGAGAGATAGCGAATTACCTCGCTGCAGAGCATGAACCTACTGGTTTGTGGGGAACAAGAAGAAGAAGTTCTTGAGAGACATAGCGCTATTTCTGGGACGAGCCATACCTGTACAAGCACTGCACCGATGGAGTCTACAGGAGATGTGTAGCTGATGAGGAGATACCTGGGATCTTGTTCCACTGTCATAGCTCGTCTTATGCTGGACACTTCGCCACGTACAAGACTGTATCCAAGGCTCTGCAAGCTGGCTACTGGTGGCCCATCATGTTCCGAGATGCTCACAGATTCGTGTCTAAGTGTGATGTATGCCAGAGACAGGGGAACATCAGTAAGAGAAACGAGATGCCACAGAACTTCATTCTGGAAGTAGAGGTTTTCGACGTGTGGGGAGTTGACTTCATGGGACCCTTCCCATCTTCCTATGGAAACTATACATTTTGGTGGCTGTCGACTATGTATCTAAGTGGGTAGAGGCTTTGGCCAGTCCCACTAATGATGCAAAGGTCGTGATGAAGATGTTCAAGTCGTGATCTTCCCTCGATTTGGTGTGCCGAGAGTTGTTATCAGTGATGGAGGTTCATTTCATCAATAGGACCTTCGATAATATGTTGAAGAGGCATGGGGTGAAGCACAAGGTGGCGACTCCTTATCATCCCCAGACGAGTGGCCAAGTCGAGCTATCTAACAGAGAGATCAAGAACATCCTTCAGAAGACTGCAGGCACGACTGGGAAGGACTGGGCTGCAAAGTTGGATGATGCACTCTGGGCCTATCGAACTGCCTACAAGACTCCTTTGGTACGACACCGTTCAACTAGTCTATGGCAAGGCTTGTCACCTGCCTGTGGAGCTAGAGTACAAGGCTGCGTGGGCAGTGAAGCAGATGAACTATGACATGAAGTCTGCGGCAGAGAGGAGGAACATGCAGTTGGTCGAGCTTGACGAGATTAGGCACCTGGCCTATGACAGTTCGAAGATCTACAAGGAGCGGACTAAAGCTTACCATGACAAGAAGATCCTGAAAAGGAACTTTTCCCAAGGAGATCAAGTCCTGCTGTTTAACTCCAGGCTGAAGTTGTTTCCTGGAAAGCTGAAATCAAGGTGGTCTGGGCCCTTCGTTATCAAGGAAGTCAGACCATATGGAGCTTTTGAGCTATGGGACAAGTCTGGTGGACACTTCGTGGTGAACGGTCAACGCCTAAGCCATACCTTGCTGATACCGACATCACAGAGAGGGAATCTGTTCCTCTCAGTGATCCATCTCTGCCTAATAGGCATTCAAGTCAAGCTAGTGACTTAAACCAAGCGCTTGGTGGGAGGCAACCCACTGGTAAGTGTACATACTTTCTTTTCAATTTGTTTTCCTGCTAATTTTGTTTTCTTTGTTTAAAAAAAAAAAAAAAAAAAAAAAGGAAATGAATCGGGTCGACCCACCCACCCGCCCGTCGACCCGTTGGGGCCCACCACCAGGTAAGTGCACTCTCTCACCTCACACTCACACACACTCACGACCACACACTCACCTCCTTATCCCATTCCCTGAAAAAAATCTTCTCACCATCATCGATTCTTCCACTTTCCCACATTCTCACCATCGATTCTTATCCCCTTCTCTCATCACTCTTTTCACACGACTCTCTTTCATTCCTCCATTCTTCATCACTTTCATCTCTCTTCGTCTCCACCTATCTTCACCTCACCCGACCACACTATCATCATCTTCTCCATCTTCTTCCCTCACTTCACTCTCTTTCTTTCTCTCTATTATCTCTCTCTCTTCTGAAACCGATCGAGATTCTATTAAAAATTTCTCAAGTCGATTGGCTCTCTTCGTCTGTCACACACACTCGACCGCGACTCTCCCACACATACACAATTCAATCGAATCCTCTGCACATTTTCATCGATTTTGCAACATGAGGAGTGGACGGTATACACTCGAACTCTTTTGCTCTTGGAGAACAACTCGGTTTCATGACTTGGTTGTGCATTTGTGTGCTCATGATGTGTTATTGAGTTATTTGCTAGAGTTTGATCGACTTTCTCTCGAAGTTACTCGCATTGGATTGAATTGTTCTAGTGGATCGATTGAGCTGCTTAACTCTCTCTCGCGTTGAAATTCGGTCATATTTGCGAACTTGAGTTCTTGATGTGATTGTAGTCGATCGAATGTCGCGTAGTTGGGTTCTTGAGTTCTTGATGACACATGAATTGATCGAGTTGTGCTGTAGTTTCTAGTTGCGTTTGAAAACGATCGAATGAGTTGTATTGAACTATAATGCACACGATCGAACGGTCGTGATACTTAACTTGATTTCATCCCATTTGAATTTCAGGAACCGCGGCGGTGACGGATACTCACAACGGCGAGAAGAGGTTGTGAGAGGGAAGCGTCCCGTTGTATCCGATGACGACTTCGTGGAGGACACGACGATGGAGAACGCTCCTTTTCCCGAGCCCACGCGAGACGATGAACCCGTCGATACACTGACGGACATTGAGATGCAGCGTCTCCGCACCCTCCTCGACATGATGTTTGGCGGGACGTGGTATGCAGACAGAGACACAATGGAGACGCTCCGCATCGCCGACGACGTCGAGGAGATGTTCAACAACCTAGGGATCGGTCAGCTCATGCACCGTTGATAGGAGTCTTACCGGAAGGCCGCGACGAGATGACAGCACTTTGGGGGACTATCGCGTTTGGGGACTACTTCTCGTCAACTGCGAAGTCTTCTCACATCAGGAGCCCGCCGATCCGCTACTTCCACAAGACGATCGCCAACACACTCTTCTCGCGATAGGCCACCAGGAACGTCACAGAGACGGAGATGAGCATGATCGACGTGGCACTCACAGGCATCCCGTTGAGACTGAGCAACGAGACGCAGCTCAGAGGCAGTAGGGCACACGGAGGTATCACGCTCACGCTTGTGAGCCAGCTTCGCTCTTACCAGGATTGGGCGTCGAGGAACATAGGCATCCGGCACAAGTGTACATTGCGGATGGGCGGCTTGATCACACCTCTACTACGTGCCGTCGGTTTCACCCCCGATACAGAGGAGGATGTCGCACCACCCGAGGGGCTCGACCTCGAGTACCTGAGGAACATCGTCTTCCTGCAGAAGACGTCAGACGACAGACAGCTCCTCTATCAGTTCCTACAACTTCAGCTCGGCGCTTCCCGCATGATGCTTCCCAGCCCCAGCTGGACCACGATCACAGGAGGGTCCAACGTCGAGTTCAACCCACCTCAGTCCGCTCTTTACACAAGAGATCGACCGTCCGCCAGAAACTACGCCACACCTCCGGCGACCACACACCGCGGTGATCGATCACACGCAGAGCTTGACACCACGCAGACGGACGAGCTCGACCACTTCCACTTCGCGGGCTACACCACCACTGCCAGACAGAGCGCTGGACAGAAGGCGGCTCACCAGCACATCATTATTCTCCAGCGGTGGAACAGGACGCAGGACAAGATCACCAGCAAGCTCAAGAGCAAGATGAAGAAGATGGCTGATCAGATCCGTACCATGCAGGACAAGCTGAGTTGTGTTGCCTCAGCTTCCGGGGGTGTACAAAGGACCGCAGTTGGCCACACCACGACACCACTGGCGGTCGCCCACTACCTCCTAACCCGCCACTCTTCCTTCGAGCCGCGACAACAGCGGAAGAGGCGCCACCAGGAGCACCACACAGCGAGACCGTCAGACGCACGAGTTGACGCTGACTTGCCATTCCGGCGATGCAGCTCTGTCTCCAGACAGACGGCTCCAACGGATCATCACACTCCGCCGACGAGGGCTCCACCGGACCAGTACGTGCCGTACAGCACGGAGCGAGCTGCGCCTACCACCATCCCTCCATACACACACGAGAGCATGCAGGAGGATCTCGACGAGATCATGCACGACCGTCGTTGATGCTCTTTCCTGACGCCACTCGACCAATCACCACCACTGTATCATTCCATTTTCCCTTTTCTTTTTCTTTTATTGAGTCTGTTTAACTCTCTCTTTGATTTATTTTCACACCAGGTCGGTGTGAAGTGAGTCCGGCGGAGGGTCTTTGTGTTTACTAACGTCTTTTTCTTTCTTTTGTTTTCTGTTTCACCTCGAGTCATTTTGATGTTTTCTTTGAGTTAGGTTTATTGAGTCAAAAACTTGTTGGGAATAATGAACTTATTTGATGTGAACGTCTCGAAATAATACCTGGGGCAGGAGATTCAATTAACCGAGATTCAGAAGCTGAAATCTTACCTCGACCATCAATGGGGTTAGCCAAGGCGTTTATAACACGCCCCAAATAAGCCTCACTCACCGGTATCTGAGCAATTTTTCCCTTAGATTTGACTGAAGTTCCTTCTTGGATCATCAAACCGTCACCCATTAATACAACACCAACATTATTTGATTCTAAATTAAGGGCAATACCTATAGTACCCTCTTCGAATTCTACTAATTCACCTGCCATTACTTCATCAAGACCATAAATACGAGTGCTCTTGAATTCTTTCTATCTAGTGACCAATTTTGCAGGGTTTGTTATGTGTAAAAAGCTGGATTACCCTTTTGGTCAGACTTCCCCCAGGAATTTTCGTTTTGCAGAGATTTTGGTGAAACATTTGGTTGACTCTAATGCTATTGGACCACTAATCTGACATCAATTACCTCTCATTCGGAATGTCATAGCAGGGAAACGGACCATACACTCAGGACTTCTTATTCATTTTACCACTCTCTGTTGATCCTGAGTGGCCAGCCCATTTTTGGTTGGTACCCCACCTTGAGCCTTACCTCCTTTCTGACTTCATGCACTCTGTTCTTTTGTCATATATGCAGATATGTGCAAAAACGTCGGAGAGAAAGGTTCGACACAGCTTCCCAACCACATTCAAGACGAGTGTTCATCTACAACACTGAGAATGGGAAGTGATGGTGGAGTATGGAGCCTGAATCGATCGAACTGATGGTCGTTCCTTGGAGAAGCACGAATACACGGTAACATTTACGAGCCATTGACACTAGTTCCCCTCAAAAAAAAAAAAAAAAAAATCAGAAAAATTTGAGGAAAGGAACTAGTGGTTCAATAAAATGTCAAGCTCGACCGAATACCTCCAAGGAACACCACCGATCAAGGCGAATTGGGAGTTAGAGCTGTTCTGGATAAAATCCAACATACAAGGAGTTGAAGAGTGAAGTGGTTGGGAAATGTGGCTATCAACAGAACCATTCTCTCTTGCTGTTTTGCGCGATATCATGCATCCTCCGGCGTATCTGGTAACCCTTAAACACTTTAACCTCACCAAAAACAGGCCTTTTGATACCCAACACCGTCGACCCTGTATGATGTTCTTGATGAGAGGTCCACGCCAAATCTTAATGAATGTAGAGAGTTAACCAATGTGTAGCTTGAGTTTCTGCAGGATGGAGGTTCATCACGGGATCAGGAATGCGAGACTTCAAGGGGACTACAGTGATTATGCACTGACCGAACCTTGTCCTTTGAGGTCTACTGATGATCCTTCGGGGTATGGTTGCTGATGATTTGTGAGTTCCCGCGTTTTCAAACTTCTTCCCTATTCTTGGAATTTATGTTTGCTTGAGGGCAAGCAAAAGACCAAGTCCGGGGGAGTTGATATCTTGCGTATTTGACGCATTCTAACCTTGTTTTCACGAGTTTTATCGAGTCTTTCTAGTCTTTATCGAGTCTTTTCAGGTCTAAAGACGTTCCAGGGAGAGCTTTGGTCACATGGACCAACAACAGGCGAAAGCAGGCAAAACGGAGAGAAGGAGCTCGATCGACCTCACGCAGTCGATCGACCCACTCACGACAGCTCGATCGACCCTACGAGACGAGCTGAGTCGATCGACAGCACCTTCACGACAGCTCGATCGATCCCCATCCTGTACCAGCTCGATCGATCCCATGCAGAGCAAGCCAGCTCGATCGATCCCGTTCTGTCTCAGCCGTTCGATCAATCCCGGTCAGATGATATCACAGCCGTTCGATCTACTTGGTGCAAACCGACTTGATCGAACCACAGCGAACCGGATTGAACCGAAGTCGACCCCGGAGCTATTTAGACCTATCTTTAGCCATTGTTTAGGCTACGCCGTTTTTCAGAGTTTTACATTGTTTCTGAGGGAGAAGAGATCGAACCTCTGTTTTCACAGTTTGGAGAAGATTTCTGAACCCTTGTTTTGCTATTTTCTATTTTGATTCAATGACATTCATTCAGTATTGTTTGCTGTTTCGCCATGTCTGAGTAGTCACCTTGCTAGATCTAGGTTTTTCAAAGGGATTCATGTGTTAACTTGACTGAATACAGATAGGGCTTTAATACTGTCTTCGCCATTGTTGCATTACTGCTTAGATCGATCTGATCACTCGATCTCTGATCTCAGATTACCTGTTCATCAAAAGTGCAATAGGTTGTTAGAACGAACTGTGGTGAGCGAATCGTCCTTAGCCTGCGAAAGTTGATGCTAAGGCGATTCGTGAACTTATCGAACCTGTGTTTACTGCTTGCTTTCAATTGCTAGATTCAAACGACAGTTTAGACATCTAGGTTGTTAGTAAAGTTGTTAAGATCGCGAAAGTGAATTGACATATGTTTTGTTTGAGTTCGAGACCTGTTCTTTATCTGTGCCCTGAATAGTTGTTTGGTGTTAACCGTGAATCTCTGCGAATTGCCTTGGTCTAGTCCCTGTTTATTGAATTACATCAACGTTTACATTCGTTACCTGTTACTAAAACCAATCATCTTTGTCTTAGCTCTGTTTTAAATCTCCTAGTTTCACAGTGTAACGCTGGTCCTCTGGATTTCGAATCCTTTATATTACAATCTTCATCACTGTTAATTTGCAGTAGAGAAAAGGATCTATTTTTAGACTATCAGTATGTCATCTACATACAATACCAAAAATGCAACTGTGCTCCCACTAGTCTTCTTGTAAACGCACGGTTCTTCTTCGTTTCTAATGAAATCAAACTCTTTGATCGCTTCATCAAAACGAAGATTCCAACTCCGAGATGCTTGCTTCAACCCATATATGGCACGTTGAAGTTTGCATACTTTCCCAGCATTTTCAGGACTTGTGAAACCTTCAGGTTGTATCATGTATACATCCTCTTCGAGTTTTCCATTAAGGAAAGCTGTTTTCACGTCCATCTGCCATATCTCATAATCATAATAAGCGGCAGTCGCTAGGAGAATCCGAATGGACTTAAGCATTGCAACTGGGGAATAGGTTTCATCATAGTCTACACCATGAATTTGTTTATAACCTTTTGCCACCAATCTAGCTTTATAGATCTGAATATTACCATCCATGTCGATTTTCTTCTTGAAAACCCATTTACACTCAATGGCTTTAACACCATCAGGTAAATCAACCAAAGTCCATACTTGGTTTTCTGACATGGAATCCATTTCGGAATCTGCGGCCTTTAGCCATTTTTCGAATCAGGGCCCATCATTGCTTCCTCGAAAGATGTAGGTTCATCACTTTCTATAAGAAATATAGATCATGATCGTCTGTCACCCAAACCCCATATCTATTAGGTTCGTGACGAGCCCTTTCGGACCTACGTACTTCAGGTTCCACAGGTGTAGATACTACGACTGCTCGTAAATCTAACTGAGGCTCTTCCTGGGAAGTCGGAGCCTCCTGTGTCTCTCGAACTTCTTCGAGTTGTACTTCACTCCCACTGTTCTTCTTAGAAAGAAATTCTCTTTCCAGGAAGACACCATTTCGAGCAACAAACACTTTGGTCTCGGCAGGGTTGTAAAAGTAATAACCTTTAGTTTCTTTTGGATAACCAACAAAGAAGCATTTATCAGATTTGGGTCCAAGCTTATTTTCTGGGAGTAAACGTTTTACAAAAGCTTCACAACCCCAAATTTTCATAAAAGACAAATTATGAACTTTTCTAGTCCATATCTCATATGGTGTCTTTTCAACTGATTTTGATGGATATCTATTTATCGTAAACGCAGACGTTTCTAGAGCATATCCCCAAAAGGATAATGGAAGATCTGTATGACTCATCAAATGATCGAACCATATCTAATAAAGTCCGATTTCTCCTTTCAGATACACCATTCCATTGTGGTGTTCCAGGAGGAGTGAGTTGTGAAACAATTCCACATCCTTAAGATGATCAATGAAAGCTTGGCTTAAATACTCTCCTCCTGATCTGATCGAAGGGCTTTGATTGTTTTACCAAGCTGGTTTTGTACTTCATTCTGAAATTCTTTGAACTTTTCAAAAGACTCAGACTTATGTTTCATTAGATAAACATAGCCATATCTACTGAAGTCATTAGTAAATGTGATGAAGTACTGATAGTTTCCACTAGCATTTATACTCATTGGTCCACTCACATCTGTATGTATGAGGCCCAATAAGTCGCTGGCCCTTTCACTGTGTTCAGTAAAAGGAGCCTTAGTCATTTTTCCAAGTAAACAAGACTCACATTTTTCAATTGATTCAGCGCAAAAGTCCATGAGTATGAAGCTTTTGAATGCACTTCTCATTTATATGGCCCAAACGACAATGCCAAAGAAAAGTTTGATTCGAGTCATTTGACTTAAATCTTTTGGTTCTAATGTTATAGACATGCACACTTTGGTTTAGAACATAAAGCCCATTCTCTAATGGACCACTACCATAAAACATATTATCACGATCAAATGAACAACACTTGTCTTTAATCGTAAAATGAAATCCTTCCAAATCCAAACATGAAATTGAAATAATATTTCTGCTTATAGCAGGTACATAGTAGCAATTTTTAAGTTCTAAAACCAAGTCTGACGGCAAAGACAAATGAAATGTTCCTACAGCTAATGCAGCAACTCTTGCTCCATTTCCCACACAGGTCCACTTGTCCTTTCTCCAAAGTTCTACTGTTGCTTAGGCCCTGCATATTAACACAAATATGAGCACCACAGCCGGTATCTAATACCCATGAAGTAGAACTGGAAGTAGCAACATTTACTTCTATAACATAAATACCTGAAGATGAAGTCTCAAAAGTCTTCTTCTTCTTTTTCAGATCTTCCAAGTATTTCTTGCAGTTTCTCTTCCAATGACCAGAATCATTACAATAATGACACTTGTCTTCACCAGAAGGACCAGGTTTGGTCTTAGGAGTAGGTTCGGAATTGCTTGGGTTCTTAACCCAGCTTGCCTTGCCCTTTCCCTTGTCCTTACCATGTTTCTTAAACTTCTTACCCCCTTGTACCATTAGGACGTGAGGGGTGTCCTTCATGATGTTGGGTTCAGCAGATTTAAGCATCCCATGCAGCTCAGTCAAAGTCTTTGTCATGTTGTTCATGTTATAGTTCATAACAAACTGATCAAAACTTGACGGCAATGACTGCAGGATGAGGTCAGTGGCCAACTCTTGGCTGATTGGGCAGTCCAGTTTTGCCAGGTTATCAATATAACCCATCATCTTAATGACATGAGGGCTAACTGGACTGTTCTTAGGAAGCTTGCACTCAATGAGAGTTTTAACCGTTTGGTATCTCTCAGTTCGTGCTTGCTCCTGAAACATACCCTTCAGGCTAGTGATCATGTCAATTGGCGAATCCACGTTCTCATATTGCTTCTGCAAGTCCGAGTTCATGGTAGCCAACATAAAACAACACACATCAACCGTATCATTGGAATGTTTCTCCCAAGCATTCCTCTCTGCATGTTGAGCATTTGTCTTAGGTTTTTCAGGAAGTTTCTTTTCCAAGACATAGTCCTTTTTCTCCTGTTTGAGAACAATTCTCAGGTTTCGGTACCATTCAAGGAAATTCGATCCATTCAACTTTTCCTTCTCAAGGACAGATCGAATGGAGAATGAACTGTGAGTAGTTGTCATAGCTGAATCAAAAGGAATAGAAGATGTTAATATGATGTTCATAAGTTTAGAGAAATCTCAACAATTAAGAAAACTCACATTATATTCAAAACAATAATATCCTCAAAATGAATATAATGATCCAAGATCCATATTTTACTAGAATTCAAGTGAGCTTTGGCTCATCGCCCGAATGCCTAGTTATTTAGGTAAGCAACAACATTGCTAATTATATCAAATATAATTCTTGGTTGTTAGATGACATCTTATGTCTAATCCAACCTATGCCTCTAAGCCCAAAACCGTTTTGATAGCTTAGTCAAGCAAACCTAATTTTGTTTCATATGGTAACCATTACCATCTGTCTTACTTATGTAATTGTAGACACCTTGCTGAGCAAGCCCATCACACAATGAAACAAGTCTTGACAGTTGACAAAATTGGAGAGGCATCAAAATACTTGATATTTTATGAGGAACTAAATTTTAATCCAATTTTAGTTTATATTTAAGTTTTATATCTAATATAATATTAAATATAACTAATACATATCTTATATGATTTCATTGGATTACAAATAATTGAAGTAATTAAAATAATTGAAGTAATTTTAATCTAATTAAATTAATAAATTATTTAAGCAGTTAATATTGATTTAATTCTTATGTCTTAATCAAATTAAAAACTTGAATTAAAATAATATAGTGGAATATGAATTATTATATACTCGATATCACATACCATATAATATATTAATTAAAATCAAGTGATCATGCATTACGATAATGCGTACGTGACTTTAATTCATATGTGCATGAACTTTATCCTTTATCACATGCAGAAACAAAGATAATGCTACGTACTCATAATCAACTATTTGAACAGCCGCTTAACAATTGTTATAATCAAATTACTAGTAAAGAACCCGCACGTTTGTGCGGTGTGACGTTGTGGTTTTGTGTAAAAAATCTAAACTCTAAATCGAATCCGACCCGAAAACCCTAATCAAATTTTTAAAACCCCACTTTTTTAATATGTGTATATTCGAAAACCCAAAATCCAAAAAAATCTTGAAAACCCAAAATCCAAAAAACCCCAAAAACCCTAAACATAACTAAAAAAACTCAAACTTATTCACCCGAAAGCCGAACCCAACCCAAAAACCTTAATCAAAATTTAAAATGTCCAAACTTTTTTAATATGTCTAAACCCGTAAACTTAAAATCCAAAAAATCGAGAAACTCAAAAATCCAACTACTCAGATAAATCCGAATCCGAAGGTATCTATCCAAACCCGACCCGATCATCCGCAAGTTTATGAAGATGTGAATCGATCAATTAACATATTTGATTTATGCCTTGACTAAACCTTGTTTTAAATTATTATGTAGCTACAGCAGCAGCGCATGGGTTATGTTTTGGTCCTCATTTATTATATGATTTTGTAAAATTGGTTAAGTTCAGTTTTTTATTTTAAGAAAACTCATATTATATTCAAAACAATAATATCCTCAAAACGAATATAATGATCCAAGATCCATATTTTATTAGAATTCAAGTGAGCTTTGGCTCATCGCCCGAATGCCTAGTTATTTAGGTAAGCAACAACATTGCTAATTATATCAAATATATAACTCTTGGTTGTTAGATGACATCTTATGTCTAATCCAACCCATGCCTCTAAGCCCAAAACTGTTTTGATGGCTTAGTCAAGCAAACCAATTTTGTTTCGTATGGTAATCATTACCCTCTGTCATACTTATGTAATTGTAGACACCTTGCTGAGCAAGCCCATCACACAATGAAACAAGTTTTGACAGTTGACAAAATTGGAAAGGCATCAAAATACTTGATATTATGTGAGGAACTAAATTTTAACCCAATTATAGTTTATATTTAAATTTTATATCTAATATAATTTTAAATATAATTATGCATATCTTATATGTATTTTCATTGGATTACAAATAATTGAAGTAATTTTTTTTGTTAAAGATAATTGAAGTAATTTTAATCTAATTAAATTAATAAATTATTTAAGCAGTTAATATTGATTTAATTCTTATGTCTTAATCAAATTAAAAACTTGAATTAAAATAATATAGTGGAATATGAATTATTATATACTCGATATCACATACCATATAATATATTAATTAAAATCAAGTGATCATGCATTACGATAATGCGTACGTGACTTTAATTCATATGTGCATGAACTTTATCCTTTATCACATGCAGAAACAAAGATAATGCTACGTACTCATAATCAACTATTTGAACAGCCGCTTAACAATTGTTATAATCAAATTACTATTAAAGAACCCGCACGTTTGTGCGGTGTGACGTTGTGGTTTTGTGTAAAAAATCTAAACTCTAAATTGAATCCGACCCGAAAACCCTAATCAAATTTTTAAAACCCCACTTTTTTAATATGTGTAAACCCGAAAACCCAAAATCCAAAAAAATCTTGAAAACCCAAAATCCAAAAAACCCCGAAAACCCTAAACATAACTAAAAAAACTCAAACTTTTTCACCCGAAAGCCGAACCCAACCCAAAAACCTTAATCAAAATTTAAAATGTCCAAACTTTTTTAATATGTCTAAACCCGTAAACTTAAAATCCAAAAAATCGAGAAACTCAAAAATCCAACTACTCGATAAATCCGAATCCGAAGGTATCTATCCAAACCCGACCCAATCATCCGCAAGTTTATGAAGAAATATGTGAATCGATCAATTAACATATTTGATTTATGCCTTGACTAAACCTTGTTTTAAATTATTATGTAGCTACAGCAGCAGCGCATGGGTTATGTTTTGGTCCTCATTTATTATATGATTTTGTAAAATTGGTTAAGTTCAGTTTTTTATTTTAAATTTTTATGAATTGTGAATCTTGTTTAATATTCCTTTAAGTGAAGACTTTTGTTTCTTGTGATATGTGTTATGTTTTTAATGAACGTCATTTATTAAAAAAAAAAGAACAATAGCTTATTTTTGCATTTCTTACAAACAAAAAAGGAAAAAAAAGACATGTGGTCCATTTCGAGGTTTCTTCACTTTCATTCCTCTTTCTATCTTCTAATTCCAAACAACTGGATTGATCTATCATCAATTATCATCAACTATAAATCCAAAGCTTCAGAAAAAGTAGAGACTGATCAATCTTTGCTGGGTTTCCCATCCATGTATTCATTGAGTAAGATTTTCGAAGTTCTTGTTGTAGATCTTTGCTTGAACGGTGTATAGATTAAGCCCATTATATGCTTCAATCATCTGTAACTGATTGGCAAGCTAATCGATAAACTTTCAAAACTTATCCGTATTAGAAAATGCTTTTGATTTGCTATTATCATCATTGTATTATTTATTTATTTTTGGTACAAGTTTGGATAGTGTTTTAATTGAACCGATATTATCATCATTGTACTATTTATTTATTTTTGGTACAGGTTTGGATAGTGTTTTAATTGAACCGATGTGCATTCAATCAATTTTTGGCCTACCCACTTTCGGTTTGTTTTAAGTGACTTACAGATCCGCGTGTTGACCCGATTCATTATGGATCGGATTTTTTTAATAATCTGAGTTGACTCAGTGGACTCGACAGTTTTAAGACAAAATTGTCCCTTGCTATACCTGTTTCCAAACAATATTTCTTCATAAGAGCATTGGTTTTTTGGTCCAAAAATTACCAATGTACTTCTCAATTAATAATAAAGAGATAGTGACAGCGAAATAAGTTCAGGCACATGTACAATTTTAGATTCAGTCCAATAACTACAGTAGAAACTCTATCAATTAATAATGTTGGGACTTTGATATTTTATTAATTTATAGTGTTATTAATATATAGATTTTGACTAAAAATCAATATTAAATCAGAAGTTTCCTTTATATGTACATTTTCTTAAAATTTTCATGATGTTTCCATATTTACTTTATTGTTCATATTTTCTCATACTTGCCATATTATTAAAAATTGTTTTTTTGCTTTTAGTTTCCATATATGTTTGGTGTGTGACACATTCATATTTTAGTAATTAGATATTTTAGGTGTATATATATAAAAATAAAAATAATTATTAATTTATGATATTATTGGGACCATATTTTACATAGGAGTTCAAAAAAAGTTATTATCTTATTATCTTATTGAATTGTGTCTTATTTTACACTGGCCCAACTCGGGACCAAAGAAATTTATTAATTTATCGTGTTTATTAATTTATCGAGTATCAATTTATAGAGTTTCCACTGTAGTTACAATCAAATTATAATATAATAATTTCCAAAATTATTAAATCTAGTCGTACTTTTATGGTTGAATTCATGAATCTCAATTTAATCAAATCAAATATGCAAACAGAGCTTCGGTGAATTCAAACATGAGCTACGATGAACAAGTATATCAGTAATATACAATTAGCTAGATTCAAATCAAAATTATGCAAGTTCACTCTGATACCACTGTTGGAATTCATGTATGTTTATAACACTTTATAAAACTAGTTATGAAATCAGTTCCAAAACCTTAAACAAAATATTGAAATAAATCTGGATCTAAGAGTCTCGAACATACCTTGCGTCTTAGGATCGGAAGAGTGATTGAAATAGATCAAGGTTGTACAAGCACTCCAAGTATAGTGCCTCCGTCCGCATCCACACGCACAAAAACTGGATCAAGGCGGGATGCTAGTGCCGCTGAGATCTGATCTCGAGATGGACTTACAGCTACTCGTGACGGGAAGGATTGGAGAGTAGATATTTGTCCGCAGTGGCTTTGAGGAGATACGTTTTTCCTGGCCGTATGAAGTGATTCTCGTAAATGGGCGATTGATGAATGTTACTGGTATCCTTCGATCATTAGCTGGGGGTGGAGGGTCTCAATCTTTTGTTAGAGATATTGATGAAAATAGTAATCGATCAGTATTTGTAAATTTGATAGTTGGGAGAATTGTAAATGTTGTTATATGCAGTATTAGAATAAATACAATGTGTTAAAGAATAAGGATATAGTTTATATTATGCTAGAGTTAAATAAGTATGAACTCCTGTAGGAGTTTCAAGTCTATCTTAGGCAATGTGTAAATACTTTTGTATTGAGAATCAATAAACTAAGTCAGTTGAATATACCTTATTCTATATGGTATCAGAGCAATAAGATTCTTAGGATCAAAATTAAACCTTCCGCTTATAAGTTTTGTGATCATAAAGAGGTCAACGAAACAATGACCATCGAAGAAGATGGTGGTGACGAAGCCGATCCAGATGATGATGTGAAGAAACTTCCCTCACGTGCTGTTGTCTTTACTTATTAATGATTAAGTTTCTTTTCTTTGGTTTGTTTGGTATGTTCTTTAGTTTAAGTTAAAGGGGTTCATCTTTTTAGGTTTTTTGGATGAACTATTTTAAATTAGGTTATGATTTCTTGGTTTTGTTTACAAGAGTTTACGTGAGTTGTGGAAAATTATTTTGGTTATGGTTCTCATGGATTAGTAGTTTTGGTGTAGAATTTGTGAGAGTTATTCACAAATTTTTTAGTTTAATTCTATGGTTTTAGTTTAATACTCTCCGACTGGTGTGTATGGTAGTATGTGTCGAGTTCCAGTAGTGCTCGAAGGAATGAAGTCGCAACGGTGTTGCTTTATATTGTGTACTCCGTGGATAATCCAAGAGTTATGACTACTCCAATCTTGTTGAACGGAGGTTCTCAGTTGTGTTTCTTGGTGGGAAACAAAGTACAAGTGCATCAGATTAAGGTGCAACTCATGTCGACAAGAAGGTCAATCCTTGTTGACGGTTTTTGGGAGTGTTCCATTCCAAAAGTTAGTGTTCAAGTTGGGAGTTCTTGATCTCCGATCTCTACTCTTTAACTTGAGGGAAGTATTAGGATAAATACAATGTGAAGAATAAGAATATAGTTTATATTATGCTAGAGTTAAATATGTATGAACTCCGGAGTTGCCTATCTGATCTAATAGATTCAGATTGACGATGAAGTTCTTGATCTGCTCTGGAGTAACTAGTTTAGGAACGCTTTTCACAAGCGAAGAAGTACTATCATCATAAGAACCTCCTCTAAAAACAGCCATGACAGATGGATTCTGAAGGCATCTCTCTGAGTTTGCATTCCCATAACTGCAGTGACGTGCACTGCGTAACGGAAGCCTTGTAAGCACAGAGACGTTGCCAGTCTATCATCACTCTGGTCAAGAGTGACACTGAATGCAGCAAGCATTGGTCCCCATGAGACTTCTAGTATGAATCTCAATATTGAGGCATCTGTCACCAAGAAAATCACAAAACGATTGATATGATTTCTTGATCTTAAATAGTTAAATAGTCAAATACCATTTACACTTTATAATTATTCTCTTTCTCTTGTAACTAGCTACTAGAGAGAAACAGAGCATGAAATAGCTGCTTAGAGAGAACAGAGCATGAAATAGCTATTGGGTTTTTCTGTTGTTCTACCGAAACTCAAACTCAATTTTTCAAACTTTACTTATAATTAACGCATGTAGGTCTTTCGAGGCCTTTTCCAGACGATCTAATATATGTCAGAGTATTATTAATATATCGTCGGAAAGATATCATTCTAAGCTTTCTAAAACATCCAAAATCACAATAATCGGAGTTATATTCAGAAAGTTATCTCTATTTCTTTTTCTTCTTCAAATCTTTCAAAGTTTACATAGTTTAGAGTTTTTTCAGATTCTACTTGAGGTTTTGTAAAACGATTCCGTCTTGTATGGTAGGTCTCCAGAAGTCGTTCTACATATCATTTTGAAGATCTCGAACCCAACTTTTGAGATCTTCTTCACCTTATCAAATTAAATTTATAGTTTCTGCGAAAATCAGTCTGAAAGTTCACCAAAATCTCTGGTTTTTTTCTGCAAATCTCAGTTTTCAAGTTTTCTTACAGTTTTGTCTGCAATCGAAAAAAATTACACATGTCAACTTAAAATTCAACTCAAAAATGCTCTATTCAGATTCTGATGAGTAGTCTGACGGACTAGAGTTATTGGAGTCCTCAAATTCTCCCACGTTGGCATCGCCTTCCAAATCCATGCTATCAAATAACTGATTTTCAACGTCCACCAATATCGTGTTTTCAAGAGAATTTTTGATGACACTAGTAACTCCTGCAGAATTTTGTTGCATTGGATCGTGGTCCTTCACACCGTCTACTCGTCCCCTAGGATTAACTTGTGCAACTGTGATCCAAGGATTGTTGATTTGACTCACCCTAGGATATGGAAGATAACACACTTGGTCGGCTTGAGAAGCAATGATAAATGGATCGTACTTATTTAATTTTCTACTTGAGTTAATCACGGTAACGCCTAACTCCGTAAGACGAACACCACGTTTACTCGTAGGATCATACCAGTGAAACTTGAAAAGGACACATTTCAAGTTTATGTATCCAGGATACTCCACCTCTAAAATGTCTTCTAGCACACCATAGTAGTCGACATCCGTCGTATGCACGACAACCCCGTCGTTCACAGTCTGCCTATTGTTGAACTGTGTTCTTCTCTTGAATACATACCCGCGAGTGCAATACACCCCGTCGTTCACAGTCTGCCTATTGTTGAACTGTGTTCTTCTCTTGAATACATACCCGCGAGTGCAATACATTGGCCACGAGATTGTTTCTGAAAGTGGTCCTCCTACTAACTCTTGAAGCCATGTTGGAATTACTTCGTCTCTTGTCGATGCTGATTGAACCTGATAATAGTACATAGATTTTGACATGTTAGTCACTTTTTTGTCTTCTCGTACAAAAGCCAACAAATCGTAAAAAGCTAACAAATTTAAAATAATTTACTCACATAGAACTTTAACCAATTAGCAAAGTCTTCTTGTTTCATGATTTCAATTTGAGAATCACTTTTTCGTGGATGCTTTTCCTTGATTTGGTCAACGAATATGCTGATACATTATTAATCTTATTAGTTAACAACTTGACACAAACAATCCACAAAAAGTCTTATTAATTGGAAAGAAGAAATATAAAGAATGAGTGTACGGTACAAGTTCCTCGCAGTTCCGGAGTATATATGTGTGCACATAGTTGTACTCTTCATCTGTCAACCAAACTGATTTTTTTTTCCCACTAAAGCGCCCAATTTCTGAAAATATTTCAGGTACATGGGTATGGTATAAAGGTTTCTCCCCACCGTCATCATAGCGACTTGGTTTTCTAGCTTCAGTTTGAACTTTCGGTGCAAAGTAATATGAAGAGAAATATGATGTCTCCTCATTTATGCTTTGTGCCACAATGGAACCCTCAACCTTACTAAGATTTTTCACCTTCTTTTTCAAGTGAAACATGAATCTTTCAAATGGATACATCCACCTATATTGAACAGGTCCACCAAGTTCTGCTTCCCGAGGGAGATGAATTGAAAGATGCTCCATAACATCAAAAAAAGATGGTGGAAATATTATTTCTAGATTGCATAATAGCAAAGGAATATTTTCCTCCAAGAGAGCTATACCCTCGGCTGTCAAGGATCTTGAGCAAAGATCTCTAAAGAAAGCTCCTATCCCTGTTTTTTTTAACTACATAGTTAGTCAACAATAACATATATTTTTGACAATAGTGGAAGAATAAGTAATTTGAATACCTGCTACTGCTTGATGAACATTATTCGGTTAGAGTTCCATAAGTGCGAAAGGAAGCAAGCACTGCATAAAAACATGGCAATCATGACTCTTCATTCCGGATAACTTGCCGTTTTTTATGTCTACGCAACGGGAGAGATTAGATGCATAACCATCTGGAAACTTAACACTATGGGTTATCCATTGGAAGAATACATCCTTCGCATTTGCATTTAATCTGAAGATAGGAGTTGGGCCTTTCCCATTGCTCATCACGTGCACATATAACAGGGAGATCTAATCTTGATTTCAAATTGTCCTTGGTCTTTCCTTGCACATTCAGTATTGTATTCATGATATTATCAAAGAAATTCTTCTCTATATGCATGACATCCAGATTATGCCTAAGCAGGTGATCTTTCCAATACGGTAGTTCCCAAAAAATACTCTTTTTATGCCAGTTATGGTTTATACCATACCCATCAGTACGCTCATGTCCATTGCCGCCTACTTCCACAGTTTTATCTGCAGCAAAATCTCTCAACTGCTTAAGTATATTTTCTCCTGATATCTCTGGAGGTGGTGTTTCATGTACAACTTTGTTTCTTGTAAACATCGTTGTCTTTTCTCGATATTCATGATTCATTGGCAAGAACCGTCGGTGACAATCAAACCAAAAAGATTTTCTTCCATGTTTAAGCTGAATTGCATCGGTGTTATCTTGACAATACGGACATGAAAGCCTTCCATGGGTGGTCCACCCGGATAACATTCCATACGCTGGAAAATCACTAATCGTCCACATCAAAACAGCACGCATTAGAAAATTGTTCTTTAGAGAAACATCATAAGCTTCTACACCCTGGTACCACAAAGCTTGTAACTCATGAATCAATGGCTGTAAAAACACATCAAGTGATCGCTTAGGATGTTCTGGTCCAGGAACAAGAACTGTTAAGAACAAAAACTCTCGTTTCATGCATAGAGCTGGGGGAAGGTTGTAGGGTGTGATGATTACTGGCCAAAGTGAGTACTGGCGTCCAGCCTTACCAAAAGGATTGAATCCATATGTACACAATCCCAAGTATACGTTCCTATGGTCACTTGCAAATGTAGGATATAATGATTGAAAATGTCTCCATGCTTTGGCATCAGAAGGATGAGAGATTTTGCCGTCAAAGGAATGCTCCGCATGCCACCTCATAGGACCTGCGGTTCGCTCAGAATGGTATAGCCTCTTCAACCTGTCTGTTATTGGCAAATACCACATACATTTGTACGCATGTCTACTTCTCCCACTAGTAACCTGAAATCGTGGCTTCCGGCAAAATTTACATGCATCCAGATTTGCATCTTCTCTCCAAAATATCATGCAGTTATCAATACACACATCTATCATTTGGAATGGTAGCCCAAGTGCTGACACCATTTTCTGTATTTCGTAGTAAGAACCGGGTGAACAATTAGGCTGTGGCAAATACTCCTTCATGAAATCAGCTATTGCATCAACACAATCCTCAGACAAGTTATATTCTGTTTTTATGTTCACCATCCTAGTTGCTGCGGATAAACGAGAATGACCCTTTCCACAAGCATCATAAATCGGGTTTTTCGCTGCATCTAGCATATCAAAAAACTTTCTCGCTTCTGAGTTTGGTTCTTCGACAATGGTCTGATTTTCACGAAAAGCATCTGTGACCATCTGTACAACACCAGTTGGATCATCAAACAAAATATCTTCCTCTCCAACCATGTTAGCATTACCATCATCCAGTTGATATCCATCACCATTATGATTACTTGCTTGCTAAAGTTTCAAAGTCTTCTACATGGGAAAACCATATATAATAACCGGGTGTAAATCCACGCGAATATAAGTGCTTCCAAATAGTATCCACGGAGATAAATTTCTCATTACCACATAAGGAACAAGGACAATACATCTTACCTTGCTCAAGTGGGATCTCTTGACTTGTAGCAAATTGCATAAATTCATTAAGCCCTTGCTTATACTCCTTCCTTAATTCTCCGGTAGCTTCGTTTATCGGGTTGTACATCCATTCACAATCCTTGTGTTTATTGGTAGCCATAGAAGACGATGCCTCCAAAAAAAAAATTGATTTTGCTATATAGATGACCTAGAAGACGATGAAGATATACAGAAAAAGATTGTGGGTAATACGTCGGAAATTCGTTGGAAACGAGTCGGAGATACGTTGCAAATTCGTCGGTAATGATTTGTCCTTTGATCGCAAATTCGTGAGAAACATGTCGGTACAACGACACAAAAGTGTTAGAAACGATTTATGTTCTGTGGCAAAGTCGTTGGAAACATGTTAGAGGTGCCATCACAAAGTCGTTGGAAACAACTCGTAAGTTTTGTTGGAAATCTCGTTGCAACAAATTCGTGTTTTGTCACAAATTCGTCGGAAACCAAAGCTACAATGTTCCAATGAACGTGTCGTTGGTACTTTCCAACAATAAATATATCGTCGGAAGGCGTCGTTGGTACTTTTCAACAATCAGCATATCGTCGGAAGGTGTCGTTTGTACTTTCCAACAATCAGTATATCGTCGGAAATTTCGGACGATCGTGGTTTTGTTGGAACGTTCCGACGAGTTTGCAACCACTCTTCCCACATGATTTCAACCATTCAAAGTCGTTGGAAATTATAACGTATTTCCAACGAAACTTAATTACGACAGAATCTTGATAGATAATCGTGGGAATTTACCAATGATTTTATTTGTCAGGAATTTTTTGTTGGAAGATCCAGTGTTTTCTTGTAGTGTCCTGGTTTGTAGGAGAATCAAGTCTATCTTAAGCAGTCACCAATGTGTATAAATCATATATATGAAAAGGGGCCAACTCTCTCCATATTTTGGACATGTGGACACAAGAAAAGAAGACACTTGGCAATGTTTTCTTTTTTCTTTGTAATTTTGTAAAAAAGAAAATTAATTATAATAGCGTTTTCATTCTTCCCCTTCTACTAGCTGTTTCAATTTTGGTATAAAAAATAGGATACACTCATCACTCTCTTTAGCTCTTTCATCTTCTTCATACTTTATGAAGCGTTACACTAAATTAAAATGCAGTCTCCATTCCGTGACCTCTCTATATTTCCTGTGTTTTAGTTCTATTTTTTATTCACGGAAGCCATAACGATAGTCCTAATTCATATGAAGAAACTTACCATGTGGATGAAGTAATTAAACGGTTAAACACTGCCTCTCCTCTCTTTCTATTATTGGATCTAATCAAGAAATATGTTAGTTTATAGGTATAAAATGTAGGGGGGAATATTTTATGAGGTTTATTGATTTATTCAGATGGAAATGCTGTTGAGAAGATTCAATAAGAAAAATATAAGATGATACACAAAAGCAGATGGAGGTAAAGGAACTGGAATTGTTTAGTTTTGTTTTCTCTTCTCACATTTGGTCCTGATAAATTTACGATAGTATATCATGTTATTTGTGTCTCTTCATGTATGAAAATTATTGTGATGATTATTGTGATTATACAGTGTTATCAAATGGAATGTATTTCAACATTAGTATGATAAAATTTGTATAAGTAAAACCCGCGCGTATGCGCGGGCATAGGTCTAATATTCTTGAATTGAGAATAATTAAACTAAGTCAGTTGAGTATATCTTATTCTACATGCAGCGAATAATTTGGGTATATTACCTTTTGATATTTGTTAGCACAAGAGACGTTATTTTTTTGTTCCTTTTGTAACGTCTAACCATCGGTTTAATACTACTCATAATTACCATTTATTTGATTATCGGGTTTTCATATTTTTCTTTGCCTATATTTTTTGGATAGTGAGACAATTATTTTAGGATATAATACATTGGTCTAGAGGTTAATGTGCAGAGGCGTAATTGACGTTATAGTAATATCCTTGTCACTCTTTATTTATTCACTACTACGGAACACACTATGCTTCTCTACCATAATTTTTTTCTGAATCTATTCTCTAGAACTTAAATATTTAATAGTGATTCAAGATTGATGACGAAAGATAATAATATTAAAGTGATAATAGTTTTATTTTATTTTATAAGTTCTAATGGCCACAAAAGAAAACCAAAAGTTACATTGAAATTCCATTAAACTTTTAGATATTTTTTAAAGTGAAAATTATATGAAAATGTATTTTGTAAGTTACAATAAACACAAAAGAAGACCAAAAGTTGCATTAATGTTATATTAAACTTTTAGATTTTTGTTTTCTAAAATGAAAATTATATAACATGTGTCATTTTCTCATATATCCATGTGTCAGAGTTGGCCTCTTTTGATATTTGTTAGCACAAGAGACGTTATTTTTTTGTTCCTTCTGTAACGTCTAACCATCGGTTTAATACTACTCATAATTACCATTTATTTGATTATCGAGTTTTCATATTTTTCTTTGCCCAAATTTTTTGGATAGTGAGACAGTTATTTTAGGATATAATACATTGGTCTAGAGGTTAATCTGCGAAGGCGTAATTGACGTTATAGTAAATGTCATCATTATTTCGTCTCCTTTGTATAATAAACAAAATTATTGTTGGAAAGTAGACGAAGAGACAGTCGTTGTTAACTTTATGATTATCCGAATTCTTAAATTTGTTGATTTAGAAGTTGACTAAATTAGTGATAATTTTATATGATAAGCTATGAGGTTTTGAGTTTTCACAAACTGTTCTTTTCATCTTACTTATGTAAGTGACTAATAGAGAAACGTTGAGGCAAAGTTAAAAACTGGAGAAAATGAAGTGTATACATGAACAAAAATTATATGCTCTGTAGTCCTTTTTCTTGGTTATAAAATTATGGGACAACAAACCATCTTGGTTTAGTAAATTAGTTATCTAGTGTAACATCTATAAACCAAATAATTGATAATTGATTTTGGTTCAATTTGAGTGAAATTGGGCCCGGTTTAGCCCGGTTAAGGGTTGGAAACCCTTATTTTCGTTTTAAAGGAGAAGCAGCCGTCTGTTCATCACGTTTTTCGAGGCAGAGAAGGAGAAAGGCGATTTTGAGAGTTCCTGGAAAATCCGATTTTACTGTTCATCGGGTACTGTTCATCGGAATGTTCACGGGTTACTGTTCATCGGTACTGTTCACGGGTTACTGTTCATCCGCGATTCGGCACTGTTCATCGTCTTTCCTTTAATCCATTGTCAAGGTGAGTGCATGACTGTGGGTCCGCGATTTGCTAGATTAGATTTGGTTTGTGATTGTTCTTGATGAGTTTATGTGTTTAATTGTTATTTCATAGTATTTTGGTTGTTTCTGTGATGAATTGTGTGTTTGTGTGGTTTAATCTGGTTTAATTGAATTAATTGATTTAATTGGTTTATCTTGGTTTAAATTGATTTGATTCTGGTTATTTGGTGTAATTGAATTAAAATGTTTTAATTCAAATTGTTTGATTTATTTTCGGATTTAATTAATTAATGGTTAATTTAATTAATTAATTGATTTAAAATAATTATTTTAATTATTTTAAAATATGGAAAATTATTATTTAATTATGAGAATTATTTAATAATTGAGAAATGAGTTTTAATTATTAATAATTATTTAATAATTGGAAAATGGTATTTAATAATTATTGGAGTTTATAAATATTATTAAATATCTAGTAAATTGCGTAAATGGCTCGTAGGCAGAGTGATTGCCTCACTAAGTATTTATTAAATACTTACGCAACTCCATTCCAATGTGTTGCAGGTAAAAGATTTGTGTGATCGCGGAATCAAGGCTGAAGAGGGGGATGATAGGATGTTTATTGTTTTATTTATTTTGCATTGTTTTGCTAGACTTGTTTAATTATTATTTGCTTCCGCTGAGCTGATTTATTTGTTATTGATATTTTATTTATTTAATTTATTTTAAAGACCTTGCTAGAATTGTTTAGTATTTATTAAAAAAAAAATGTGTTGGTTGTTTCATCTAGTAACCTATAAAAAAATTTTGGGATCTATTATTTATAAACTTTGACCATTTTATCACATTATTTTGTGGAACAATTTAACAATCAATTGCCTTAAAATTTATCTTTACTTATGATATTTCCATGTATTCTCATAGATATTTTTTCCATGAGATGATATGAAAAAAGAAATTAATTTAAAACTTTGAAAATATGATAGTTCATTACAAAATGTAAAATAAAGTGCAAAGAAGGGAAACACTAATAAAACATTAACTAGCAACATGTAAACTTCATAGAAAAGTAGAAATGAAGATGTTGTTTACATGGTCCAAACAAAATTTCACCATTTGTTTGTAATGGTAGCACTTCTCATATATGTTTTCTATGTCACTGAGGTTGCAAACATATGGTGGCATCATGGCAGCCAAAGAGTCAAAATACTGTTGCTTCATTTCAACACCAATTCCATATAAAGCCCTTAAAATACTTCTCCACCAGTTGTTAGCCTTTGAGTTATCACTACATGGATGTAGGTGGTCCAGATATTGTTTCCCAATTTCAAAATGGCCAAGACACAAGTTGATTATCCCATACAAATAAATTGTCTCATCAACTGGAGGAGTTGCATGAGCTTCTCTTGCCAATTGATTCAAACCTTCAATGGGATCATTAAAATAAAAGTAGTCAAGAAAACATTTCACATAGTTGGCTGATGCGTTGGATAGAAGAGACATTTCTTCATCAAGTTCTTGTAGTTGTCAACAGCCAATAGTGGGTTTGGAAAAGGTGGGTGATCTCCATTGATTTGAAAACTCTTGGATCACCAGCTGCAGCTGCAAGATCTTCACAAGTGATGATGAAACTCTTTGCATCTTCCCTAGATTCTTCACCAACAACTGCTAGTATTCAAGATAAACAATCTGTTAGAAGGGATTCAAGAGGAGAAAAGGGCTTATAAATTCTAACCATTTTTTCTTGTATGAAATGTATGTTGTGATTGTATTTTTTTGTTAAGTGGATGATATATATATGTAAGGTACACTACAAAAAAAAAAGCCTACATTCATAGCAAATCTTAATAGCACAGTTTGTTAAACTGATATTGAAGATGAGTTTGACCTAGGCTGTGTAATTGTGTTTCTGAACTTTGCTATTTCAATAAAAGTTGTTCTACTTGCTTCCCTCTTTCTTTTGATGTTGGTTTCATTGCATTTTGTTGGTTATTTTATCATGTGTAGTGAGTAGTTCATCTTTAGGGTTTAAGATGGGATGAACTAAAGGTTGTTTATACTTAATTTCTCTTGCTTAATGTTCTTAATCATAAATCTCTCTCTTTTGGACTAAGCTTAAGGCTACACAACCACTACCCATGGTGTGTATGAATCTAGGTGATTATCTTCATGGGAATGAATAGATAATTGCTTGAACAAGTCCACTAAGAGCTTTAATATGCTTGTCTCACGAAATGAGGTTCATAGGTGTTAATGGGTGAGTTTGAACAAAGGTTATAAGGCCTTCAAGACTTGATCTCACTGCTTGACCCCCTGTTTCTGAGATCTTGCCTTGATTGATAGCTTTCACCTTAGGAAAGGATTAGCTAGGCTTGAGAAGTTCAATACCAAGAGATAGCTTGAGTACAAGTTGTTAAAGAGCAAGGTTGATTAAGTATAGGCTTCCTTTAGTTACAAAACCCTGTCTGTGACCCTAATCTTCATCATAGTAGTCTAAAGTTTGCACCTTTATTGCTTTACATTCGCATTGCTCTGTTTTCCTCTGTTTCTGTACCAACTCGACCCTCAACTCGATCGAGCTCATTTGCTCTGTTTCTACTCGATCGAGCTCTAGGTCGATCTCTCTTGCATTCACTTGTTCTTGTTTAGTTTATGAATTTACTGCTTTGTTTACATCCCCTTTTACTGTTTCATTTGCATTTCACTTCAATTAGGTTGTTAGTGTTACATCCTTCCCCCATAATTGCATAGCTTCATAGAGCAACATCTCACCGATTTAGATTGATAACATCTTATGCTACATTGACTATGATGTTAAAGAGGAATTGGTTGTCTGTGATCTTATCTGTTTTCATCCACCACAATCATATTATATCATATCCATATCATCCATCACCACAGTAAAATCCTTTCATCAATTTGGCGCTGTTTCCATTTGGGTTTGTTTTGTTGCATTTGAGACTCCAATTCGCTTGAACGATAAATTACTATCCCACCTTTGTTGCTTGTACTGCTGGGTTTTTGACTGTATTGCAGATGTATGCGAACTCGATCGAGCTCATCTACAGAGGACTTGGTCGAGTTAGATAACAACATTGGTAAAAGACAGAGAAAGAAAAGCCAGAGGCAACAAGCTGAACCAGAGATGTTTGTTACTAATATTATGGATATACCAGAGGCAGGGTCGAGTTAGGCAAACTCGACCAATTAGACTTGGAGATGCCCCAAACCGCCACCAGCAAAGACAAGGGATTGTCCCTCCTCCTGTCCAGAATCACAACTTTGAGATCAAGCTGGGAATGATCAATCTAGTGCAGAAAAAGATGTTCCATGGGCTGTCTTGTGAAGGCCCAATAGATCATCTTGATGAGTTTGATAGGTTGTGTGATCTGACCAAGTTAAATGGTGTCTTTGAAAATGCCATCAAGCTGAGACTCTTCCCTATGTCTCTTGCTGATAAGGCTCACCAATGGGAGAAGAGCCTGCCCCATGGTTCAATCACTACATGGGATGAGTGCAAGAAGGACTTTCTTGCTAAGTTTTTCTCAACTGGTTGCACAGCCAAACTAAGGAGTGAGATCTCAGGCTTCACTCAGAGGAACAATGAGACATTTGTTGAAGCTTGGGAGAGGTTCAAGTCATGGCCTCATCATGGCCAACAATGAGTCTTTGCTTTCTACACTCTATAGAGGAGCTTTGCCTAGATACAGAGAGATGTTGGACACAGCCAGTAATGAAAACTTCCTAAATCAAGATGTAGATGATGGCTGACAGCTTGTGGAGAACATTGCTAACACAAATGGGAGTTATGGAGAGGAGTATGATCGCATCTCCAACTCGATCGAGTCAGATGACAAACTCGGAAAGGAAGTGAAGGCTTTGAATGAGAAGTTGGATAAGCTTATCTTAGCTCAATCCACAATGAAGAAGGTCAACTTTGTGTTGCTGAAGAGATGGTTCCGGTTCAAGAAGGGGAGGACACCCAATTTGCTGAAGTTTGCTACATGAGCAATGGACAAGGAGGATACCAGAATGGCTATTACAACTACTAGTCCAATCCAGCCATGTCTTATAGAAACACTGATGTTGCCAACCCTCAAGACCAAGTTTATCCCCCTCAGCAATAGGTTTCATGGAGTCAGCCACACAGCAGAGGTATGGCCCAAAAGGAAACTTCCAAGGACACCAAGGTACTTTCCCAAGGCCGAAAATGCACATACCACCTGGTTTCCCTCATCAGCCACCTCAACATGCGCCTAGCCAAGAACATGAGTTAAGAGCAATGCTGAAACAGTTGCTACAAGGCCAAGCTGATGATGTTATGGAAACAAGCAAGAAGTTGGCTGAGATAAACTCTAAGATTGAGTCCTTGACCACTAGAGTTCACACTTTGGAAAAACCATATCTTCTTCTGCTGCTGCCTGTGTTCTAAATCTCACTGGGCGGTCAGTCCCCGAGTAGCGACTTTTGCATAAATCGGAAATAAGTCGGGTACTCGGGGTGTAATTTTAGGGTTTATATAATAAATAAGCGTAATGTGACATTGTATACGTAGTAAGCTACTGGCATTTAGCATTTTCACATCAACTCCAACCCGGGTTCGAGTCCACCTCTTAACCATTATTATTTTTTGTATTAATGAAACGGGGAATTACATGTTTACCCTCATCTCCTTCCTTATGCCTCTGATATTCCGACCTAAATTCCGCCGACTGTCATTTCTTTCCACCATTAGTGTCGATTTTGTTGTTCTTTTTAATGATTTTGACTAAACAGTGATAGATCTATAACTCAACATCTTAGTTTAGACTAAAAATCGATATTAAAGTGGAAGTGTTGTTGTTTATGTACGGCTCACCTTTTAATTGGACCGATTAGAGGTACTTGCCATGGCAAGCTCAGTTCAACGAGTTCTCGGCCGCCTAATCGTCAACTCGGCCGAGTTTTAGAACATAGGCCTGCTGCTAAGCAAGGGAAACTACCTGGAAAGCATGTTCAGAATCCAAAGGAGCATTGTAAAGTTATCTTCACTCAAGAGAAAGGATTTGATTAACAAGCTGCTAATGAGAGGGATATTGAGTATTAGAGTGAAGAGATGAGAAGGCCGAACTTATAGTGAAGGCCGATAATCACAACAACAAAACGCCTTAAGAAGAAGAATCAAATCATGAACTCATCCTAGAAGAGAGCTTAACACATGACCTAGACATCAAGATAATGATCAAGCATGTTGATAAGAAGCTATGGAGGCCAAAGGAGTCATGAAGTGTGTAGCAAGCAACTGAAGCTTGTGCAGCAAGGGAAGTTGCTTGCAAGGCAACAAATTGTTCCAAGAAGTGAAGAGACTTGAGATACACGCCTAAGAGCAAGGAGAACTCTTCAAGAAGGTCACATGACCGTTAGAGAAGAAGAGAAGCAAGAGTCACAGACTCAACTAAGCAAGAGAGAGCCATTCAAACATAGATAGATGTTATGTGCTGTCACTATCACTCTCTCTTGCTCTTGTCTCTTAGTTTAGATGTGGACCACTTGTATGAGTGAGCTTAGGGCGAACTCTCCTTGTTTCTCTATAAATAGAGACCTTAGCTCTTTGTAAACAATACACAAGAATCAAAGAAATAAAGAGAAACACAAGTCTTGGAACAAACTTGCTTTAGCTTAATCTCCGTTACTCTTGTTTAACTTTGAATGTTAGCAATGTAGAGAGGTAAGTTAAATCCGGTTTTAGGTTGACTTAAAGGCAAACCATTTCTTGTTAATCTTTACTTAAATCTTCACTTAAACTCTCTATTATCTATGAGCTAATCCTCTTATACAAGCACACAAATTCCATAGTGTTGTGATGCTAAATCGGATTCCGTAAGCTCATCTTTTATCATATTACTTTGCTTTCTTGTTTAAGTGTTAATATGTTTATGAGATACAAACCTCTTTCATAAATCTAACTATTGATGTCTAGGTCATGTGTTAAGCTCTCTTCTAGGCTGAGTTCATCATTTGATTCTTCTTCTTAAGGCGTTTTGTTGTTGTGATTATCGGCCTTCATTATATGTTCGGTCTTCTCATCTCTTCACTCTAATATTGAGGAGATATGTATGCTCCTTAATAATGAAGAAAATGTTGTTGGTGATCCTCCTGCAATGTAATATATTGAACCTGAAGTGCAAGCTCCTCAGATAGCTATTCACATTTCACCAGTTTAGCTCGCACAACAAGCTTGATCGGCAGCTCGATCGAGTCAGAGAATTTCTGTTCCAGAACCAGTTTTGCTTGAACCTTACCAGCCAGTTTATCCATCTATAAGCCGAATCCTTAGTCAGGGTCCGAAGGAAGTGATTCACAAGTTCAGAAAGGACCTTAGTGAGGTAGGAGTTGAACTACCAGCTATGGGTAGTATGCATGTGGCTTTTGAACAAATGAAGATGATTCAAGACATTCTAGAAAACAAAGACAATGTTTCCACTCTATTGGAGCTTTCTACTGCTCAGCACAACCTCCTGACTTCACCTATCTTCTTACCAAAGCTGGAGGATCAAGGAAAGTTCACATTACCTTGAAAACTTGGCCATTTGGAGCTTGATGATGCCTTGGTTGATTCTGGTGCTAGTGTCAACCTGATCTCACTTGCAATGGCACAAGAGCTGGGTATTCAAGGTAGTTTGCAGCGCCCAAGCTCCACAATCATGTTTGGAGATGCTACTTCTAAGTCGCCTCTTGGTGTGTTCAAGAATTACCCTTTGAAAGTGGGTGAGTGCACAATCCCTACTGATCTTACTGTTTTGGATATGGTTGAGGAGAAGGATGTACCACTGATTTTGGGAACCCCTTTCCTTAGTACAGTAAGGTGATGATTGGTTCTCCCGCTACCACCCGCAAACGCAGCGTTTGCGGTTCGTAGCGGTTCTTAGCGTTTTATAACAATCACGACAACCGCTTTCAACCGCTCTATACCACTCTGTACCGCTCTATATCGCTGAAAATCAAAAGCTCCTTTCCGCAAGCGTTTGCGGTTGCGGGCGGTTGCGGTTTGAAAAAAAAAAAAAAAAAACATAATATCTCCAAATTTGGAATAAGGGTATATTTTTTTGAAAAATACCATAATTATGTTTAAAAATTTCGAAAATACCCTAAATTTTTTCTGTTTTGAAAAATACACTTTTAAAATGTAAAAAGTATGTTTTGACGTGATTTAAACAAAAAAATAATAAATAATTACAAATTATAAACGAAAATTTAAAAAAATAATAAACTAATAAGTTTTTTTTCAAATAAATATAGTATATGTTAAACTGAAACAAATTTTAATATTTTGGATCTTTATATAAACAACTTAACCTCATACACATTCAAACCAAATGAAACTTTAAATAAATTAAAACTTTACATATATTTAAAGTTTATAAATTATTAAAAATTTAAAAGTGGAGAAATATATCTTTCATTTTTAATGTTTATCTTTTGAAAAATTTAAATATTTTTGAAACTTTGCATAAACAACTTTAATCTCACCCCATTTAAACTTTATATAAACAATCTTATATTTTTATTAAATTGTTTAAAAAAAAACTAAACAGGTAATTAGGATGTTAAAATGATACAAAATTATTATCAAATATTAATATTTTATATTTCTTATTTGAATTTCGTTTTTATTAAATTAGGAATAATCATTTTACATATAAAAAGTGTATTTTTCAAAACCAAAAAAAAAGGGTAGTTTTCAAATTAAAAATTCATCAAAAAATATATTTCAAAAAAAAAATTATTAATATGGTTATAAATGTTTTGAATAATTATATATTATTTTTATTTTAGTAACTTTTGGTTAAACCGCTCTTGCACCCGCTGGCTAACCAGTCAAAAATATCCCGCAAACGCAACCGCTATGAATTGCTATACCAGTCGTACAAACAGCTTTTAATCGCAAACTCCCGCTTCCGCAAACTCCCGCAGCCGCAAACTCCCGCAACCGCAACCGCAGCGGTTAAACCAGTCAGACCCTAAGGGCTTCAATTGATTTTTATAAACAGGAAGTGATCCTCCACAAGGTCAATAGTTTGGTGTCTTACCCTTTGAAGGCAAAGGGACATGAATATTGTGGAACAATTGGGACTACACCTCTAAGTTCTAAGGTCAGGAAGCTGGTAGAGTTGTGAAGAAGAGGGTTGTGAGGGAAGCAAGACCTGATAGACTTGTACAAGCGCCTTGTGACCTTAATGAGGAGAGCCTTCAAGCTTTGTTCAATGAGCCACTAGGAAGTGCTCAAAAAGAAGGGAAGGATGCAGCCTCAAAGGCACTTTTGGGTGATAAAAGAAAGAATCCACAGCCTCAGGCTCCCTCAAGCAAGCGATCTCAGCTCACCTTGACCTTGTTTCCCTTTAAGTTTGAGAATGGGAAGACTGAGTACAAGATTAGGTACAAGGGCAGAACCAGACCTTTCTCTAAATCTAGAGATTTGATCACTCATGAACATTCCAAAGATCCAACCAAGTTAAAGGAGCTTCTCTCATCAGTCCTCACTATCACCCTTGATGGTGGGACTAGCTCATCCCATGCCTAAAAGGTAAAGGTCAAGCTATGGGATCTTAAACAAGCTCACTTGGGAGGAATTCCCATGATTATCCTTGTACATATCTTTTAGTTTACTTGCTTGTTAGTTTTTGTGTCTAAGCCTTTGCAGAAAGCTATATTTAGGTGAAAAGAAATCAGTTCGACCATGAACTTGATCGAGTTGCGGACAAAGGTAACTCGACCCAAGGTTTTTAACTCGATCCAGTCAGGTAATAATTTTGAATTTCAAATTTTTGTGACCATTTTCTTGGTCAAGGCAGTGGGTCCCACACCTGTGATTTTTGTCCCCCACTGGTCTGAGCTCGACCAGAGAACCCTAGGTCTTTGTCCCCCTCCTTTTGATCCTAGCCACACATCTCACACTTCCCCTTTTTCCTATAACTCGATCGCACCCCACCCTCTCTCTCCCCACCTCACAAAAACCTGAAACACAAGCATCTCTCTCTATTCTCTCCTCCTTCCTTGAAAACCCAGAAATTTCCTCTCTTTTTCCTAAGTTTTACGATTTGCCCTTTGCTTAATTTGCTCAATATTTATGTACTCTAGTCCTGAATGTAGACTGGCCAAAATCACAGCAAGGTTTGGCCCTATGAATCCTCTCTATCCATTGCTTTAATCTCTTCTTTTTCTCTTGCTTAAAATTGCTTTGCTTGAGAAACTTGTTCAATGTGCACCATTTGAGCTTGTTCTTGAGTTATTTGCTTTCTTAAATCTCTTTTGACTAAAGAAATCCTTGAACTTGTCTCATACATCTAGTTTCACTTAAACACTTGTTGCATGTGCTTTAACCCTTGAATTTGAGCTTGGTATATTGATTACGATGCTTTAATCTTCAAGTATATTGCTTATTGTGCTGAGTTCTTGCTGTTTTTGGTTCAATTTGGTTGTTTAGCATCCTATCACTATAAGAAAAACTGTAAATAGCTACAACAGAGCCACAAATAAGTTTGTGGCTAAATCAACATAGCCACAACTCAGACTAAACCAAAATTTTATGGTAAACCGTAACAATTTGTGGCTTAATAGACACAAAAATACCTTTTGTGACTATTTGTGTATAATTTACAACAAATAGCCACAAATATGGGTTGTGGCTAGAAATTTAATTATATTTTATTTGTATAACGCCGGACCGTCCCTCCCGGTGAGTCACCCATGCCCTCTCTCTGGCCCGCTGGCCCATCTCGGCCCGTGGGCCTCACCCCTGTCCGACGGCCGGTCCGTTATTTTTGAGAGGCTCTAATGACTTGTTTACTATCCCTGCAATCAACACCCGACCTTTCCACGTGTTTTGGCCTCACTCACACGGTTTCGTAAACCACTTCCCGAAAGGTCACCCATCCTTCAACTACTCTAGCCCAAGCACGCTTAACTCTGGAGTTACTTATAGACCTTTGACCGAAAAGGTAAGTACACTTTGTTGACATAAGTAGCCAAATCAATTCTCTTAAGCCTCTCCTCATTTATGACAAAAGGGATGTTACAACTCACCCCCACTCACTGCACGCAACGTCCTCGTTGCGCACTGGATCGTCACCCCTGACGGTGTGAGTCAAGGCCACTTCAACTTGACTCCACACTCTCGTCTGGGTTTAGCTCTGATACCAAATTATAACGCCGACCGTCCCTCCCGGTGAGTCACCCATGCCCTCTCTCTGGCCCGCAGGCCCATCTCGGCCCGTGGGCCTCACCCCTGTCCGACGGCCGGTCCGTTATTTTTGAGAGGCTCTAATGACTTGTTTACTATCCCTGCAATCAACACCCAACCTTTCCCCGTGTTTTGGCCTCACTCACACGGTTTCGGAAACCACTTCCCGAAAGGTCACCCATCCTTCAACTACTCCAGCCCAAGCACGCTTAACTCTGGAGTTACTTATAGACCTTTGACCGAAAAGGTAAGTGCACTTTGTTGACATAGGTAGCCAAATCAATTCTCTTAAGCCTCTCCTCATTTATCACAAAGAGGGATGTTACAATTTGAGCCACAAATTAAATTGTGGCTAGTTGTAACATATTCTAAATTTTATACCCTAAATCTCAAACCCTAAACCCAAAATGCAAATTAAAAATCTTAAACTTAAACCCCAAACCATAAATCATAAACTTTAAACCTTTAGAATTGAAATTCCTTAACATAAACTTTAAATCATAATTAACAAACACTTTTAAATACCACTCCAAACCCTTGTATATATCTAACCTTTACATTACAAAAAATGAGAACTCTAACAAATCATACACATTCTTATATAATTATATATGTGTCCAAATATGTGTATAGAATCTACATATTTTTCAAACATTTATAATAAATTTCAAGTATTTTAAATATAAATCATTTTCAAAATCTTAAACTTTAAACCCTACAAAACTAATGACTATACATATATATTCTCAAAATTCAAAATATACACTTATAAATCATTTCAAAAGTATCAGGATATAATCATTTTCTAAATCACAACAAAAAAAATTCCCAAATCCTAAAACTAAAATATTTAACCCTAAATTATAAACTCATGATGAAACATAAATCCTAAATCCAAAATTATAAAACCAAAATAAAAAATACTAATGAATCGAATTAATTATGAGTAAGATATGTATCAAATAGATTTGCAAATAGTATCTAAAACATAAGATTAGAAAGGTAATATTTTAAATCTCATTATGTAATTTTTATAAATGCAGGAAAAGGGTGGCTTCTCATTGGTTAATATCTATAGAAGAGGATCACTCTTTACTTTTATCATCAACCATTGATTAAGCTAAATCCAACGGATCCAAATATTTCCCCTTTTTTTCCTCTTTCTCTTCCCTTCTTCTTCGACAGATCTACTTTTGTCCTCTCTTCCTCTGCTGCTTCTTCTTCTTCTCTTCTCCTTTCCTCTTGTCTTCTCCTTCCTCGGCTTCTTCTACTTCTTCTTCTATTGGAATGTATTGAAATGTATTCATTTGATTAGTTTCGGTTACACTAAACCACTTGGTTATGTGGATTAGGTAAATGTACCGGGCTTATATAATGTGACCGTTGTAACATTTCATTAATACAACAGAGAATATTTTCTTCTTTTCGTCGTCTTCTCTCTCGTTCCTTTTCTTCTATTATGGTATCAGAGCATCGAGCCTGAAAGCTCGATCGATCTTCTGTTTTCCTTTTCTTCCGCCTTCTTTGACCTTGATTCGATCGGTGATTCTCCCGATCTTATCGTTTCTTTGTTCTATGAAAGTTTTTCGGATCATTTGCCGGAAATCGCAAATTTCATAGTTATATCTTCAATCTGAGCTCGATTTGGTGTTATAATGGTGATCGGACGCAAGGTAACGCGTCGCACCAACAGGACGACCTCATCTGCTCGAAAATCCGCGACTCGCAAAGCTCGCGATTCTTCTCCGGAACCGGATTCTCCGTTGACTTTCACAATCTCGCCGAACAGCGTTCATTCACCATACTATCTCACGAGCGGTGATAATCCTGGTCATTCGATCATCTCCGAGGTACTTGATGGCTCCAATTATGATAATTGGCGTATTGCAATGAATATCGCTCTTGATGCTAAGAATAAGCTCGCTTTTATCGATGGATCCATTGTTAGGCCTAGTGAATCGGAACAAATTTTCAGGATATGGTCTCGGTGTAATTCAATGGTGAAGTCATGGATTCTAAATTCGGTTTCTAAGGAAATTTACAAAAGCATTTTGCGATTCAGTGATGCTTCTGAGATCTGGAAAGATCTTTCGACTCATTTTCACATCACCAGCTTACCGCGATCCTACCAACTGTCTCAACAAATTTGGTCATTGAATCAAGGTTCTATGGATCTTTCGACCTATTATACTAAGTTGAAGACACTATGGAATGAACTGGATGGCACTAGCTGTGAGAAAACCTGTCATACTTGTGATTGTTGCAAATCAATGGCGAAGAAGTCTGATCATGCTAAGGTGATAAAGTTTTTGGCTGGTTTGAATGATTCTTATGTTGTGGTTCGGAGTCAAATCATCATGAAGAAGAATGTTCCTACTCTATCTGAAATCTACAATCTCTTGGATCAAGATCACAGCCAACGCACCATTCTTCCAGTCCAAAATGCTTCTGCATTTCAGGTCACTGTTCCTGATGCTAATCCTGCTTCCGCCAATGCAGCTTCATATCAGTCTCCGAAACCTCCTCGTGTTTGCAGTCATTATGGTTATATTGGACACACGTGGATATGTGCTTCAAAATTCACGGCTATCCACCTAACTTCAAACACAAGAACCCAAAAGTTAACTCCGAAAAATAGCCTTATACTCCAAAACCTCAGTCTACTCGTCCTGTTGTGGCTCAAGTTACAGTTCCTCCTGCCCACAACGTTGCTCCTGAGAGGTTGAATCAGTTGTCTAAAGATCAGATTCAGGGGGTTATCGACTACTTCAATGCTCAACTTCAGCCTTCCATCAATCAGTTATCAGAGGAAACGTCTACTTCTGGTGGACTTATCACTGCACTTCCTGGTATGGCATTCTCTTCTTCTACATTACATTTTGTGGGAGCCCTAAGAGCCACCGGAAATGCTTTGAATTCTGATTCCTGGATTATTGATAGTGGAGCTACTCATCACGTTTGTCACGATAAGTGCTTATTTGAGATGCTCTCTGAGGATATACATTATTCTGTTACTTTACCAACTGGTTCAGGAGTTCAAATCGCAGGAATTGGAAGTCTTAAATTATCTGAGCACCTGGTTTTGAAAAACATGCTGTATATTCCTGATTTTCGACTGAATCTTCTGAGTGTCAGTCAGCTAACTAAAGATTTGGGGTATCATGTTTCCTTTGACAGTGCTTCTTGTGTGATACAGGATCCTATCAAGGGATTGATGATTGGTCAGGGTGAAGAGATTGCTAATCTATACGTCTTGGATGTTGCTTTCGGTTTGACGACATCTTCTCAACCATCATCTTTTATTTCAAATGTTGTTGTTGATTCTACATTGTGGCATAATAGACTTGGTCATCCTTCTGACTTAAGACTGATTTTGTTACTGATGTACTTGGAATCAGAAATAAAAATAAGACTCGTTTGCCATGTGCAGTTTGTCCCTTGGCTAAACAAAAGCATCTCACTTTTGATTCTCGCAAAAATATGTGTGTCAATGCCTTTGATTTACTTCACATTGATCTCTGGGGTCCTTTCTCAGTACCCACTGTTGAAGGTTACAGGCATTTTCTCAATATTGTGGATGATCATACTCGTGCGACGTGGGTCTATCTGTTACGCACAAAAGACGAGGTGTTGCGAGTCTTTCCTGCTTTCTTGACGATTGTGGAGAATCAGTACAAGTGTTCGGTGAAGGGAGTTCGTTCTGATGATGCTCAGGAATTGAAGTTTGTGGATCTCTTCTGAGCTAAAGGCATCACTGCATATCACTCTTGCCCTGAAACGCCTGAACAGAACTCTATAGTGGAGCGGAAACATCAACATATCTTGAATGTTGCTCGCTCACTCATGTTTCAAGCTAAGGTTCCTCTCGAACACTGGGGCGACTGCGTGTTAACTGCGGTCTTCCTTATTAACCGCTTACCCACGCCTCTGCTTACCCACGCCTTTGTTGGTTTCCAAACCAACAATTTATAGGCCTTGTATCCAGCAGGATAGCCAAGAAAGACGCAGGGACGAGCTCGAGGCTGAAACTTGTTACAGCCTTTGGAAGACGTTGAACAAAAAGCGAGACAGCCGAAAACTCGAAGACCTTTGTAATCAGGCATCTTTCCATTCAAAAGGGCAAACGGGGTCTTATTCTGAAGCAGAGGCGACATCCAATGGCGTGTTTATCTTGCCCTGAAACGCCTGAACAGAACTCTATAGTGGAGCGGAAACATCAACATATCTTGAATGTTGCTCGCTCACTCATGTTTCAAGCTAAGGTTCCTCTCGAACACTGGGGCGACTGCGTGTTAACTGCGGTCTTCCTTACCAACCGCTTACCCACGCCTCTGCTTCAGAATAAGACCCCGTTTGCCCTTTTGAATGGAAAGATGCCTGATTACAAAGGTCTTCGAGTTTTCGGCTGTCTCGCTTTTTGTTCAACGTCTTCCAAAGGCTGTAACAAGTTTCAGCCTCGAGCTCGTCCCTGCGTCTTTCTTGGCTACCCTGCTGGATACAAGGGCTATAAATTGTTGGTTTGGAAACCAACAAAGTCCATATCTCCAGACATGTGTGTTTCATGAAACAATTTTTCCCTTTACCTCTGATCAGAATGAGCCTCTTCCTGATTTCTTTTCACCCTTGTCTGACTCTTCTACACCTTCTAGTTCTTCTGCTCCAGTTGGTAACATTCCTGCTGCTCCCGTGGTTTCGAATGTTCCCACTGAAGTCATTAGTTCTACGGAGGAGTCAGTGCATCGCGTGGAACGTAATCCGGAGAAGCGCTCTTCTAAACCGCTGGCATATTTAGATGAGTACTACTGCAATATGGAAAAGGCTGAGATTCCCTATCCTTTGGCTAACTACTTGTCTTATGCCGAGCTCTCCGACGATTACCGAGCATACATTTGTTCTGTGAATCTTCACGCCGAACCTAGTTCCTTTAGTCAAGCCAAGAAGTTTGCAGAATGGCTTGAGGCGATGAATGAAGAGGTGATTGCTTTGGAAAAGTCTGGTCCATATCTCCAGACATGTGTGTTTCATGAAACAATTTTTCCCTTTACCTCTGATCAGAATGAGCCTCTTCCTGATTTCTTTTCACCCTTGTCTGACTCTTCTACACCTTCTAGTTCTTCTGCTCCAGTTGGTAACATTCCTGCTGCTCCCGTGGTTTCGAATGTTCCCACTGAAGTCATTAGTTCTACGGAGGAGTCAGTGCATCACGTGGAACGTAATCCGGAGAAGCGCTCTTCTAAACCGCTGGCATATTTAGATGAGTACTACTGCAATATGGAAAAGGCTGAGATTCCCTATCCTTTGGCTAACTACTTGTCTTATGCCGAGCTCTCCGACGATTACCGAGCATACATTTGTTCTGTGAATCTTCACGCCGAACCTAGTTCCTTTAGTCAAGCCAAGAAGTTTGCAGAATGGCTTGAGGCGATGAATGAAGAGTTGATTGCTTTGGAAAAGTCTGGCACATGGGAGATATGCTCTCTCCCTGATGATAAACACGCCATTGGATGTCGTTGGGTTTACAAAACCAAGCTTAATGCTGATGGAAGCCTGGAACGTTATAAGGCTCGTTTGGTCGCTAAAGGATACACTCAACGTGAGGGTGTATATTTCGTGGATACGTTCTCCCCAGTGGCCACGATGACTACAGTCAAAACTCTCCTGGTCGTTGCTGCTGCTAAGAGATGGAGTTTGACTCAGTTAGATATCTCCAACGCTTTCCTCAATGGTGATCTTGATGAGGAGATTTACATGACTCTACCTCCAGGTTACACTTGTAAGAATGGTGAATCTCTTCCTCCCAATGCCGTTTGTCGATTAAAGAAGTCTTTGTACGGTTTGAAGCAAGCTTCTCGTCAATGGTTCATTAAATTCAGCTTTGTTCTGCTGGGTTTGGGTTTCAAGAAATCTCATGCCGATCACACTTTATTTGTGAAGAATGATAGTGGCGTTTATATTTCTGTGTTGGTTTATGTAGATGACATAATCATCACTAGCAATTCGGATCCTAATGTGGATCAGTTGAAAGATAACTTGAAAGCTGCTTTTCGTTTGAGAGACTTGGGTCCCATTCGTTACTTCCTTGGTCTTGAGATTGCCCGCTCTAACAAAGGCATCTCTGTTTGCCAACGTAAGTACACTTTGGAGCTCCTGGAGGATGCGGGTTTCACGGATTGCAAGCCCTCCAGTATTCCTATGGACCCCAGCGTCAAGTTGATCCAAGATTCTGCAGAGCCTGTCATTGATGATATCAGCTTATATCGTAAGTTAGTCGGCAAGATGATGTACTTGACTATCACTCGTCCTGATATCACTTTTGCTGTTAACAAGCTGTGTCAATTTGCTTCTGCACCTAAGGCCTCTCATCTTAATGCTGCCTATACAGTTCTTCGTTATCTCAAAGGCACCATTGGACTTGGTCTCTTCTACTCCGTTGAATCGGACCTAGTACTCACTGGCTTTACTGATGCGGACTGGCTCTCTTGTCCAGACACTTGACGTTCCACCTCGGGATATTGTATGTTTCTTGGAATGTCTCTCATTTCTTGGAAGTCCAAGAAGCAACAAGTTGTGTCTAACTCTTCGGCTGAGTCTGAGTACAGAGTCATGGAGTTTGCGTCTCGGGAAGTTGTGTGGTTGCGCACCATGGTTGCAGAATTCCTTGCTCCTCAGTCAAAGCCTGTTCCTCTGTTCTGCGATTCAATCGCGGCTATTCACATTGCTAGTAACCCGGTTTTCCATGAACGCACGAAACACATTGAGGGAGATTATCATCAAGTTCGTGACCGCATCTCTGCTGGCTTCATCAAGACCATTCATGTTCGCACTGGCCAGCAACTCGCGGATATCTTCACAAAACCTTTGTTCCCTGCTCAGTTCAATGCTTTGTTGTCCAAGATGGCTCTTAAGTCTATATACTTGCCAGCTTGAGGGGGGCTATTGGAATGTATTGAAATGTATTCATTTGATTAGTTTCGGTTACACTAAACCACTGGGTTATGTGGATTGGGTAAATGTACCGGGCTTATATAATGTGACCGTTGTAATATTTCATTAATACAACAGAGAATATTTTCTTCTTTTCGTCGTCTTCTCTCTCGTTCCTTTTCTTCTATTATCTTCTTCTTCCTCTTTTTCTTCTTTTTCGTCTCTTCTACTTTATTTTTTGGCTCCTTACTCGTCGTCTTATCTAGATCACATCACCAAGGTTCCGCTTCCGCGCCGTAAGTCTTCTCTTCTCCTTCTTCCTTTTATTCTTCTCCCTTTCGTCTTATTTATTTTCTTCTTCTTCTCCTCCTCCTCCTCATCTTCTTCATATGTAAATTTTATTTTTGTTCAGATCCCATTGTCGTCAATGCAGTGCTTACCACCGTCAATGCTTTGCTCACCGCCGTCAATGCACTGCTCACTGCCGGATCCGTGGTCCCTCTCTCCGTTCTTAATCCTCCATTTGCACCATGATCAAGACCACTAAACACCAGTCCCATCTGCCACATTGTCGTCGACCACCACCGCCGAATTGAATGTGTAGAACACTGTAAATTGTAGATAATAATATTTAGGTTTTGTATTTTATGAATTATTAATTTAATTTTAATGAAAAAATATTTCGTTTTTTTTTAAATATTTTTTCAAATAGCCACAATTATATTTGTGACTATTCGTGTCTACAATAAACATATAAAAAACCACAAAATCTAAAATAGCTATGACATAATTTGTGGCAAATTTGTGGCTAAGATCAGACACAATATACAAATGTGTCTATTTGTGGCTATGAGCTACAAATTAAGTTGTGACTATGTTGTTGCCAGATAGCTACAAAAAGCGACGGTCGATTGATAGCTACATGTTGAAAGCTATGGATTTGAATTGTATCAAGTTGTGGCTAATGGCAAAATAGCCACATAATAATGACCATAACTACGACTAAAACCTGTAGCTATTTACAGTTTTTCTAGTAGTGAGAGGAGGATAGAACATTGACTTTTGGCCTCCACTTGACATGGTTATTGGGCATGAAGCTGAAGAACAAGTTGAGGAGGAAGCTGAGCAAGCGCCTGAGCACATGGAGCAAGAGATTCAAGTTGATGGGCAGTTGAGCGAACCAGAATGTTACTACTGTGAGGAGTATGAAGCTCCTTTTTAATTTTGTTATTTTTCCTTTTTCTTTTGATTTTCGTTTTCCTTTTTGCTTTTGAACTTTTCAGGTTTTCCTAAATTATATATGAAAGGATTCACAAGTCCTTGACCCTATTAAGGTGATCCCACTTTGCCATATACCACCTCAAAGAAGTCTCTCAGCCGAGCAAGAGATGTTAAGCCCTCAAGCACCACCACCTACTTGGGATAGTCCTCCAAGACCATCTCCTTTGAAGTCAAAGAAGAACCTTCTTCCCTACCTTGAAGCAGCCGACTTGGAGACGTCTAGCCAAGCCGCATCCTACAGAGAAGAACACCTTCTAGCCACACCAGAAGAGGACATTGACCCTAAACTGATGGAGTTCGTGAAAAGATCAATTCCATGATCTATATTCGGAGTATGGACTGGAGCACATAGATCACTTTGAGAATCTCTGTGATTCTTATGGAGTTTTCAACTTTGAGAAGAAGATGATGCTTTTCAGCATGTCTTTAGCTGGACCAGCTCTAGATTGGGCGCAACACCTTTCACCTTCTCCAATCGAGTCATGGATCGATTTCAGAGAAGCTTTTCTAGACAGATTTGCAAGGAGACCACCTTTCAAGTCCAAATACAACCACTACTCTTATCATATTGAAGTGAGCGCGATAAGAAAGAATGGGGAAGCATACAACCCCATCCTGAGATCATGAATGAAGAACTAATCAAGCATGTGGAGAGAGACCCTTTCCATGATTTCACTTCAGAGTGTGCAAAGGAGCATCTATACAACTTTCAGCAACTTTGCAACTACTATGGTCTTGGAGACAATCCTAAGAAGATCCAATTGTTCTAACTATCACTAGCTGAACGAGCTCAAGAAGGGGTGAAATTCAATGCCCAACACGCCTTCAGAACTTGGAATAGGTACAAAGAAGCCTTCCTTTACAGATTTGCAAGAGGACCGATTTATGTTCCACCGTCCAGACCCAACTATTCACAACATCATCCGTCATCACCACACATAGATCAAGCGCCTTTATTTGCTGAGGAGATTTCCCAAACCCCACGCCCAACCAAGATTGAAGTGATGCTTCAACAATACTTGAAGGATCAAGCTGAGAGTACAAAGAAGATGGAGAAGAGAATCGATTTCATCCATGACAGTCTTGGCAACAAATCTGAAGTCCTATTCAAGCAAGTGATCAAGCTTGATGAAGACATTATGAAGCTTAGAGAAGACCATGATCGATCTCTTAACCTAATAAGACTTGATGTTTCTGCAAAATATCAAGAACTACTCAACAAGAGCATGAGGACCGAAGACACCAACTATGACAATAGCAAGCATCTTGGATCGATTTACAACCGCCTACAAGCCCTTGAAGGATCATCCAATCCCAAGAACAAGAGAGAGAAGTCCAACACCCAACCTCCCTCTCTTTCCTTGCAATGCTGCACGAGCTATACATAGAAGAGGCAATAATCGCCAAGTCATTGAAGACAATGAAGAAAAAAACAGAGAGTATGAGGAACAACTTGAGGATGAAGAAGAAGAACATAGCATTGACATTAATGCTTCTTCAAAACAGAGCAAGGACACGCCTAGCTCAGCTGACCCTCGTTTCTCACCACCACCACGAAGCCAAGCTTCAGAGCTTCCAAGATTGGAATTGATACAAAGACCACCACCTGCACCCAGTGAAGAAGAAGACACTTGGTGCTATGATCCCATTGACCCCAACAAGATAAGCCCCATGAAGCTTAAGGAGTTCAATGCTAAGGTTAAGTCACTATCATTCTATGTTACTTTTGACGAAGCTTGGGACAAGCATGACTTGGTAGATTTCTTTTTCGCAACTGGCGAATCTAAAGAGGAGTTACACAAGCTTTTTAAGCAAGCTCGATTTCCCCTTGCTCCTCATGCAGTCAATCAACCACCGTCTCCACCATCAACACCACGCCATGAATGGTATGTCAATTCCATATCAAGAGAGAAGCTTACTGAGTTCAGTCAGTTTTTCTAAACTCTTCCAGCTAGCATGACGTTCCAACAAGCCTGGAAACACTATCCATTCACCACCTTCTTCCACAACTGCAAAGAAACCCCAGAGGACATCAAGGAGCTTTTTGAAAAAGCTAAGGTTCAGCCCACATTCAAGACCCTCTACAAGATTGAATATCCAGGTCAATTCTCTATACCATGTCAAGTGAATGGTGATATATCCATATCTTTCATGTTTTTATCAAGGTTTTCACTATGTTTTTAATACAAATAATGTGGTTTTTAAGCCCAAGAGGTAGTTTTCTTGTATATTCTGGTTTTGAGCATCATTCAGGTCAAAATAGCAAAGAAGAGTCAAAATGGAGCAAAAAGAGTCAAATCACCAAGTTCCCAAGTCTAGAGCACCAAAACATTTCTCGCTAAAGACCAAACCGGAGCATCCGAAGTACGACCGCATATTCATGCCTTCCCGACGTCCAAAAGTCATGATTCTTATATGGAAAGATAGATATTTGAGTCATGACCCGCGGCGAAGTGGAAAGAGGTCATTTGGATCACTCGTTGGACCGGAACTTATTTTCTACCAAGACATGTCCGACGAGCGCCTAAGTAGAGCCCATGGAGACTTTGATGGATCAAGAGGCCCGAGATACCGCGCCCAAGGCCTTGGCTCATCTTGACACTAGCATAACTCAATCCAGAAGCTTCCATTGGCCTGAACACGGCCCATTCAAGAACTTGGAGAGCAAGCTCAAGCGGCTAAAGAGAAATGGAAACTTTCCTCTTCTGCGCGCGCTCAACTTTGCCGACCTAGACCCGCTCTCTACCTATATATACTTGCTTTTAGCCTCTTGTAATAAGAATCACCAGCCGCATAACAAGAAACACTTATTCAATAAAGTTCGGAGCCACTTAGGTGGTCTCCTTCTTCTTTCTTTTCTTCTTTTGCATTTGTATATAGCTTGCATGTTTCAATTTATATAGTCTAGAAGTAGAGATTTCTCCCTAAGGGTGAGGCGGTTTAGACTCATATTCCGCCGCCTCTCTCTCTAAGGATTCATGAGACTTCATCTACTATCTATGACTCATTGTTGAATTATGGATCCTTCCAATGAGGACGTGATATAATGGCCATCGAAAATCGATTGTTAAAAGGGGAAACCCTATGGTTCTCCATCTTTATTTATGCTTAATGCTTGTTGCTAGAGTAGCTAACTAGTGACTTGATTTTAGGTTGATATACTCTCCAAAAGCTTGTTATATCTCCGGATATAGTATTTGATGGGCAAATCGTTTTAGGCTACGAAAGTAGACCTAAAGAGTTTTGTGAACAATCATTACTTGGATGTAATGCATGTCTCACTCTACAATGACCAACGAAAGCTGAGCCCATTGGTTTAAGAGACATAGGGGATTGGAACCACGAAAGTGGAATAATCCTTCCTTAGTGTTTTGAGTTCAAAAGAATCGGATTTTAACAAACTTTTCAATCGACTTGGCTCATGTTTTCAAAAGAGTTTTCAATAGTTCAATAATGTTGCTTGTATAGAATTGCATTGTTCTTTCTTTTGTGTTCTAAACAAACACAAACCCTTGCATCTTTTGATTTAGCTTAGTCATTTAAACTCTATGATTATGTAATGTGTGAAATCCAATCCCTTGTGGTTCGACCCCTAAATACTACAATTATATGTTGTGCACTTGCAACACTAGTTGTCTTAGGGAATTATTACTTGTACTCATCCCATAGATGCCGCATCAAGTTTTTGGCGCCGTTGCCGGGGATTGCATCATAAACACTTGCATAGTCTTGTTTAAAACTAAGTCTAGATCTTGGTATTTTCGAATACTAACTTTTTCTTTTTAAATCTTGTGTTTATAGGTACTTGGAGATGAATCACAACACCAACATCCACTTTGGGAACCGGACACTGATCCCACACGATCTCCACGGCCGGAGTTACCAAGACCCAGCCGTAAGCATCGTGCCACATCCGTTCCCTCCCAACCGCGCTCATCCGACGTTTGAAGGACCTAGCCGAGACGAGCATCATTACCATCATCATCAAAACCGACCTCCGGTTTATCATCAACCACCTAGACCAGTGTTGCATTCACACCACGACCATGTTCTCAATAGGCGGAGAGATAGCATTTCGATGCCGTGCTTGAGGGTTTCATGGAGAGCCAAAGAAAACTAGCCGCGACATTGAGACAAAGCTAGAGTTCACGCGATACGAACTAGATGGAAGACTTGGAGAACTCTCTACCCAAATAGAGAGAGTAGAGTCAAGATGCTTGGACATGGAGGAAGATTTGAAGAAGCAAGGCGAGGCCATTGAAGACAATAGGAGAGCGATACACTTTACCAAAGTTTCTACCAAGGAGATGGACAATCACTTAGATGAGAAGATCACAAGTCTTGATAACAACCTCGATGGCACCACCAAGAGTCTCAATTCAATAACAGCAGTAGCTCATCAAGCTAAGAGGGAGGTAGCCGAAGTAACCCTAAAGGAGAGGCAATGTTACTCGACGATGCTTACATTGGTGGAAGGGCAAAAACAAGTGAAGGCACAAATCCGAGATTTACACATCTCTCTAGACAAGAGGAGCCAAGATATTCAAAGAAGAGCTAAGGAAGACAAAGTAGATGGAGTCTAAGTCACTTTCTTAGCCAATTTAGAAGAGAGTGCTCACAAGTAAGAGGAGAGTCGCATGGCTACTTGATCAAGGAAGTTCTACAGGACAAGATGCACTTGGAATCATCAGGCAACAGGAAGTTCTTGGAGCCACCAATCCTACCTAACTAAGAACACAAAGGAGTCGAGCTACAAAGACTTAAAACAAGCGCTTGTGGGAGGCAACCCACATTTTCTTATCCCTTCCTCTTTTTATTTTTTTTTATTTAAACTACTTATTTGTTCTATTTATAACTCTCTGAATTTTTTGAGAGTTTAATAAATTTTACAAAAATAAAATAAAAAGTGTTTTAGGAAAAAGTACCAAAAGGAGGTCTACATGAAAAATGCATTGGATAGCTACATCGCCACGAATCGACCTCAAAATTAACCATCTTTGGTCTTTGGTCAAGTGTTGAGTATTGAGTCTAGTTTGAGTCCCACCCAAGTCCCACCCATGTTTCAAGAAGCAAAGAAGTCCAAGAAGGGCCGCGGAACACAATCCGGCCATTGGAACACTATCTTGCACAAGGCAAAGGTAAGTAACACTTCCATTCAATGTCATTTCTTTTAAACACTATTTCTATCAATTAAACCTATGGCAACTACTTAGGATCTGATCAAGATCCCAAGTACATGTGGTTTCACGATCAAGTCTTTGATTGGGAAGTTCAAATCACTTGAACATCTCAATCATTGACAGAGTTTAACAAAAGTTACTAGTGTTTTTCAGATTAAAACATGACAGGAGAACCGGTTCAAAATCAAACAAACATGGCGCGCAAAAGCCACAACCGGCCAAAGGAGGATTACATGCCAAACATGAGAGATGAGGGAAATCCAACCACAATTCAATCCAGGAGGGATAGAAAAACAGTTCGGTCGAAGCAGAACTCAATTGGCCCGAGTAAATAAGGAGATATCACACTTAACCAATCTCTCGGCCAGAATCGACGAACCAAGAGACAACTCGACCATCTCCCAAACGGCACGACCGAAGTCCACCAAACTTCACAGGCGACCTCAAACATCATTTTGGTCGGCAAATCCAAAAGATAGGACGGAAAAAGTGCCTGGATGAGATAGACAAGGAAGCTCAATACGGCCGACGGCGATGCATAGAATGGCCGACGAACTCAAAACCTCAAGAAGGCGCGAACACCGGTGGAAACTGATCCTCTGGAGTCCAAAAAACACCAAGGAAGAAGAAAGGAAGGAGACGATCGAACAGAAACAGATGGCCAAAGGAATCACATCCCGAGCCATTGGCGCGCACAACGAAAGATCTCCGAATCCACACGTTCAAATCGCCTCAAACTTCACAAGGAGCCACAAAACATAAGGTTGGTCGATGAAATTTCATTTCAGTACATGAATTCCTTACAATTCAAGAGATGGCCGATGGAGTGAAATTTGGCCGATCGCGAGCAAGTAAAATGGCCGACAATCCAAATCACGGCATTTACCGCGGCCACCGGCTAAATCACCTCCATCAAGCATCCACATCGCATCTAAAGAAGAAAATCCAGATTGGAACGAGCAGAATTGGAGAAAGGCCGAAGGAAGACGTTCCCGGAGCCGCTTTGAAAATTTTTCAAAGGAGATCTCAAACCACTCGTTCAAACGACCCCAAACTTCACCAGTCGCCATATTATACAATATTGGTCGACGAAATTTCAAGATAGGTCGAGGAAATCTTCACGGTTCGAGCTGTAGTCCATACCATCACCATCCGGTCGACCAAAACGGACCAGTCTCGGCCAAAAAGGCGAAAAACAAACCAAGGGAGAATTGTCACATTCATCCAACCAAATCCAACAGCTATGATGTTTGCACCAGTCAGTTCATCCTGGAAGCAACTCAAACAGCACAACCGATCTTCACATCAAAGGCCAAAATTTGGTACAATTTTCTACAAACTCTAACTTTTCCTTTTCATTTTCATTACCTCTCTTAATTGGATTTTTCTTACACCGGACGGTGCAAGTTAAGTCTGGGGGGATTACTAACTTTGTTCTTTTTGGCTTTTGATTGAGTCGTTTTATTGAGTCAAAATTTTGTCAAAGGATTATGACCTTATCTTGGATCTAACCATTGTTGTGCTAACGTTTAAGTGACCATTGAAGCAGTTTGGCAATACATCTTACCACAGGGACACTATGAGTTGATCGATCTACCAAAAACGCCCACACCTCCAAGGACTTGAGAAGGATCCACTCTTGACTCCGCCCTTAATGAACTTAATCTTCTCAGCTAGGGGCTTGGCATACAAATGGCATGATTCCTCATCCTCTCCATCAAATGAAAAAGTCTTAGTGAGTTCGTGCTTCCCTCTCTCTCCCCTTCAATTTAAAGAAAAAGCGTAAGGTCCAAGTAACCGGGGATTCGGTGGCAAACACCATCAATACTCGCGTCTATGGAAGGCCTATGAATCCAAGCAACCGGGGATTCGGTGGCAAACACCATCAATACTCGCGTCTGTGGAAGTCCAAGCAAAACCTCTATAATAAAGAGAAGGAGTTGAATAAAAAAAATACTTCGCTACCCTAAAAAAGGGATGAATCAACTCAAAGAAGTGAGAAGAGAGAGAGGAGAAACATGGAGTAAAAAGACAAGTGCCAAAACAAGGGGATGAGTAAGAGTCTAAAGCCGGCTGATCGATACTCCCTAGTTGAGACCACACCTTTAGAAATGAAAGGAGTCAAGGAGGGTGAATTGGATTGTCCAAAGAGAGGTGGGCCGCCTTGGAAAAATCGCAAAACTCATGGTATGTACTCTTGTTCTTAATTCAAATATTTGCCTTTACTGTTTCATGTGGATTACTAAAACCAAGCCAACCCGGATTTCCTAATGATTTGAGAGTTCTTGCGTTTTCAAACCTCTCTTCCTCTCTTAGTTTGCTTGGGGACAAGCAAAAGGCTAAGTCTGGGGGAGTTGATATATCCATATCTTTCATGTTTTTATCAAGGTTTTCACTATGTTTTCAATACAAATAATGTGGTTTTTGCCCAAGAGGTAGTTTTCTTGTATATTCTGGTTTTGAGCATCATTCAGGTCAAAATAGCAAAGAAGAGTCAAAATGGAGCAAAAAGAGTCAAATCACCAAGTTCCCAAGTCTAGAGCACCAAAACATTTCTCGCTAAAGACCAAACCGGAGCATCCGAAGTACGACCGCATATTCATGCCTTCCCGACGTCCAAAAGTCATGATTCTTATATGGAAAGATAGATATTTGAGTCATGACCCGCGGCGAAGTGGAAAGAGGTCATTTGGATCACTCGTTGGACCGGAACTTATTTTCTACCAAGACATGTCCGACGAGCGCCTAAGTAGAGCCCATGGAGACTTTGATGGATCAAGAGGCCCGAGATACCGCGCCCAAGGCCTTGGCTCATCTTGACACTAGCATAACTCAATCCAGAAGCTTCCATTGGCCTGAACGCGGCCCATTCAAGAACTTGGAGAGCAAGCTCAAGCGGCTAAAGAGAAATGGAAACTTTCCTCTTCTGCGCGCGCTCAACTTTGCCGACCTAGACCCGCTCTCTACCTATATATACTTGCTTTTAGCCTCTTGTAATAAGAATCACCACATAACAAGAAACATTATTCAATAAAGTTCGGAGCCACTTAGGTGGTCTCCTTCTTCTTTCTTTTCTTCTTTTGCATTTGTATATAGCTTGCATGTTTCAATTTATATAGTCTAGAAGTAGAGATTTCTCCCTAAGGGTGAGGCGGTTTAGTCATATTCCGCCGCCTCTCTCTCTAAGGATTCATGAGACTTCATCTACTATCTATGACTCATTGTTGAATTATGGATCCTTCCAATGAGGACGTGATATAATGGCCATCGAAAATCGATTGTTAAAAGGGGAAACCCTATGGTTCTCCATCTTTATTTATGCTTAATGCTTGTTGCTAGAGTAGCTAACTAGTGACTTGATTTTAGGTTGATATACTCTCCAAAAGCTTGTTATATCTCCGGAGTATTTGATGGGCAAATCGTTTTAGGCTACGAAAGTAGACCTAAAGAGTTTTGGACTTAGATTAGTATTGGACTTCCTAATCACACCATTGCCAAAAACCAATAGGAGTAGTAGTCGATGTTCTTCTAGAGATTGGAGATACAAAGATACCGGTGGACTTTCATGTGATGAACATCAAAGAAGGAAGTGATACGCCCCTAATACTAGGCCGACCTTTCTTGGCCACTGCTGGAGCTATCATGGACTTACCAAACGGGCGAATCTCTTTAGCCAATGTTGACAAGACAGTTTTCTATCCCACCATACCTTTCATCTCACCAACAAAGCTGTCCTACTTCATCACTGCTCGAGACCGCCCAAAAGAACCACCTGACCACGCCCAAGGACATGATGAGACAAACACCAAAAGACTTTGACTCAGGCCATGCCCTTCTCCTCTCTAATCAAGAGACCCTATCGGTCAAGCAAAAGACCTAAACCAAGTGCTGCATGGGAGGCAACCCATGAATGGTGTTTTTCTTATCTTTTTATTTTCAATTAGTTTTAGTTAATGTCTAGCTTTGCTTTGAAGTCTTGGATACATGAACCTAAGAACCACACAATGTGAAAGAAGATACACCAAAAGGAAGAATGCTCAGAGTTGGCACGACCCGATGGCCGAGCAAAACCTCCCCACGCTCGACCATGTCCTCTCGAGTCGCCCAACACACCATCCCATCTCATTCCATCTACATCTCACCCATCCCACCTCACCACACTTTTACTCCATCACAATCATTCCACTGCATAACCATTCTTCACTGTATAAACCAAATCAGGTTACATCTTTCTTTTTCATTCACAATCGCCTTATTACCTCTTTCTTTAACTCCCTTAATTGGATTTTCTTTCATCGGGACGGTGCTAGTTAAGTCTGGGGGGATTGTCGGTACTAATGTGTTTGTTCATGTTTGTTCCCATCTTAAATTTGGTTTTTCCTTACCCACTTTTTCAAAACTTCTGCTTTATTGAGTCAAAATAAGTAGGAAACAATGATCTATCCTAGGAAGCTTACCATATCATACCAAAGTTCGTCTGATCATTAAGGCGAATCAGACACCGAACAATTCCTAACGGAACCTCTAAGGGCAGATCGACCTACTGATTTGGCAATATTTCTAAGGTACCCACACAACCTAAAGCTAGCTCCACAACTTAATGAACATTTAATTTCTCTTGTCAAGGGGCTTGAGATTCATATGAGTCGACTCCTAATCTGAGTTTAGTTGAGATATGTCTATAAAAAAAACAATCCATCCTCTCTCTTATCTGCAAAATAAAAATCCAAAGCTTTTAAGCACAAGGAAAACAAGTAACCATGAGGAATGCATACTTCTGTACCTTCATGTCTTATGGAATACCTTTTCAAACAAGGAGAAAGCTTAAAGCCAATCCTATGTGTCCCACAGAAAGAAATCTTAAGGGAAGGAGGATCAATAGAAAAAATAAAACGATACCCTAGAAAAGTAGGGAAAATCGATTCTCCAAAGATAAGAGAGGAGAGAGGTTTGATACTGAATGAGCTAAAAAGACTGTCTCGGCAAACACTTAATTGGGTAAGAATCAATGCTCTGTGATCAATACTCCCTTGATAAAGACCACACGCTTTAAATACTGCAAGGAGTTAGCAATAGAGAGATTGGAATATTAGATGAGATTTGTTGGGTCCGGTATGGTTCGCTAAGCTAAAGGTCGGAACGTGATAGCTAGTTTCAAAATTGGTTTGTCCCAAAGAGAGAAAAGCGATGAGAGATACAAGTTCCAAAAGATAAGTGAGTTTTCGTGTTTTCAAAAACCTCTTCACTAGTTTAGATTAAATTTGCTTGGGGACAAGCAAATATCTAAGTCTGGGGTAGTTTATCTACCTCTATTTTACATGCTTTTTACATGGTTTTACTATGGTTTCTGATGGTTTTTTAGTGGATTCTTGTCTTAGAAGGTAGTTTTTATGGATTTATAGTGCAAATAGTCATTTTAGGTCAAAAGTGCATTATGGAGCAAAACAGATGATTTGGACTTCAAACCAGTTCCATAGCCACAACATCTACTTTGGGAAGAGCTAAAAAATAATCTACTCAATGGATTTCATCAAGACTGGTTCCCTGCGTGTTATGAGTGAGTTAACTCTCCAACGCAATTGGATTCGCATCATTTGGATGAGTAGAAAAGGAGTTATGATCAAATTAGCAAAGACTGGTCCAGACGGCTTAAAACGAGCAACAGCATCTGAACCGCGCGTACCGGCCGACCGAGGAACTATCGTGCCACGATCGACCCGCGTCCAGACTCTTCATCCGTCTGGCCTGAGTGCACGGCCGAGCACACTTACCGACCCGGGAAGCAATAGCCCACGATCGAACCCATCCGAGTCTCATGACCTTAGGCCGCGCACGACCGCACCACGTGAACAGGGAAGCATCGCCTCACGACCGCGCAACACGACCCATGTCCCACGCACGATCGCACCGTCCGACCAGGAAGGCATCATCCCGCGTCCGACCAGAACCTTCGACCAAAGTCATCCGTCCGACCAAACCCGACGAACGAACGAGAATTCCCTCGGCCACGATCGACCCAATCGTACCAATGGCCAATCACAACCCGATAGCCGGCCGAACATCCCGACCGACCATCCGAACGGTCCGGTCGACCCGAAGCCGTTTTTGAAGCCCGTTTCACACGATTCAAGCCCAACTACATGGCCGACTTATTAGACCTAGGTCTAGCCGCTCTTCAACACTTAGAGCATTATAAATACATCTTTTTAGCCTTGTAACTCAAGAAGGAGAGAGACCACGATTTACTTTACATCTTTAATAAAGTTTTACTTGCTTTTACTTTGTTTTGCTTGTTCTCTTTCAAGAGAGGATTTCGGATCTCTGTTCTTATGAATATGAATTCGATTTTCCTTCTCTATGTCTGAGTAGTTTACTTGTTAAGTGATAGGAAGTCAAAGGATAGCATTCATGATTGCTTGATGATCGATTACATTAATTAGGGTTTTACATATACTCTTTACCTTTACTTGTGCGCAAAGCTTGTTGTTGATCTGGCCAATTAGCATATGATCAAAGGTTGACTTGAGCCACGAAAGTGCTGAATCATTCGCCTGAACTAGTATTTGGTGGGCAACCTCTTTTAGACTGTGAAAGTTGATTTACTTGTAGGTTGTGAACAATTGAACAAAGGGATCGGAGCGACTATATGAGTGATTTAATGCTTGATTTAATCATCTAAGGACATACCAAAAGTTTAGCGACTATATAGATTAACAAAGGGGTCAGAGCCACGACAGTGGAAACATCATACCTTAGTGTTTAGAATTCTAAATGGTACCTATTATCAATAACCCTAATCAATCGAATCTTGCTTCTTGAATTGCTTATCTTGAGATTATCCTATTTCTTAGTCTTTCTCTCCTATTGAATCAATCTATTTACTTACTTGCATGCTTTATTTAGTTTACTTTACTGCAACCAACCAACCTTATATTGTTTGCCCTAGCTCGATCTCAATCTTATAGTTTGTAGTGTGCAATATGGTCCTTGTGTTTGATCCCCGTTTACTACTTATGACCTGTGCACTTGCAGAATCAGGGATAGAAAAAGGGAAGACCTGATCCCGCGATCAATATGCGACGGTGAAATATCGGTTTGTCCCGGTGAAATCATGATCAGTATTCGGACATAGAAGAGATATTGATTACCGACAAGGCTGTCGAGGTAAGTAGCTCAAGTATGTCCAGCAGCCATGATTTCCTGCCATATTTTGGGAGGAATTGAATGATGCAAGCGAATGCGTAAGTGTGTCTGAATCAAAATATGTCAAGGCAGATAAGAAACCTCCTCAAACGTTCCATAAATGTTGCTTGGTGGTTTAGACTTTGGTGATTGCATCACCGGGCATTATAAATGTTGCCACAGACTTGGTAATTCGTCGCTAATTACCAACAATTTTTTGGTAATCGTTGTCAAATCGTTGCTAAAAGAGTTTTGCGAAATTGTCGTTAATTAGTTGTTAAATTGTAACCAACAAGATTGAGAAAATTTATTGAATGTTCAATGGATAAAAAAAGTTTATACTTATTAGTTGTTACCGACAAACTTACGACAACGTGTCCCAAATCGTCGTTAATTCATTGCTAAGCCAGGACCATAGGATATTATAATTCAATTTGATCCGAGGAAACATTTTAAGGGTTGACACGATTTTGCTTCATTTTTACGACGATTCGTCGGTCGGAAATTTGTTGTTAATATGAACCCTAAACCTTAAATTTTCCCTAAATTGTTAGACGTTCTTTTACTCGTATGAGAAGTGTATTTAGCAGCTATAAAATAAGTTGTAACAACAAAATACAATTACATATTTGGAAAAATCGTAAATTATAAGAAATCCTCTAAAATAACATATAGTAAACCTTATACTATAAGAAACACTTGTTCATCTTCTTTGTAATGTTCGAACTTATGTTTACTTGGATTAGATATCAAAAAGATATCATATGTTGAATGGTTAGGTTGGTTATGTTGAATAATTGAGTGTAACAAGTTGTTTTTAAGGTTTAGCGTTTAGGTTTACAATGAATTAGCGATGTTAGAGCGACTATTAAACCATAATTATGTCGCTAACACTTCGTCATTTACGCCGGCATTTAGCAACGGATTAACTACGAAAACCTTTACGTCTTTATCTTTGTCGATAATTGGATGGTATTTACCTACAAAATACGGTCGTCGTCAATTCATCGTAAATTTACAACGATTTACCAACAAAGCATATAAACGTTGTTAATTCATCGCAGTAACATTGTTATTTAACGAAGAATTTACGACTGCTTATCATCCTGATTTACGACGAATTTACAACGATGTCGTGTTTCGTCGACGATAAATTGACGTTATTTTGCAACGAAATACGTTGTAAACTTTCGTTGCAATATGACTGTTTTTTTGTAGTGATAGAATTATAGTTTTGAAAATGTACCTCAGAAAAGTATAATTTTGAAGTTTTCCCGACAATTTTAGCTTGGTAAAACTATTTGGCTAGGTACGAAGGGTTTAACTGAAGCAAGTGGTAAAATATACCAGCACCACATTCTTAAGTTGCTTGTAAAGAATAAGTGCATTTGATAAGAAAAAAAAAAGTCGGCCAAATAAATCAACTGTATATCTTTTTCGTACATCAAATTTTGAATCGTAAACGAACTGAAAACAATATAATTCAGTTATATATATTGTTTTGAAAAATGAGTGAGCAAAGAGTTATTTTATTAGTATGAGTTGACTTTTAGTATTTTAATGATAATACATTTACATTAATAAAAAAGTAGCAAAAGTTCTTAGAACCATAATGACGAAAAATACAAAAAAAAAAAAAATAAGTTAAAAGAATAACATCAATAGTATCAGAATATATGAATAACAAGAAGAAAATGGTACACGATCCGAAAGTAGACCTCTTTGGTAGGGCCCAATCATATTTTGTAAATCGGTTTCTTTACAGTTACATTGTGACTTAGTAAGTTCTTCACATAAGCCGAGCCAAAAGGTTGTGTTGGAATCCCATGTCGAGTCCGTTGTAAGCCAATGGCGCGTACATCCATAGATCATCTGAGCTCAACAGCTACATTTATAACATATGTTTCTTTGGTTAGTTAAATTAACAATTTAACATGAATATTATCTTTTAACGTTTCTAACAAGAAAATTACATACCTTGATTTGAAGCTGCAAGAACTTCACGTAATGGACTGCCTCTTCAAGCATGGTGCTTATATCGACTTTTGTCCCGTTCGGTACAAGGTTTTGCAGTGTCTTGAGCCTTTCGTTGATCTTCTCTCTTCGTTTCTGTAACAATCATAATTATAAACCCACAAATCAAATTAGATACTTTTCTTTACGGTCAGTTATTACAAGTAATATGCATTTTCACACGTTCTCTTACCCGAGCATAAAGGCTTTGAGGATCTGTAGCAGTCCCTTTGGTGGCTCTTGTTTTGCCTTTAATACTTGTGACCGAAGCTTTCTCATCATCTGAACTGTTGCTTAGGCTCTGACCATCTCGATAATTAGTGTTGCTTTCGTCGATTATATTGCTTTCCGAGCTTACCCTCTGCTTTTTCTTGGTTTTTGCAAGCTCCTAGTAATGATAGTGTATTTAGTTTATTTTCATAGTAAAAAAAGAATAAAAGTAATGAAAGATGACATATATTGATCGTGCACTTACTTGTCTTGTGACGTCACAATTAGAATTAGTTTCGTGTAGATTCTCTACGTTAAGTAGTTTCCTCTTAAGAGTTGCCGTTTCTTGGAGGTGATTTTGATCATCCCAAGAATCAAGCATGGTCGGAAGATTCCCTCCCGGCATTCCACCGAATGGGAAAATATCAGGAATCAAGAAAGCGTGATGATCAGAAGAAAAGACATTGTTTTGGTGATGATGAAGATGATCGTTGTAAAGGCTGGAGAGGCCAGGCACATCATCTCGCGGTCTCTCTTCCTTAGACGATGAACATTGATCAAAGTTGAACATCCCCAAGAGAGACTCCAATTCACCATCAACAAAAACGTCCATCTCTCTAACCTTCAACTCTTGTCTTTCTCCTTCTTCTTCTTCGTTTGTTGTTATATTAATTCTTGACCTTGTGCAACTATATATATATATATAAGCCGGAGACAGTTGATAATGAAGAGAATATATCTCTTGGGGAAGATTTGGTGATGATGAACAGAAATCAAGAGATTCTTAAACTGTTGCAATCATTTGTGTCGTGAACAAGTCGTAATTAAATAAATGGAATGAAGCCATGCATGATGATGATCACGATCAGTCAACTTGTGGGGTCGACAATGAGAGATGAGACCAGCTTTGTTCCTTCACGACACATTAATAAATATATTTTATAACCATCCATTCCTCTCAATTAAATTAAATACATAATTGTATATATAAGATGGTAAGAGATTAGTCTATATAATAATGAGGGAGAGTTTACATTGGCCACACAAGGGAAGCGGTGAAGAATAAAGATATAGCCACGCCAATGCACGATTCTTATCGCAAATTCAACAACACATAAAGAACAAGAAAATAAAAGAAACTTTTTAATCCATGCCGTATTAAACCTTTAATTACTAATTGTCCGGTATGTCTCTCTTAGCTAATTTGTTTTTCGGAGACGATGCAGCATGATATATCCGGCGTCGATCACCTATTTGGTTGAAGCTGTGAGTTTTCCTTTTGGAAGATGTATATCAAGAAAACTAATCATTCTTACTATCGAACAGTACCTTTTTTTTTTTTTTAATGTTAAGATGATGGAACAGTAGTTATTTTGATATTTGAATATAAACTATGTTAGAAGTAGAATTAGCACATTCCATAAAACATCGTTTTCCCATTAAAGATAGCCTTGCTCTTTGTTCTCAGTGACTTGTAGATTATGAGGAACCTTGCTATTTACAAATTATGGTCTTTAAGTTTTTAAAGATACAATCAATTGCATACATAGAAAATTAGCATATCATGGAGGGTGAAACATATTTTTTGAGCTTATTGACATTCCTCAGAAATCCGACTTATATTCATATTAACTACTAGACATAAAATTTTGAAGTCGTGTAGATATATTTTAAATTTAATAAATATGTGGCACCTTGAATTTTATAAGAACGTAAGTTTACAATACAAAACTCAAACTCAAAGTACAATTATGATGGATGTGATTGGTAACATGTTTTATCAATGATATCATTTGAATTAACGTTCTACATATAATTGTAACCGTATATAACTGAAAATATTACCATCCGTGATTGTATGTTTTCGGTTTTGTGTTGGATTAAACCACTAGAAAAACAAAACCACACAAAGGAAGAGGTGATAATAAGCCCTAAACTACAAGAACTTTAAATGTGACTTGATCTTATACATTTAATTCCGTCCACTAGAAGAACTTAATATTTTTTAGATGCAAATATGACGAATTTCAACACTTTATATTATATGTTTATATAAATCCATATATGGTTATATATATGTTAAACAAACCTGTTATGGGCATGCCAAAAGAATAAGCTAATTTGTATGTATTATAGTTGACCGTTAACTATTTTTTTTAAAGTTATCTGAGCTTCTTATCTTTTAGGTTCGGCTGGAAGGCAAATTGTCTATGAGTTATAAAAGGTCAAGTAGGTGGTACGTACATTGGATAAAAGATAAACAAACATATATAAAAAATAGTTAGGACGGCACAAAATAGAGTTGGAGATTCCGACAAGATGAGATTCAAACTCGTTCGTTTGTCTTACGATCATCCTCACATAAAATCTTCTTACTAACTTAAAAATAAAGTTATTGAAGAAATAAAATCACAGCTTGAAGATATGTTCTCAAAGTTTCAAAATTAAAGGACGGGTTAATGTACATTATTGCATCTTACGGATTTGCCTATCTGTTTCATTCCTTCTTAGACTCAATATTAGTCCTCTAACATTCGAATTCCGTGCATGTACACACACGGGTTCATGGAATGTGTCGTTACATTAAACCGTTTTTGATACTCATATGGTATAGTCACTTTTATTTTAGTTTATTACCAAATGATTTCATTCTCGGGCTTATTGTTTTCTTAAGCATCCATGTTATATAAAAATAAAAGTAAATTGTCGTGGCATGATTACTGCTGGTTTCCTTGTCCCGTTAAAAGTCAGAATGTCTCCATGTCATATTCCATAAAATGGGAAAATAAATTATTTATGACGTTAGTGCTAATTATCGTTAGTTATGTTCCGATATATTATAACAAGATACGATGTATAAGAATGGATTATAAAAACTAAGAACTGAAAGGTACGAAAAGTATGTTTGGTAGATTAATTGAACTTCGAATACGACGAATAGTACTATACATATTTTTTGTTTAATGGAAGACACTAGTACACATAAGTACATAAATAAAACATCTCTACAATCATAATGAGACCTAACAGTTATACTATTCTTAGAAGTATTATACTATAATATATCATTCCAAATGGCAAAAATTTTACAATATAATTAGATTTCTCTTCAATGATTCATGCTATATTTTGTTTTCCAATTTATTATTAATTACTAAAACTACATGATTTTTTTTTCAAATTTTACAAACTCAATCATCTATTTTTTCCTTTTTTACTTGCAATATTTTTTTTCAATTTTATTATTATAATATTAAGAAAAATACTTCACACTACATAAAAATTATAGAAAATATAGATTTTAATTTAATCACCTCTATTTGAATATTTTCCCCATAAATAATCAATTAAGCTATTGTTTTATGTTTTTAAAAATAAAATTTAAGCTTATTATTGTAACATCCGTATAACACTCTATGAGTTTCTGGAGGTTGTGTCGAGCGACACAAATATGTCGGTCGACACAACAATTTCAAACTCAAAACTGGTCCAAATTAAGAGTCCGGTTTAGGCGGTTTGAGTTGGAAACCATCGTTTCACGTTTTAAAAGACGCGCAGCCGCCTGGTTCCTTGTCTTTTTGGTCGTTTTGTGAATTTTGTGAAGAGGAGAGGCGATTGTTGGGCGAATTCCGGTGTTCTTGAGGCAGATCAGGGTCGTGTGTGGCTGTTCTTCGTCGTCTATCTCTTCCTTTCTCTGTTTCAATCCGTTTAGAGGTGAGTGTGTGACTGTAGGCTCGCGAATTGCTAGATTTGTGATTGATTGATGTTGTTCTTGATGAGTTCATGATGTATTCGAGTTATTTCATGTTATTGGGTGTTGATTGAGATGAATTTGGTGTTTTTGTATCATTTTCTTGGTTTTGGCGTCGGACTGTCGATTGGTGTCGGTCGACACCAAGTGATCATGTGTCGACTGACACCAAGCGGGTGTCGCTCGGCGGTGTCGCTCGACACAGGCCGATTCAATGTCGGTTTAATCAATTTTAATTATGGTTTAAATCTTGTTATTGGTTTAGTTCGGTAATTAATTAACTATTGGTTATTTAGTTTAATTAATGGGTCTAAAATAATTGTGGAAATTATTTAAGTGTTAGAAATTATTATTTAATTATGAAATTTATTTAATAATTGAGAAAATGTATTTTTAACAATTATGAGAAGTAGTAATATTATTTAATTGTCTAGTAATTGCGTAATTGGCTTGTAGGCAGAGTGATCGCTTCACTAAGTATTTATTAAATACTTACACATCTCTTTCGCAATTTGATGCAGGTAAAAGAAAAGTGTGATCGCGGAACCAAGGGCGAAGAAGAGGATGATAGGATTTATGTTGTTGTTTGCTTCCGCTGAATATTGTTGATTTGATTATTATTTAATTTATTGGTTTTAGTACTTCCGCTAAATTGTTATTTATAAAAGGAAAAAAAGCTTGGTTGTTTTATTTTGGTATCAAAGTCTAGACGGCTTTAGAACTTTTAGGATTGCTAGAATTGATAAGTTTTAGTATCATCCTCTTCGGGCTTCAGGAGATTTCGCGGTGAGTTTTATGTTTGTGTTATAGTGGTTTTGGGTTTCTGTGTTCTAGTTTGCTCATTTCGGTTCATGCAGTGAGATGGAAAGAGTAGCTAGAGGTCGTGGTGCGAGAGGGCGCGGTGCTAGAGGCCGTGGTGGCCGAGCTGGACGCCGAGCAGGCCGAGGTCGCAATTGTGGACTTCCGACGAATTCGTGAGAGAGTGCAGCGCCGAGTGGGACAACTGCGTCAGTGACCCAGTTAGTTTCTTTGGCTGGTGATGCCAGTGCGGGCGCTAGTGAGAGTGTGGGAGTTGGGGAAGCTCCAATTGTTGAGGCTGTTCCAACTCAGGTCATGATGGCTTGGTGGTTGGGTTGCTGACGCAGCTATTGGCACGGTTTCCGCCACTGGCTCCACAGGGTCCAGTGGTAGAGGTGCAGCAGAGAGTTGCAGAGGTCGAGCAGCCGAGGGCTGCGTTTGGCGGTATTCCGCCATATCTGGATATGATGGGGCAAATGCAGAGGATTGGTACAATGTTCTTTGAGGGCGGAGTTGGTCCAGAGGAGACACACGCGTGGCATCCGAGACTGGAGTGGAACTTCCGGTCGATTAGATGTCCTTTGGAGTACCAAGTTGAGTTGGCGGTCCACCATCTGAATGGGGATGCACATTTGTAGTGGCGGGCCATTGAGGGCCGTAGGGCAGTGTGGATTTGGGGCGAGTTCCTTGCGGAGTTCGACGCCAAGTACTTTCCTCGAGAGGCGCGGGATTGTCTTGAGTTGCGGTTCATGTCGATATCGAAGGTGAGCGTTCCGTACACGAGTATGATGCCGATTTAACAAGTATGTATACTTGTTACAAAGCAAAGATGAAGTCTTGTTAAAATTCAAGAAATATAAACGTGAGGTTGAAAATCAACTTGATAAAAATATTAAGATAGTTAGAAGTGATAGAGGAGGTGAGTATAATGGGCCTTTTAATACCTTTTGTCAAGAACATGAAATTATCCATCATACAAATGCTCTTTATTTACCTGAATCTAATGGAGTTGTGGAACAAAAAAACCAAACTCTAATGAATGCAATGTTGCAGGAATCTGGGATATCCCATGACATGTGGGGCGAAGCGTTGCTCACCACAAATTATATCCTCAACAGAATACCACACAAAGTCACAGGCAAAACGCCTTACGAACTCTGGAAAGGTACTGCACCATCGTACAAATATTTGAAAGTGTGGGGGTGCCTAGCAAAACTCGCTGTGCCACTTCCTAAAAAGGTCACAATGGACCAAAAACTGTTGATTGTATTTTCATCGGATATGCACAGAATAATAGTGCTTACCGGTTTCTGGTTTATAAATGAGATATACAAGATATTCATGTAAATACAACAATGGAATCGAGGAATGCTTCTTTCTTTGAACATGTGTTTCCGTGTAAGGATAAACAAAATCTAAAACGTACTCGTGACGAAAGAAATGCAATAACCTCTGTAATGAGGCAAGTACTTCTGGCACATCGTTGGATGATGCAAAAGTAATAGAAGATGAACCTAGACGTAGCAAAAGAGTTCGTAAAGAGAAAACGTTTGGCAATGATTTTTTAATGGTCTTACTTTTAGAGAATGAAACCACGAACATATGCAGAGGCTATGTCTATACCAGATGCACCTTTTTGGAAGGAAGCAGTCAATAGTGAAATTGATTCCATTATGCAGTCATACATGGTATATAACCGATTTACCAGAAGGTTTTAAGACCTTAGGGTGCAAATGGATTTTCACGACAAAGCAAAAAACTGATGGTCTTATTGATAGGTGTAAGGCTAGGCTTGTGGTGCAAGGTTTCTGACAAAAAGAATGTCTGGATTTCTTTGATACATATTCTCCGGTAACGAGAATAACTTCAATCCGTATGCTGATAGGAATTGCAGCATTAAGGGACCTTGAAATTCATCAAATGGATGTTAAAATTCCCTTTCTAAATGGGGATTTAGAAAAGGAGATTTGTATGCAACAATCTGAAGGGTTTGTTGTCCCAGGACAAGAACACAAAGGCTGCACACTTGTGAGATCGTTGTATGGACTTAAACAAGCTCCAAAACAATGGCATGAAAAAATTGACAGTGTAATAATGTCAAATAGTTTCAGCATTAGTGAGTGTGATAAATGCTTATACTTCAAATGTTCTTCGCATGGATACATTTTTTTGTGTTTGTACGTTGATGACATGCTCATTATTGGGATTAGTGGATGTTATTTTGGGGATTAAAATCACAAAAATTTCTCAAGGTATCATTTTGTCTCAAACTCATTATGTTGAAAAGATACTTGAGAGATTTAAATTCTACTCAAACGGGATGGCAAAGACTCCGGTTGACACACAACTTCACTTGACTAAAAACTCGGGTGAAGCGGTGTCACAACTTAAATACGCAAGGGTAATCGGAAGTTTGATGTACTTAACAAATTGTACTAGACCCGATTTAGCGCATGCAGTAAATGTACTGAGTCGCTACACAAGTAATCCAGGACATAAACATTGGAAAGCTATAACAAGAGTATTAAATTACTTGCGTTATACCAAAACTTATGGTCTGCACTATAGTAAAGAACCAGCAGTTTTGGAAGGATACAGTGATGCAAACTGGATTTCCGACTCCAAAAACTCAAAATCCACAAGTGGATACGCCTTTACGCTTGGTGGTGCAGCAGTTTCCTGGTAGTTTTCCAAACAAACTCTGTTAGCCAGATCAACCATGGAATCTGAGTTTATAGCGCTAGACAAAGCGGCAGAGGAAGCCGAATGGCTACAAAAAATTTTGGAAGATATCCCAATGTGGGAGAAACCAATGCCAGCATTACGTGTACACTTTGATAGCCAATCAGCTATAGCTCGGGCATCGAGTAATCTCTATAATGGTAAATCCAGTCATATAAGAAGACGTCATAAAACCATTAGACACTTGGTCTCAATTGGTGTCATCACGATTGATTATATCAGATCAGCTGACAACCTAGTAAATCCATTTTCTAAAGGACTGTCACCAGATTAAGTTGAAAAATCATCAAAAGGAATGGGTTTAAATCTTATGAAATAAGATGAAAGTTTGGTGGAAACCTCACCTACCTGAGTGGAGATCCCACGAAGTAGGTTCAAAAGGGAGAACTAAATCAAACGGAATCTAGAAAAGCACTGTGAGACTCGCGTCTCTACCCAGTTCCCAGGATGATAAACAGTGCTACATACCTGTATGTGATAAGGTTAAGCATCGTCTTTTAATGATTCCATAACTTTATAATAGTGAAGCATAACAGGGTGCTTCTGGAAAAGTTAATGGCAGATCACCTAATGAGTCTGAAATGGGACCGTTTTTAGGAGAATGAAAATGAGGCTATATTCTCCAACTTCACTCAGCAAGTTCAGGGCCAAAATGAACACAATAGAGAACTAAAGTTATGCGAGAAATGAAGCTGTGTTATAACTGTTTTTTCGGTTTACATCAAAGTCCGGGTGGTTCAAGACATCATGTTCACCTCCTGGCCGAGTAAACCCGACAGATATTAACTATGAGAGGTTCAAAGCTGAAAAATGCTACCTACTCAAACACAATGAATTTTCGTCTATACTATCGAAAACTACTTAAAAGTGAATATGTTTAGAGTAATTTCTATTCATGTCAGGGATTGTTGGAACAATTTTAAATATAAAATGGGTTTGTTCCATTAGATTAAAAATTGGCTTGGTGAATGAGAAATGGGCCTATATGGACTAAGAGATAAATGAAGAATAGTGGGGAAAAAGCGTAAAATTCTTGTGCAAGTATTTGTCTTTAATGAAAAATATCACGTACAAGACATTTTGAGCATTAACTCCTCCCCTTGAGAAACAAGTTCAACTTGTTGACCAAGGTGCCTTTGCTATAAAAGGGACCTTCCTCCTTCTCATTTTTCACACAACTCAATTCACAATCACTAAAGCTTCTAGCAATATCTCTCTCTTTTATAAGTAAGTTTCTGGAGCTTAGCGTAAATTAAATAGTTCGTAGATTCCGCTTTCGGGTGTTGCGAAACGGTCTCGCTGTGGTTGTATCCTAGGATTCAAAAGTCGTACAATTCTGTCACACATTACGGGCGATTTATTGAGTTAAGGAAAGATATTAAATCTCGACTCCACGTTTCTTTATTTAATATATCGCTTTGAAGTTTCTATTTATCGTCTTTCCGTTATTACTGTTTATTTTATATCGTTTAATTAAGTTTGTATAAAAGCAAATTCTTATATCCGAATTTTTGCGGTCCTACACTCAGTTCACAGTCTTTGGTTCTTTGCCTTAAAGACTTCATAAGCCGTGGATACTAGTAGTAGTGAAGTAGTGAATCCGTCTCAGTTCAGTCTTTGTCTTAAGACTTTCATAAGCCGAAGGTATTTAGTAAACCAACGGATTCACTACTTTCACAAAAGCTGTGAGTATCAAAGTGAAGTATAGACTCTTTCAGTTGTTCTAGTCTTTGTCTTACACACTTTTTTTCATTTGTTTCTTCCATTTCAGGCAACAAACTCATAGTCTTTCACTAAAGACTTTTAAGCTGTGGGTAACAAAGTGTAGACTCTTTCAATTGTTATAGTATTTGTCTTCAACACTTTTTTCATTTGTTTCTTCCATTTCAGACAACAAACTCATAGTCTTTCACTTAAAGACTTTTAAGCCGTGGGTAACAAAGTGTAGACTCTTTCAGTTGTTCTAGTCTTTGTCTCAAACACTTTTTTAATTTTTTTTCTTCCATTTCAGGCCACAAACTCAGTCTTTCACTAAAGAATTTTAAGCCGTGGGTAACAAAGTGTAGACTCTTTATGTTGTTCTAATCTTTGTCTTAAACATTTTTTCATTCGTTTCTTCCATTTCAGGCAACAAACTCGTAGTCTTTCACCGTGGGTATCAAAGTATAGACTCTTTCAGTTGTTCTAATCTTTGTCTTAAACACTATTTCATTCGTCTCTTCCATTTCAGGCACCAAACTCATAGTCTTTCACTAAAGACTTTTAAGTTGTGGGTACCAAAGTAAAGTATAGAAGACTCTTTCAGTTGTTCTAGTCTTTATCTTAAACACTTTTTTTAAGCTGTGATAGTTTCTTCCATTCCAGTCAACAAACCCATAGTCTTTCACTAAAGACTTCTAAGTCGTGTGTTTTATTTTCCATCCCCTAACTTCCGCTTAGGCATGCACTACCAAGCAATAACAAGTCTTTGCCTCAATCCTTTTTCAACCATTAGTCACTTTCTCCATCCAACAAGCCAAAACCCATTTATAGTCTTACAGACTTTTTATACTAGTAGTAAAATAGTGAATCTGTTTCCAGTCTTTGTCTAAAGACATTTATAAGCCGTAAAGTAACGGATTCACTACTTTCACTAAAGCCGTGGGTACCAAAGTATAAGTATATAATCTTTCAGTGTTCTAGTCTTTGTCTTAAAAGACTTTTTTATAAGCTGTGTGAGTACTAGTAGTAAAGTAGTGAATCCGTTTTCAGTCTTTGTCTAAAGACTTTTATAAACCGAGGGTACTTAGTAAAGCAACGGATTCACTATTTTCACAAAAGTCGTGGGTACCAAACAAAAGTATCTCTCTTTCAGTTGTTCTAGTCTTTTTTCTTAAAGACTTTTTCTTAAGCTCATGGTCATTTCTTCCATTCCATGCAACACAGCCATAGTCTTTCTATAAAGACATTTAAGCCGTGTGTCTTTATTTCCCATCTCCAACATCCTTCCTTAGACATGCACTACCAGCTCCATACATCACAATCTTTAGGCAACGGGACAATGTTCCCAAAATAAGAATATGACAGAACACTATTAGATTAGTGTCTGCCTGAGATCTTTTGGGGGTTTGAAAAGGAAAAAATAAATTAAACAAAAAAGGCGCACATAATCCCAGAACAAGAATTGGTAGAACATTACAAGAATGTCTACCTAATCTCTTTTGATAAAACCAAAAGTAACATAACAAAAGACTTTGAAATCTTCTTGTTGAATCAAAAACAAAACCAGTTAAAAAGGAATCCTGATTTCAAAATCCAAAGACATCAATTGCTTAGATAAAGAAAGAAACTTACCAAAGATAAAGTGATCAGAGTGTGTTTGTCCTGCAACAGAAACAGCAGCAACAGATACGAAACCAAGGCTTGTAAGTTTCCTTCTGCAAACAATAAGTTCCATGACCCACTCAAAGTGATCCTATCATCTGTTGTTCAGATCAAAACCATATTCAGTCACTAAGTAGAGGACTTTTGTGACATTATAAAAGAAAATGAATTTGAGAGAATGCCTAGGAATAACGATTCGGAGGTTCAACACTCCTATAGCCAAACCTACAGATGATGTAACCATTTGGGAATCATGTAATCTAAGACTTAAACACAAAGCTATGAATGTAGTGAAGAAGATATGGGTCTTTTAACAAACCTTGACCACCACCAGAATCACCAGTGACTTCTACTGTTACAATTTATGTGATCTGTGCACAAAAGATTGTTTTGTTTTATCAGTAATCTCAGAGAGTTATTGCAACATACAGATAAATTCGGTGTAGAGAAAACACATAGTTAATCAGTGAATGTTGTTTTCTATCTAGTTAATCCGTAAGAGATATCAAGCTAATGACCATGTTCCTGCCATCCAGGCAGATACAATAAAATTTCCCAAACAACCATCCGCTGACACATTGGTTGAGACAAGAATGAGCTGATCCAAAGAAAAACGGGTTACAATTTTGAATCTTACAGAGTTTAGTAGCAGACAAATGCACCTTCAGGGACACCTTGACCATAGAGAGTTCAATGAGCAAGCTGCCTTTTGTTGGATCCACATGGAAAGAAAGGGAACTACGAAACTGCAAGGAACAAGACATCAATCAAAATATAAAGGAAAGAGTTTGATGATTAGTAGTGAACCATAGTTTTATATTGACAAACTGAGTGCGTATGAGGTGGCAAATACCTACAGACTGGTCAGCAAACAAAACCATCAATGAAGGTCTCATCTTTGACTTACCAAGCTGACAATTTTAAGTGTTCAAAGGCTGGATATCCAATAAATAAACAAATATATTAGTGATTACTTGTGCATGGTGGTCTCCAAATTAACAAATTTGGCTTCAGTATCTTAAACCTGCTGAAGAGACATGTTATCTTCCATCAATATTTTCATCAAAACCAAAAAATAATAAAAATTTAGCCAACTGGATCATAATTGTGAAAAAGCCACAAGATTCGATTCGATTTCTAAATTTTAATAAAGGTCACGATGGTATGAGCGTACGTTTAGTAATAGATTGTGAAATATGAATCTAACAAGAGTGCCTAAGCAGATTCATGCGTTGGGAAAATAAACATACCGCAAACATGCGATTAATTTCATAATACCAACAAGAAATCCAAGCACGAACATAGGATTTACAGAAACTCCGATAACAAATACCACTGCATTAAAGTACAAAACATCCAAACAATTATATAAACTTAGAAACCCTAACCAATTCGGCGACGACGAGCAAGAAACTCAACCATTTCGGGTTGTTTTCAGGCGGAATCAAAGCTAGTAGGGTACCTTCAAAAACAAAACGAAAACTCCAGTTAACATCACCACAAAAATAAAAGAAGAAAATTGAATGATAAGAAAATTTCGGAAACCCAAGATCGCGATCACATAAAAATCCTAAAATAAAATTAACGATATTCCGAAATCGATTCACTTAAAAATTTAAGAATGTAAATGGGTTTCTCGTTTTTGCAATTATTCAAAGAGCCGATCGAGAGAATTCTTCATAGAAAACAAAGAAGAGAGAAGAAATTTTGAGCGATAATGTGAAGAGCTGTGGGAAAAAAAAAAGGAATTGGGGAGAAATTGATCTTAATGCATTGCTGCGTGACAAGTACGCGTTGCCTTCCTAACGGTTCTATTCTTTTCAATCTGGGTCGGTTTTATTTGAAATCAAACCACCATACATTCAGAAAACCACCAAATCGAACAAGTTCTGCATTTTCCTGTTAAAGCGAACCGGCTCACGTTGTCTACATATACGTTGTCGATTTTGTCTCCACAGCTTATCAACTTTTAAAGGTAACTGAAACATCATCTTACACCAATGTTTCCATTGTAAGAAACATACATATCGACGTGTATGTTAAGTTTACCAAACAAGCTTTTTTTATAAGCACTGACTAAATTTTAATGTTAAAAATAAAAACAAAATGGATATTACAATAGATAACAATATTCGGGGGCATAATTAACAATCTAACCATATCAAATACATAGCTATGATATTCTCTGTATTTATGGAATATATACTGAAATCTCCTCCGATGTCACAAACATTCAAATTTTGAATTTCTATGTCATTTTCGAACTGGGGCTTTTGCTTTTCCTGTAACAGTGTCATTTGACAAACCCCCAAATAATATATTTCAGACGGTGGCGATACTGTCGGTGGTGACTGAGTCGGTGATACCTCTTTATTCGGAAATCGGTTTCCCCTCGCCTTAAGCTTAATCTTCTAAATTATCTGCTTCATCGATCTCTGGAATTCAGATAATAACAGAGACAGCAGACGATAACTTTCTCCGAATCCATTTTTCGTAAATCTGGTGTAATTTCGTTCCTCGATCGAAGGTACTTACCCGTGATTTATATTTATTTTCTTCTTTCTCGGCTTTCTGTTGCTCTCATCGGGTTTTATGATCCTATGCGTGTTTTCTGATTTCTAACCATTGTAAAAGTTAGCCGATATCCTCCAATATGTCTACAGTGGTGTCTTCGCCTCTTTAGTATAGGGAACAGAGTTTAGTAGCTGGATATATGACTATGCTCTGTTAAATAGTATAGATTGCGACAACTTATTCCCTCTCCTTCAATTATTGCCTAATACTTTACACCTGCACGCCATAGGTTTACAATTGAAGAGGAAGGCTTGCCAAGCAGGATGTTCGAGACTGGTTTTGAGCCAATAGGGCGGAAAAGGGTTAATTCTTACTTCACACTTCGCTGGGTTGAAAGTATAAAACCAGCCTTGGATGAAGAGTTTCTGGAAATGTTTGAGAACTCTCAATTCAGCCGTTTGATGAAGATGGGGAAACACACATTCTCCCTCTTCTTTGTCCATTACTTGTTGTCTAAGCAGCTAGTTACGAAGAAGAAGTATGAGTTGTGGTGGCTGTTAAGCAGGGAAGCCAATTCGTTATGGAGTTAATGAATTTGCTTTATGGACTAGTGTTAGTTGTGGTTCGCCTCCTATAGCCGAACAAACGAAGAAAAGGAAATGGTTTGTTGAAAGAGAAGAGAAAAGAAAGCAAAACACATCGACAACATTTGGTAGAATGTGGGTGGAACTGTTTGGCAAATTCAAGAAACCAACAGCTGCGTGGCTTCTGGATAAGTTGTTACTCGGTAGAAAGTACAAGGATGGCTTAACAAGGTTTCGTCTAGCTCTCCTTCTTCTTGTCGAAGGAATCATGTGTCCATCAAGCGGAACTATGTTCTTAGATCCGGAGGTTGTAGATATGGTAAGCGATGTTGAAGCATTCATACAGTATCCATGGGGAAGAAAATCAGTTCATATGACTGTTGAAAGTTCTAAAGATAGAAAGGCCGAACATTTAGTTCAAGAAACAATCGCAATTCAGGGCTTTGCACACGCGATGCCTCTTCTAACAGCAGCTTGTTGTCCAGATCTTATGACAACTATTTGCAAAGGCGAGTACACTGTTCCATATAGCTACACTGTTGAGGAGATTATTGATGATGTCATTACCCGATGCCTTTCCGTAAACATTGGTACAGCGAAGAATTTGGACCAACAGGGATAGGTAAAGCCCTCTAACTGTATATATTATATACTGTTTACGTTTTATATGTCAACTGACTTTGTAAGGTGATGTCTACGTTTGCCCTCTTTCTTTAGATGTTGCGTGTGTTGGGAAGCGTAATCACATATTTCATATGGTATTATATTTTTCACGCTTCTGTCCGGTCCATTCTGAGTAGTGGATGTGGGGAGGGTTTTGAGGAAATACATTTTGAAGACGAAGATGATGATGAGGAAGTCGAACATATGCTCGCCTTAATTAATGACGAATTCACTTTTGAAGTCAATAGTTGGAGGGGTGGGATGAGAGACTATGAAGGTGAAATAAAAATTACTTCCATTTCCGACAGCGGAGGGTGGAGAAGAAGATGATATGAATGTCTCTTCCTCCAGAAAGCAACATCATATGTCATCACGTCTTCACTAACCACTTTCTCCAGATGAAACAGTCCCCGGTGATGGAAGTGGTAACATAGCAAACCTCATCTCCCCTGTGGCAGATGTGTTTGAGATGCGTTCAAAGGAAGTGTTTGCAACATATGTGAACAGCATAAAAACTTACATTGACACCGTTGCGGAGAAGCTAAAGACTGACATTTAACATTTCGTGGTTTCTGAAGGTCATCCTTCTAACCCCATGAACCAACCTTGCAATGTAATCTTCGGCCGCGGTACTCCAACCCCACGTACAAGTGAAGGTACAACTCACGAACAGAAACACAAACCAAGAAGGGAAACACTCGGTCAGGTAATACTACACAACGGAGACCTATATCCTCTTCAAGTCAGTAAACATAACGGAATGAGGCCATTATCATATGTAGTCTTATTTGTCAGTTTACCAATTTGTTTTTCTCATATATATATTTATGTTATATGTTTAGGTGGACGTGTTTTAAGGCCGCTTCCAGGGAGAACCAGTGGAACCATTGCCGACAATGTCGATAAGGAACAGCAACGCCTTCACAAGTCATCCAAAAGTGGGAGCTCCACCGCACATGTTATATTGTGTTACATAAATGACAATTGTATAGACGGTCATTATGCAGAAATATGTATACATTTTTTAAGTTATGCTGTTATGCAGAATGCTTCTCCAAAAGCCGAAGTTTCGAAATCCCATGTATGTGGTTATGGGAAAGGAATACATATGGTGTCAGGTGGTAATGATCACAACTCACATTCTCCACCTCTTAGTAATGAACCAACAGCTGCAGCTCCGCCTGTGCAGGTAATTTAATTTGCGTACTCATGTATCTTATTATACTAGACCTCACTCTGTTTTCGTAGTGAACGCAATATTCAGTATTTCATACATTAAACTGGATCCGTATCATTCAGGGCCAAGGAGATGCATCACATGCTTCTCCCAATGAAGACGACCTCCCTATTTCGATGCTAGTCAAAGCATGCGCAGTAAGTATTAAAAAAAAGGAGATAGTTACTTCGGATAAACGTAATACAGAGATTGAGGTTGCTACTGGGACCGGTAAAGAGCCGACTGTTTCTCCAACACAAGGACGTCCATGTGCTGTAGAAGTTGAGGAATTGGAAGTGGCTGGCTCTTTCAAACCATTCAAACAGCTTACACAAGATAAAGTGAGAGCGTTTCGTAAAACACTAAGTGAAACATGGTTAGTACTTCTTTCTATATTTGTGGTTTCCGGCTGTAATGGGTTTGCGAGTAATGTGTACATAAGTGCTTCTGTAGAAAGTTGGATATAGGAAATGGCATAGAGCTGGACCCGTCAAAACTTGGGAGTATGTTTGAACCAATTGTTGTATTGGAGCAAACGGTAAGTTGTAAGTTTGGTAAACGGACTGTATTATTTACCTGAACTGTGTCGGATGTCGGCTGTTTACATATTTATACTAATTTACATATGCAGACATTCGCAACAGTTGTAGTGTGGATTCAGAAAAGAAATGACATCACACCCTCACGGTCTTTTGTTTATCTCCCTCCCCCAATTCCTGGAGTCACTTAAGTCTGAGTTTCTAGAATTCAAATTGTGTAAAAATAAGAGTAGCTACACGTTTCGACCCACGTCAACTCTACCCCAGCCAAACCGTCCTACTCTCTCAACTGAACTTCAGAGTCTATATTGTCCATTCAAGGTTAATGGACAACACTGGGTTGGGATTATTGTGGATATCAAAAGGTGGAATCTATTTGTCCTCAATTGTAACATGGCGTGCGTTACAGATACTAGCTTCAAATGTATTTACAACCACTGTCAGAAATGATGCCTACGCTGCTCCATAATGCACAGGTTAAAACGCGTGGAATGTCTGATCCATTACCTCCACTGTCGACTTCCAGAGTAGACATTGGACTTCTGTGTGAGGTTTCAGGTAAATTGAAACTTTACCTTCTTCACCATACAAACTGAAATGCTTTTGCTCCTGTATTGCTTTATAGGGGACCACATTTCTGAATGAATGTTTGTTTTTTTCCAGCGTTGTCTGCTGTAGCTTCCCTTGTCCTTATGGAGCTACATGCGGCGGATGAGTTAGATATACGTAGTTCTGGTGCCATAATAACTAATAAGCTAAATGTACCGTCTGTTACATGTCCCGCTTATTATACACAGACTTGTAGTTCATTTTTTACGTTTCTGTACTATATGCGTTTTTCTTAATACTATGGCAATATGGACAATCATGGGAGGCCTCACTTACAAAATGTTGACCACATTATGCGGCCCCACTATGTCATACCAAACAAATGTTTTTAAGAACTACATATTCAAACCAACGTTGGAGACTGGAGTTAATGTGTAGTGGTTGTTGTTTGGAGTTTGGGTTTAGGGTTAACGTTTTAGTGTTTATGTTTATTGAGGTAATGTGGGGGGATGTGGATTCATGTTAGGTTTTAGGGTTAACGTTTTAGTGTTTATGTTTATTGAGGTAATGTGGGGGGATGTGGATTCATGTTAGGGTTTAGGGTTTAGTTTTAGCGTGTAGGGTTTAGGGTTTAGTATTTATGGTTCAGGGTTTAGTATTTTTGGTTTAGGGTTTAGAGTTTAGTGGTTTAGGTTTTAATGGTTTAGGGTTTAGATTTTAGTGGTTTAGGGTTTAGTTAAAATCAGAAATTGAAAGATTTCGTTGAAATTGTTCGTTTGGAAATTTCCTGAAGATAAAAAGAGGGCGTTAAGAGACCGTACTGGCCTAACACTAGACACTCTAAGATCCTTTTTCTTAGGGTTTAGCGTTTATGATTTAGGGTTTAGTGTTTACTATTTACGGTTTAGGGTTTAGGGTTTAGTGTTTATTGTTGATGGTTTAAAGTTTATTGTTTAGTATAGTTAGTGAATGGGTTTTATAATTGTATATATTATGGGTGATAGTGTATAGGGTTTAGGGTTTATTGTGTTTTAGGGTGCACTCTATAGTTAGTGAATGTGTTTTCTAATGTTATATAATCTGGGTTTAGGGTTTAGGTACCAATAAGTTTCGTTTTTTAATAAAATTAAAAAACATTCGAACCGGCAGAGTGAACACGTTTCAGTTAGTAAGACTACAGAATAAACTATCTCTCACCGGCGGAAACTATATTATTTTATTTATTAACTGCTCTCTCTTCTTTTAAACGGAGCGATATTTTTGATATTCTCGCCTGAGCGAATTCAAACCCCAAGATCTAGTAAGTGTGCGTAAAATCTGGTAGTTCGCAAACGATTTGATTTGAAGGTCCATATATAACAGCAATTTGTCTAATTTGTCGATTTTGATCTCCGTATTTTGACTAATTGCAGGTGCCGTCTTGCATCATGAGTACTGCTTCAACACCTTCGAACAGATCCTCCGTGGGGAGGGATAGACGAAGAGTTGTTGGGGTTCCGAAGCTATGTTGGTGTGGGCAGTCTATTGTTGAGCTAATTTCGAAATCGACTCCCAATCCTTACCGACGCTATTATCAGTGTTCGTTAGCTATTCAGGAGAAGGTAATCCGAGGATTTTGTATATATTACTTGAGATATCTATAGTGCTTGCTTTTTTGGCTGAACAACTATTTTGTAGCTGAGTAATGATCAACACACTTGCAAGTGGGTGGACGAAGCCTACTTAGATGAGATCGAGAGTTTGTGTGCCCGGACTCTCTCCTTACAAGAACAATTTGAATAGATTGCAAATGGGCGAGCAGCAGTAGAGAAAAAAATTCTTCAAAATTTGAAAGCTAAATTTGAAGTTCAGTTTGAGCAAACGGCGGAACAACTGGTTAGCGCTTCCCAAACTAGCATAAAGAAGAATATGATCCTATTAGGTGTTGGTTGTGTTTGCTTTGTTGTATTTTCAAAGTTTATCTTCTGAAAACGATCATCTTCTTATCCTTATTTTGAAGATGGAATCACTTATGTTAAGTTTGTTGCGTTTCTCGTCGACTATGTTTGTCTGCATTTATATGATAACAACTTTTTATGCCCACCATGTTTCAAAATATTTAGTTTGCCATGAACATCCCTGTCTTTCCTAATTGTATGGTCCATTTCGGGTTAGTTTCAGGCGGATTCAAAACTAGTAAGGTAACTTCAAAAACAAAACGAAAACTCCAGTAAACATCACCAGAAAAATAAAAGAAGAAAATTGAATGATAAGAAAATTTGGGAAACCCAAGATCGCGATCACATAAAAATCCTCAAATAAAATTAACGATTTTCAGAAATCGAATCACTTACAAATCTAAGAACGTAAATGGTTTTCTCGTTTTTGCAATTCATCAGATAGCCGATTGAGTGAATTCTTTATAGAAAAACAAACAAAAGAGAAAAAAATTTGAGAGATAATGTGAAGAGCTAAGGGAAAAAAAAGAAAATTGGAAAGAAAATGATCTTAATGCATTGCTGCGTGACAAGTACGTGTTGCCTTCCTAACGGTTCTATTCTTTTCAATCTAGGTCGGTTTTATTTGAAATCAAACCACCCTACATTCAGAAAACCACCAAATCGAACCAGTTCTGCATTTTCCTGTTAAACCAAACCGGCTCACGTTGTCTACATATGCGTCGTCGTTTTGTCTCCACAGCTTATAAAATTTTAAAGGTAACTGAAACATCATCATACATCAATGTTTTTGTTGTAAGAAACATACATGTCTGACGTGTATGTTAAGTTTACCAAACAAGCTTTTTTTTTATAAGCAGTGACTAAATTTTAGTGTTAATGAAAATAGAAACAAAATCTATACAAAAGTTCACAAGAGAATTAACAAAGAAAAATGGTAGTGAAACTATTTTTAACTAGCAAGACCTTCGTCATCAGCAATAATGTCCATGCCGTTTTCTACACTCACAGTAAAAAACGGTAACTACAACATAACTCAGCACCACCTCAGTCCCATAAATACAAACCAGCTTCCAACAATTACAGAGTTTATTATTTCTTCTCATCCACTCTTCTTTTTGAGAACTCACATTTCCTTCTTCAGAGTCTTTGCCTTCTATAGTGAGATTAAGAAACGAAATGACTGGATAAAGTCAAGAAGGCTGTCAAAAGTTTTCTCCTTGGATTTATATTTTCTCTGTTTGCACTTTTTCTTCATCCTTTGACTCATATTTCTCTGTCACAATTTAGTGTTTTAGTTTCAGTTTGGTTTCATTCGTTTGATGTTTTAGTAGTGTAAAATTTAGTATTTTAGTTTCAGTTTGGTGTCATTTGGCTCATGTTTAATTATGCCTTTGATGTTCCTTTTTAATATAATTTCGGTTCAGTTTAAAGGCAAAGAGTATATATAACAAAAAGTTTTATTAACACAAAGTTTTAAAGAATTAAACTTTAATGGGTTCTCTTTAAAGTGAGTGCTTTTGGATTAGGAATTGAACTGAGTGCTTTTGTAATTGATTGATGGTTAAACATAACCAATCAACTCCAATTTATTTTAAGTGTTGGTAGAATCTGTATGTTTTACCAAACTAATATGGGTCGGGCTTTTTTCAACTGAGTCAGTCGAGTCGATTTTTAAATATTTCCTCTGTTTTATAATATATGATGTTTTGGATTTTTTCTTTATTCCAAAATATAAGATGTTTTGGTCTGTATTAAATGCAGTTAACTTTCTAAAAGTAACAATTTACATTGAGAATTTTTGTGTGTTAAAAAATAAACTTTTTGAATTATATATTAAAAATAAACAAAGCAACTACTTCTTCTTCGGGATAGTTAGGAGAATGGGTAGTTTTAAGTTTCTAATATGCAAAGTAGGTGGGTGCAAGTTTTAATTAGGAAAGCAGGAGAGAGAAATTGACTTTTGCTTCTTGAGGACCGAAATAACCCTGAGTGTAGGAGAGAGACAGACCGAGGAGAGAGGGAAAAGTGGTCCCAAGTGGACCCATCAGCCAGTCACCAAAGGAAGAAAATGTGAGTGAGAAAAACATAAAATAAAAAATAAAAAATTTGTGTCAGAAAAAAAAGTAAAAGAAAAATAAAAATTATTTTCTCTCTCTTACTTTTCTTTAATAGGAAACTTGCTCGGAAGGTGGGTTTTAAGTTTGTAATTAACTTTTTGGCGGAAACGAGTTTGAAATTAAGGTGGTTCACTGTTGGGCCCTTCACAATGGCCCCGACCAATTGTCCGAAATTACCAAGTATGCCACTCCATCACAAACATGAAAATAGTTAATTACACCAGAAGTCAGACTCTGGGGCCCATGGAACCCCACCTGTGCCACGACTACACGCCGATTGAACCGCGGGTCCGAGGGCCAATTTCGACCGGAACCGGTATGAAAGTGAGACCAGGTTAATGGAGGTAATGGTTTACCCGGTCCGGATTGTGGCCAACGCCGGTTCGGTCAAGGCCGGTTAAGCGGTTTCCTTGGTAATTTTAAGACCGTCTTATAGCATCGTCTTCTCCGTTTGAAATCATAAATGCGAAACGATTAACTGAAGTTTGCAACCGTAATCGTCTAACATTCCAGAAGGACATTAATCGTCGGGAGTTTGCAAGATCTAGATGGGAAGAAAGAGGAAGATGGCTGGCCCAACATCGCCCACGCCGGTGGCGAGAAACCTTCGGAGTAACACACGGATCGAGGAATCAGGCGCAGTCACAGCCGTCTCGCAAGTGGAAAACCAAGGTCAGAGCTTCGGATAAACCCTACGATTGTGAAATTAAAGGTAGATAGGGTAACTTAGTAAGGGAACTTCTGCTTGCAATTATCAATAGGGTGGTTTATGATTAGGATGAGCAAAGGGAAGATTAAACTCTTCATTTTGACCGATTAGCGGAACCATATAGGGTGGGTTCGGATTTGATTAGCAAAATACGATAAAATCCCAAGATCTGAATGCATTGGTTACTTTATTAAAGATTCGGTTTCAATCGGATTGTAGGGACACCAACGAAAAAAGACGGCAACTCAACTGAGCTTCCTTGTCGTTTATATGCCGCGGACTGTTACCCATAGGAGGACCTCAGAGACTAAACATCTATGCGAAAGCAAATGTCATCGGCCAAGTGGTTGCGGCGTTGCAAGGGCATGAGGAGTTGGAACATCTCCGGCAAACGCAGTTCGCCGGATTGCTGGATCTTCCGGTAGCACGATCCTCCAATTCCGCTAAACTTATTCACGCTCTGCTTGCCTGGCAACTGGTGACTAGGAGAAGATATGAACTGTGGACAGTCTTCGGTCCGAACCCAATTCGTTTCTCGCTCAGGGAATTTAAACGAATTACTGGGCTCTACTGCGGGAAAATTCCGGAGGACCATTTGGCGGAGAGGGAGACAAGTCCAGAAACAAGTTCATCAAGTCAGTCTACTGAAGACGATGATGGGAAAAAGAAAATAATGTCAACTATGTGGAGAGACTTGTTTGGGAGGAAGGATGCGCAAGTAACTGTTGATGATGCCATTGCCATGCTAGAGGATCCGAATTTGGCTCAGTGGAAAAGGATGCCCCTGGCTCTTATAATCCTGGTGGAAGGTGTTCTTATATGCCGTGACAAGCATCTCGTATTCACACCCTCATACGTGGATATGCTATGCGATATGGAGTACTTCCTCGAGTTTCCTTGGGGCAGAGAATCTTTCTTGAAAATGATAGTTAGGTTTATCGCCAGCGAAAATGTTGAAAGAGTCGGCGATGACTCGGCGGAGGGAGATGTACTCGAATTACGTCCTGCGGATCCCCTAGGAGCGATGAGACACCAGCTGAACCAGAAAACCAGCGTTTGTAATGGTTTCCCATTGGCTCTGCTGCTGCTGGCGTTGGAAGCCATTCCGCTTCTTGCCCAAAAAATGCCCGACCCAGGAAACCTGAATACCTTTCTGACTGATCCCAAACCCAAAAAGAATACTATTACAATTCTTCATCTGAATACGATTGTGGACATGGAACGCGATCCTAACGTAAGTGTCGACCAACCTAAATCGCTTTTAATGTCTTTTACGTCTGGTTATCTGGTAGTTTTGGCTGTATAGGTCAGATATATCGCAATTAATAATGACGTCAGTGTACGCTATTGCATTAGTTTAGGTGTACGCAGGATGCCTAAGTTTTGGGAGTGTAGGTGATATAGAGCGCAATAATTAGGACATAAGTGTAATTGTACGCAGGATGCATTATAAGGTTAAGTGTGGGATGTCTGACGTAACCACTGCGGAAGAAGTGTAGGACGTGAAACATGTACCCTTCATTTGTAGGAAACGAAAGTGTACAGTAAGGCTAATGTTTGGTAAAGTTTTGCGGATACTATTTTGGTTATTGTTGCGTAAGACGTTAAAGTTTTATATGTGGACGTGTAGTTGGAGGTGTTGTGTTCGTATGACGAGGAGGAACCAAAGGAGGTGTAGTGGGATGATGAAGTGGTCGATGAAAAAGTTGAATACTTGCGGAAACTGAAGAGGGACGGTTACAAGTTTAAGAAGTCTGATTTCAAAGGCGGAGATACAACCTTTGTTCCCATCGTAAACACGAAGAATAGAGAAGGAAAAAACGGACGGAAAAAGGCCGTAGCAAAGAAGGAGAAAGAAGGAGTGAAACCTTTGCGCAGAGGAGTGCCAAAGAGAAAGAGGGGCCGTGATGGTAGGGATAGATCGAAGAGTGGTGAGGAAGCTAGGGAGGAAGTTCTTCCTCAGCAGGTGGTGTTGGAAATTGTCGACGAGATGAAGAGGTGGATGTTAGGCCATCTGAACCAAATGAAGGAAAATCTTTTGGTAGCTGTGGCTGAAGAGAGAGAGAAGGGGAAGGAGAAAGTTGAAGGCGGAAGCTCAACAGACGGGAAAGAAAATGCAAGGGCCGGTGCGAAAGGAAATATTGGAAGACCTAGGGAACCTACTCCGGGTCAGGGTGAAAAAGGTGGAGAAAGTGGTTAGAAAACTGAAAGTGAAAAAGAAAGCTATAAACTTCTCGCAAGGAGAGGAAAGAGGGAAAAAGTGGCAGCTGAAAACGAGGAAGCGTTGGGAGGACGCGGAAGCGGACCGTTGTACAAGAAACCTAGGGTGGTGGGATGGGAAGGGGATGATTATTTGAATACAAGATCAGATGAGGCGGGAAAAGAGCAAACTGGAGTAGATGAGGAGACGAGTACGTGGAAGTATTACGGTGGAACTCTGGATGTGTTGGCTGAGTTAGGCGTTGATAAAGTAGACAAATCTACGAATGTAGGAGAAGAATTGGGTGGTCGTGGGGAAGGAGGAACCGTTGTAGCTGACGGAGGAAAGACGAACCGTAAGGAGGACAAGCTGGTGGATGTTGCGGACGAAGGAAATGAAGACCTGTTGGTTGAACAGAAAGAAGACGAAGAAGTTACGGCGGGGGAGGAGATGATTGAAAAAGAGGATGATGATTGCGAGGAAGGTGATAAAGGCGGAATTTCAGAGAGCGAATGATATGATTATGGGCAGAACAAGGAAGGACGTGTGTTCACTGTTCGAATCTTATCTTCACAACCACGACGATTACACACATGAAACCGGCTGGAGAATATGCTCAGCTCAATTACAGAACACCTCGAACAAGAATCAGTTCAAACGGAGTTAACCGAAGGAGTTATTCAATTTACAAGACGGGTCATTTCCGGTTTACTTGATTCGGACATGTGTGCATTCAATGAAGGATTCTGACCAGGCCATAATGAATTAAGCTACAAACCGACTCATTCTACAATCTTGATCCATCAGAGAAGCCCATGAAGTTTGATTCAGCCCAAAAGACATCAAGGAAGGTCAAGTTTCGTCCTCAGCAAGAGACTGCAATAATGAAGACATATTTCTCTCTCCTACATGCAGTTTAGAGTTGTAATTCATTTTCCAAGAAGCTCTGCATGTTAGGCTATTAACTAGGACGAAAATACTTGTAATTTCTCTATATATAGAGCCCAAATCATGAATAAAATTATCCAAGTTTTTATTATCAAACCCCTTTCAAACTCTTGGATCACTTCTCTATGGTGTCAAATCTATGGAGAACCCTATTCACTCTTGGTGTGTAATATCCAATGAGTCTATAGCGAGCCCTGTTCACTCCTGGTGTGTAATATCTAGCGAGTCTTCAGGTTGGTGTTTTAGAGATCTTCCGCAATCTCTGAATCAAACCATTCAACTCCTTCCATCATCACGGCTTCTAGCCAAATCTATCCAACCTCAACTCTAGAGTGCCCCATCCTTGGGAAGATCTGATCAGCGAATGAATTAAGGAACCAGAGACAGGCCAGGAAACGGAAGGAGGAGTTGGGAAAGAAATGAAGGGCGTCCAAGTTTCTGTAAGGATAATGTTTTGCTATACAACTGCTGAGAATTACCTTTGATTTTATGATTTGTATTAACAAATCATTTTTCCAATTTAATTTAAATGTGAGCCACGGGTTGGGGAGAAGGAAATATTACAAAGAGCAGAAGGCGAGAAGGAAGGAGTTGAAAGGAGCAGTAGCATGGTCGAAAGAGAGGAGGAAAAAATAACATCATTTGACAAAACTGGTGAGGAAGACAGTGAAGGAGGGATAGGGGATGGCAATGCAAAGGAAGTTCCCGTAAGGCCTATTTTGAATCAAATTCGCAGGTAAATAATACATATTATAATCCTTCTGTTATTATTAACAATCTGACTTGCAGGAAGAAGAAAAGCGAGAGGCCGAAGGTGAAGAAACCGCATGCTTAGAAGCGGTACACCAGGTAAACACGTACACCATATTATCGTAGAACTTGGGAGCGTAAGTGTATCCGCATATTTTCTGTAACCCAAACTCCATCCACCATTGTCAAACCTTGTACAGAAATTTCCATCTGCGTTGATGATGAAGTTTTGTTGTTTGACAAATATAATTGTAATAGGTGTCAGCCGAGGAACCAGTGGCAAGTAGTGATGTAGGAGCCGTTGGTGAGTACACTGAGGCCAAAAAACTACCTGAGAAAGTTACGGAGAACGTAGAGGACGAAGGTGATGAAGCAATGAAAACCCCTGAAAAAGAAAAAGCTGATGTTGACCTGAGCAATGCGGAGCCGTTTACTTATGTCGGTGGTCAGGCAAGCGGCAACAGTACTCTGCCTCAGAAAGGTGAGGAGAAGCGCGTCCCACAATTGTCTCAGAGAGTGAATGAGAGGGAATACATTGGGGATCCACGAGTGTGGGGGCTTTTTGCAAGTCGAACTGAACCGAGATATGAACCCATTAACCGAGCAGTGTACCGAGTTACAAAGGATGAGTTCAAGATATTCCAAAGGGCTTTAAAGGAAAATACGAAGAAGTGCGTTCGAAATGCGTGATTGTTTATGTGTTTTATAGGTTTGTAGGTTAATAAATTTGCGTACTAAAAACCGACGGTCTTATTTTGCTTCGTAGGGAATTCAGCATAGTGACTGGTCACACTGTTACTAACAAGAGATTGCGAAGAAACAAGAATAGGTCGGCACTGAGGTATGTGAAAGGAGAAAAGAAATAATGTTATTCCGTACACCGTGCCTCAAAATCATTGAGCGTACACCATCATCTAACTTTCCGTCAAATTGGAATTTCAGCACATAGAGGTTATAATGACAATGTTGTGGCGTCGCCGAGGAGAGGTATTGGTGAAAGACCGAGCAGTATTCGTAGAGAGTGCCTTCACTTCACTTGTGGCTTCAATGTACCCGGTATTTAAGACATGCGATGACAAAAGTGCGTTCGACTGGGGAAACAACGTTCGGAGCTTTGTTTCGGGTAAAAGTCGAGGAAAAAAACTGAAGTCCGAATTTGTGACGAACGTGGACATGTTGTACGTCCCGATGAACTGGGGTAATGATCACTGGGTTGGTTTGGTGATAAGACATTCCCGGAAGTTATGTGGAAGTACTTGACCCGTACGTCGACTACAACCATAAAGAAGCTGTGGTCGAAGCGTACATGGAACCGGTCGTTCAGTCAATGCCTTGGATACTCAAGCGTTACATGGCACCCAATGTTGCTAAGAACATTTCCACCACTGCATACGGGTGGGCGAGGACCGGTGGTCTATATCAAAACACTAGGGCTGGTGATTGCGGACCTTGCGCGGCGAAGTTCCTAGAGATGCACACACATGGACTTCACGAAGAAATGTCTACGGTGATTGATCAGGATGTGGATAGGTTTCGTGAGAAATATGCTATGGACTGTTACGAGGAGTTCGTGGGGAAAGAAAATGTAGCAAACAAATGATACGTTTACAAATATATTTGAAATCGACTATTAATCATCCTATCGAACTCTGTTTGTGTTTTTACCTTTGTTACCGTTTCTACGACTTGTTACTTATTTCGTCATACTTGCGTTCGTAGATGCCATGTGTTATATCTTGAACTCATATCCTGAACTCTTTCAATTAGTATAGGTATAATATGTGTGGTGCTTGTTTACACTAATGGGAAGTTCGCTGGGCGAACGAAATCTCCTATGACCCCCTTTCTGTATGCAAAGCGTTTAGGGTATAGGAAACTTCGTCCTTGGATTTTAGTCTTCGTAGATGTTATGTGTTATATCTGAAACTAATATAATGAGTACAATATGCAACGAAATATTTCATAACCCGTTTCTTTATGCAGCACATTTTTGTTTTAGGATAATGTTGTTTAGCGTGACTGAGCTTCCTGTGTGGATTTGAATTGGCGAACTGCAATAATGTAACTATCCTGTATGCGAAGTTGTTACATACAGTCCATAAATCGTACTGTTTCAATAGTAGTTTTTGTAGTGCATCAGATGGAATTTGATGTAGTAGGCATAAATCTGGGAATGTGGGCCACAGTTTTCCATTTAATATTATTGTTATAATATTATTTATGCCGAATAGCTGTAAAACACTCGCCCAATTTGAATGGAAAAACTTAAGTCAATATGTCAAATCAACTTAAAGCTTGCGGGGGAAAAAGGTGATTTTCGAGGGCAATGACACGTGTACGGTAAAAACCATTATTACCGCCAGTCATATACGCTTTAGATTTGGTCTCATTTCACAACCATACAGACATGGAGTCCAATTCATCTTCTTCCGCTGGCGGTGCCCAATTGACAAGGTGGACGGGGTCACCTCTCTGCCGATGTCTTGAATCCCCGATAGTACTGACTTCGTGGACGGACCAGAACTCTGGTCGCGAGTTCTCCAAGTGCCCTATAATGAACTCATGATTCGAGCGTGGGTGTGATTACTTTAGCTGGGTTGACAACGAGCCATCCCATGGATGGCAGAAACGAGCGTTGATTAAAGCGAGAAACCGGATCCGCGCGCTGAAGACGGAGGTGGAGTACTACAAAAGGTTGAAGGATGAGGAAAGAGGCAAGAATTAGTGCGAACGTCCCTGGTGCCACTGACTCCAATCTTCTTCTACGTCATGTTGAAGGGCCACCCGAGAGGTATGGATCGATCCGATCTTTGGCTGGATCAATTAACCTGCCTAAGTTGTCCTCTGTTTTAGTTGTCATTGTGGCGACAGCTGGGATAATTTCCCTGTTCGCATATTAAATTGTTGTCTGGTTTACTGCTTTCCTTCCCGTTTCAGTTGCTAAGTTGTGAACTTATGTTTTAGTTTCTTCGATTACCCTTATGTTTCTTTATATCTAATGCTTTAATTAAGTTCTTCATGTTGTTGATTTCCCTTTGAATATGGCAGTACCTTATGAATGAAGTGTTAAATGAAGTTGGTATTTTGCGCTATTTTCCAACTGGCAAATACAAAAGCGCTTAATGCTAAAGCGCTTAATGCTGTATTCGAAAGAATCAATCCACCCCGTCGACCAGTGATGTAGGAGTACGGTTCGGACATAAGTGTATGGGACCCCATTTTTATAGTCTATAAGTGTACGCGTACGCGTACAACTTAATTGTCTCGTGTGGATGTTTGCAAAACATGGCAAACAACACCCTCGCACCAAATTTCCCTAGTTAGTTGGGGAGTTTTGTCTATTGTGTTGAGTTTATCTCAGCCAGGGGACCTCAGTCTGGGCCCAACAAAACAAAATAAGCTAGTGTACGCTTTCAGTATTACGTACGAGTAGGGAGTTGTACACCACTGTTGACTACGTACGTTCCAAACAAATTTACAATAAACAGAGCATCAACATTAAATACGAAATTAATTTTCCAACCGTCCATGCTTCGCGATTGTTCATCACTCGCTCTGGGACTGTTATATATTGGAATAATTATTCATTTCTGAAGTTTATTTTAGTGTTGACGAAAATGGAGGTTCTCGCTGAAGCCGAAGTGTCGTACCTTTCTCCATTTGTTTGTGCCGGCAAGAGCACTTGCAACATAGCAGGGACGGCGGAGGTGCTTCTGAAATGTAACTTCACACATTTAATCCATGAAAACCACGAGGACATCATGCCGGGTGGGAGAGCTAGACGTTTCTTTGAAAGGTGTTGCGAAGTCGGTAATTTGGAAGCCGTTTACTTCGAAGGACTACGCCTCGCCATCCACTCAGGTGATATAAATCTTGCGATAGAGATGTTGGTCCGTAACGACAAAGGACATGGTAAGTCGACCCTCGCAGCTGCATTTTTCGCTATCTGTTCTGGAGATCGGAAACAGGCTAGCGTATTGTTTCAGAGTTTTTCGGTGAACCACGGCGGTCTCCAGGAAGAGAAGGCCAGATTTCTCGGAAATGAGATAAAATGGGACATATTCATACTGAATCAAAATCCTCGATACTTATATGGAGACGTTTTCGTATCCCGATGACGATGTAATTTACCTTCGGAGTGCGCGGATGACCATGTCTCCCCTCACGAATGCCACTTATGTTACATGTATGCGTGCGCACTAGAAGTTTGTGGTATGTTGTAAAAAATCGGATTCCATGTTGGAAAACACCGATGTACGACGAACACCTGTCTAAAAGTAATTATCAACGACAAAAAGTTTGCTCGCTAAATGTTAAATATCACTTCATGGAAGATAACTCACAACTCAATTAATGAAGGCTGGAGTAGTTGAGAGTGTTATTTTCTGAGTGGACGTTGGCGTAAATGCTGGAGTTCCCAACTTCCTCCACGAGTATGAGTTAGTCTATAAAATATTGACACAATGCGGAATCGCTTACCTTATCTTCACACCTCGTCGACCGTAGTTATGACGTTACCCGATTTTCCAGAGGAAATTCTGTTGGAGATCATGCAGAGGTGTGGTGATGATGACTACCGATTTCTCGCCTCTTTCGTTGTAGCTGGCAAGCGTTCGAACCGCCTTGTATACTCATCAGAGATTCTGCGTACATGCAATTTGACGGCGTTGTGTGTAGAGCGGTTGGATATCATACTAATAATGCGGGGGTTGAGGGGTCATCCTTTTTTCGAGCGTTGTCTTGGTCAAGGTAATATACAAGCCGCATACTTCGAGGCCCTCCGACTAATTATACACTGTGGGGACTTTGAAGGGGGACTGAACCTGATGGAACCCAACGTTCCTGACGATGGAAAGACAACTCTCGCATCAGCCTTCTTCTATTGCTTGCTCGACGAAGCAGGTTATCTTTTCCAATGCTTTGATGCCAAACATGACCACCTGGTATCGGATAAGGCTAGAAGAATCGGTCAGGAAATAGTGAGAGAAGTCGGGTCCTTCCATCCACCTTACGGGGGATATTTTAGTTACTCTTTCCTATTTCCGCCGGCTCTGATGCCGGAGTGTGCGTACGATCACGACCCCGTTCATGATCCAGTCTGTCACACTTGCTTTCTCTATTGGGTCGCTCACCGTGTTTGTGCCATGTTGTAGAATATCGGAGTAGAGTACGTGTCAGCCACTAATGAGCTATATATTGCATGTCGTAATGCCTATGTGCCACCTAATATGTCCACCATGTAGCATTTAAATCAAGTATTAGTTAATATGTAATTTCCCGCTTTTCTAGAATGTAGCAATTTATTACGCTTCCTTTGGAAATTCAAACACGCATCAGTTAATACTCTCCTAAACGATAACCGATGTCAAATTACTACCTGACGGGATGATGAGCATTGACATGTGCGTGGAGAAGATATGGTTCGGATCTTTCCAATTAGCGCTCGAGACAACAGCTCCGGCGATTTGTATCCATGCTCCTTCGGGAACGTCCTCGAAAGTTCCATAAGCCGGACCATTGACGGCTGCATGGATCTTCGTTCCCTGTAATACGAAATTGCTGTTAAACGTAAATCGGGATCATAGACACGGATAAACAGAAGTGAGACGAAACTGACTTCCTCGTCGACAAGAAGGAAGGAGAGAGTCGGCGTTGTTTCGTCGGTGATATCTCTTCCCTTCACCTTCCGGAAAACCTTCACCTTGATTGTAACGTCTGTGTTCTGAATGAACGCGGACGCAGATCTTTGAGAAGTTGATACATTGTGTTTCGATTTCGTTGATTGGGGGAAGATGAAATGGTTGAGTTCGTCGATATCTTTGGAAATAAATGGGAGACGGAAGAGGAGCGGTTTCTAAGAGCGGTTTGGGAGAGAAGTTGCGTCTTTCGAGAGTAGGAGAGGAAAGGAACTGTTTACATAGTTGTAATGATTATAATTTCGGGAAGGTAAATGTGATATTAACTAAGGTTGAGTGTTGCTAGTTGCCTATTAGAGGTATACGTGATTAATGTAATTGAAACGTGTCATCACTAGGTCGAAATGAAAAAGATAGGACCAGGAGTAATTGAAACGGGTGCATTATCTGTTTACTTTATTATTTTCCTTAGATAAAAGGAGACAGTTCAAATGGACTGTATTAATTAAATTTAAATTGTTGCGACTAAGCATCACCCCTATTTGTTTTCCATTGGACCGTCGCCACATTAGTTAAGTCCATAGTCATACTTAAATTATTTTCCATAAGAAACTTAGTGAAACGGATGAAAGCGACGGCGTGACAAAATTAATGGAATGGTTCAGACCCAAAAAAAATTAAATGGAATGGTTTGATCGAGGAAACTTTCGCGTTAAAAATGAGTTGGACATAAATCATACGGACCCTAAAGTATATTTCCGCGTCATATCATAATGGGATAGTTACAAATAATCCGAAAACATTAGCTAGTGCATAATCACGAAGTCCATTATGGTTCCGACCAAAAAAAATGTTCATGGAATGGTTAGATCGAGGAAACTTTCGCGTTATAAAATGACTTGAACATAAGTCAGACGGACCCTAAAGTATATTTCCGCGTCATATCATATCATAATGGGATAGTTACAAATAATCCGAAAACAATAGCTACTGCATAATCACGAAGTCCATTATGGTTTAGACCAAAAAAAATGTTCATGGAATGGTTAGATCGAGGAAATGTATACGTACAGTAAAGTATGTTTTCACGGTCATATCATAGAAGAAGGAGCTCATTCTGGCCGATGGCGCACAAGCAAAATGGCCGACAAATCCAAATCACGGCATAGGCGCGCCAACCGGTTGGAAAACACTTCCTGAGCTTAACTAACACTTTTATGCAGGAAGAAACGAAAAGGAACGAGCCAAACTTCACATGGCCAAGGAAACTCCTTCCCGGAGCCAAATTGACCATTTTGTGAAGGAAGTCTCAATCTTCTCGTTCAAATGCTCCAAACTTCACCAGAGGCCATAAAATACCAGGTTGGTCGATGAAATTTCAATATAGGTCATGAAATTTTAACGGTTTGTTCTGTAGTTCACAGCACCACATTTTGGCCGACCGAATACCAATCTCGGCCAAAACACAAACCGGCGGAAACCAAGGCCTGAAATTCAAAACTCACCGACCAATATTGCCTAAAGAAGTGTAATGACCCAAACCGAACTGATCTTCATTATAAATTGGTCGACATTTGGTAACATCATCCTAAACCTTTTTCTTTTCAATTTTTCATTTGAACTTCATGTTATACCTCTCTTAATCCGATTTGCTTTCACCGGGACGGTGCAAGTTAAGTCTGGGGGGATTACTAACAATGTTTGTTCATTTTGGCATTTTCATTTGCATTTTTTCCCTTTTATCGAGTCATTTTTATTGAGTCAAAATTTTTGTCGAGAATCATGACCTTATCTTGGATCTAACCATGATTGTACTAATGTTTAAGTGACCATTGAGCAGTTCTTGGCAATACATCTTACCACAGGTGCACTATGAGTTGATCGATCTACCAAAAACGCCTACATCTCTAAAGACTTGAGAAGGATCCATCTTTGACTCCGCCCTTAATGAACTTAATCTTCTCAGCTAGGGGCTTGGCATACAAATGGCATGATTCCTCATCCTCTCCATCAAATGAAAAAGTCTTAGTGAGTTCGTGCTTCCCTCTCTCTCCCCTTCAATTAAAGAAAAAGCGTAAGGTCCAAGTAACCGGGGATTCGGTGGCAAACACCATCAATACTCGCGTCTGTGGAAGGTCCAAGCAAAACCTCTATAATAAAGAGAAGGAGTTGAATAAAAAAAATACTTCGCTACCCTAAAAAAGGGATGAATCAACTGAAGAAGTGAGAAGAGAGAGAGGAGAAACATGGAGTAAAAAGACAAGTGCCAAACAAGGGGATGAGAAAGAGTCTAAAAGCCGGCTGATCGATACTCCCTAGTTGAGACCACACCTTTAGAAATGAAAGGAGTCAAGGGTGGCGAATTGGATTGTCCAAGGAGAGGTGGACCGCTTTGGGAAAATCGCAAAACTCATGGTATGTACTTTGTTCTTAATTCAAAATTTGCCAATGCTGTTTCATGTGGATTACTAAAGCATAAGTCAATTTGGATTTCCAAAAGATTTGAGAGTTCTCACGTTTTCAAACCTCTTTTCCTGCTTAGTTTGCTTGGGGACAAGCAAAAGGCTAAGTCTGGGGGAGTTGATATCACCATATTTTACATGATTTTACTATATAATTACTATGTTTTCAAACGGTTTTTGCAAGATTCTTTGCCTTTAGAGGTAGTTTTCTTGTATTTGTGGGATTTGAAGTCTTTGTAGGTGAAACCATCAAAAAGGATGCAAAAAGGAGTAAAAGAGCCCTAAACCAAGATCCATGCAAGTTTCCAAGTCAAGAAGATCATTTTATCTCCAAGTGTTAGTTCTCGCTAGCGCGCAGAACGAAGCTTCGGAAGTTTGGCCGCGCGCGGAGGAGTTCCCGACGTCCAAAAGTTACGATCTTGATATGGAAAGATAGATACTTGAGTCATGCATCACGTCGAAGTGGAATGAAGCCATTTGGATCAACTATGAGGCCGGAACTTATTTTCTACCGAGACATGTCCGGTAAGCGAGTAAACGAAGCCCATGGAGGATTTGGAGTGTCTAATGGCCCGAGCAGCAGCGCCAAAGGCCTTGATCGAATAGAGAAGAGGCCTGGCTAATGTTTGGAGCTTTCCTTGGTACAATGTCGGCCCATACACGACGTGGAGAAGAAGGCTTTGCTCACGGGAAACTTTCCTTTTCCGGCATGAAGAAAACCCTACGCGACTTCGCCCATATATACATGTTTTTAGCCGCTGAAGAAGAGAGTCCGAAAATTATCAAAGAGTGTACGTGTGAGAAGAGAGTCAGAGAAGAGAAGCCCTAGGAGATCGTCCAAGAAGAAGGAGGCGCCGCTCAACTCTTGTTCTTTCTTTTTCATTGTTTCCATTTCTATAAACTTGATTTTAAGAGTTTTCAAGGGAGAATCCGACTTTGTTCATCAATAGAGAAGCTTTCTTCATCCCTTTATCTCTTTTAATACTTGCATAATGTTTACAATCATGCTTTGCTTGCTTGTTTGCATCATGGCCGAGTAGATCTCTTAGTTAGGCCGAGGAGATCTATGGTGGCCGTGATGATTTGATTGTGTTGCAACTTATTGGGATTTATCTTATGGATCTTCACCTTTACTTGAGCTTAATGCATGATTACTCTACCGTACATCTAGTAATCTGATCTTAGAGAAATAGAACCACGACAGTGCTGAATCTAGATCTCAAAACTAGTATTTGGTGAGCAATAGATCATAGCCAACGAAAGCTGAGTTATGGTTTATTGTGAACAATTGAATCTTGATCACCTTTAATGCATGTTTGCAATTCTAATAGCCAACGAAAGCTGAGTATATTAGGTTGTTTTAAACATAGTGGTTGGAGCCACGACAGTGGAAAGACCATACACTAGTGATTCATGTTCAAGACGGCTCTACACACATCCCATGCAACTATCTTTTCATCATTGCTCCATATGATTGTCCTTTGCCTAACTCTTGTTTTAAATTGTTTACAACCTCACTCACATCTCTTTTGTTTTACTTTCTCATTCTAGGTCCAAAACCATCTCATATTGCGAGCTAGCTACAAACCAATCTCACAAGGTGTTAAGCGAGAACACTTCCTCCTCGTGTTCGACCCCGACTACAACACGGCTGTGCACTTGCAGCTCATTAGTTGGGTTTATAAATTGTGAAAATTTGAGGCAATCTAAACCCGCCATCAAGCTTTCTGGCGCCGTTGCCGGGGAGGAGTTGCTTTTCCTTCACACCTCTTGATTGATTTCAAGACTAGCTCATCTCATCTTTCACTTTTCTTTGTTTTTGTTTTTCATAAAATCTTAAAAACTCATAAAAATTTTACTTAACTCTTTCTTTGTGTGTTTCTAAGGTGCATGACAAGAAGGTCCAATCCAAATACAACCATTGAAGAAGATCTTGACATTGACCAACTTGAGCGCACACTTAGGCGACTAAGAAGAGAAAGAATGAATCCAGGCGGAGAAGGCGCGCCGAATAGGCCACACAACCCGCCCGACCAAGAGAGGAGAGCCAATGATCCTCCTAATCCAGCAGAAGCTAGAGCTGACCAGCCAGCACCGGCCAGAGACGTTCCCCACCCAATCCGAACGCGCCCGATGCAGCTGAGCCGCTACAGCCACCTCTTGGAATCTATCGTGCATGGAACCTTATGGAATGCTTGAAGATGTTATGCTAGAAATAGGAGGTCGATATGTCCCAACTGACTTCCAAGTCATGGTTTAGGAAGGCTCAAAGAGGAATCAACTGATTCTTGGAACCCCATTCCTTGCTACAGCTGGAGCGGTCCTAAACTATTTTGGGAACCATCTATCGTTTGGCCACATCCGGCAAGATATCTTTTCCCAAGCATCAACTTCAGGTCAGTGCCAAGTGCGACCAAGCTACCACCAGAAGAAGCCACTCTCATGCCTAAGAAAGAAGCTATGCTGCATGGAGAAAGAAGGGAGAGTGAGCGCTACCCAAAACCAAAGGAGAAGAAGAAAACATTGGAGCCGAGGCATGAAAATGTCTTCAAAGATACAAGCTCGATCTTACTTCCAACCTTTGACGAGTATGGAGCTGAAGAGGAGACTAATGGTGCACCTAATCTCTTTCACAAGATAAGAATCTTTACACCAAAAGATTCGGAGCTTAAAGGTGACCAATCCATTGAAGAGAAGCTTGAGAGAACGATGAAGCTTTTCCCCAAGGCATTGGTTTTCAAGGATGAAGTGAAGAGATCATGGCGTGCCAACACCACCACAAGAGCCCACTGAACCGGAGAATGGAGAAGCTAAAGGGATCCTAACCCCTTCAGCCACTCTTCACCACGCTTAAAAGAAAGAGAAGGAGTCAAGCTAAATGACTTAAAACAAAAGCGCTTTATGGGAGGCAACCCATATGGTTTTTAACTATTTATTTCTATTTTGCAGGAGTTTTTCAAAAATCAAACAAAAATACAAAAATATTTTCTTAGGATGAAGACCAAAGGAGACCAAACAATGGAAGTGTCCCACCCAATGAGCCCACCCTTGTACAAGGCGTTTCTCCTACAAAAGGTAACAACAATCTGATCTTGTATTCATTCATAATCACTAATGATCTTAACTTGATAATCGTTTAAACCATTGCACTTAAATAGCATATTTCTATGGTTTACAATCGATTTCTATTTGATAGTTATTGAATGAGATACATAATCACCTGTCAAAACTCATTTCACTCACTGAACTCACAAGAGATTGAACTATAGTTTGAAATTTGGATCATTGACCAAGACCAAATAAGAATTTATAGTTTGTACTTAATCTCTTGGATTGTGAACTTCAAGTTGGTCACTTGAGGATCTCAATCCAAGAAACCATCTAATCATGATTTCAAGTGTTTAGAAAGGAGTTAACTATTTAACAGGAAAGAGAACTGGAGCAAACCTATAACCCACCTCAAAACCAACATGCATATGGCGGCCAAAGGGAGGTTGAAAGGAGATAGAAAGGCCATCTGGCGTAGCGCAAGCGTCGCCAAAAGCTCCCTGTCGTTGATTCTGCGAATACCCGAACAAGAAAAGCTCTTCTCGTTAAAGATCTCAATCTCAGAAATCTATAGCAAGGAAATAAGAAGCTGAATGAAGCTCTGAATAATACTTTGATTAAAACTGATGATGATTACAATGAATCTCGAGCTCCTTAAATAACAAATGAATGAAGAAATCTAAGAGAATCTAGATCTAAGTAAATCCAAATAAGAGATAACACCAACTAGCTAAATAAAAGAGAGTCTATCGTAAGTATAAGAATATTCCGGATCCTAATGATAAGATGCGCTGCATCAGGTCTCCCCAGGTAGGAGAAGATTCGCCTCTGAATCTTGACTGTTGTCCCCCTTGAACGGACTAAGATACTTGACACTGAACACGTCTGCAGTCTTGATATGCGGCGGAAGGTCGAGACGATACGCATTTGGATTGATGACTTCCAAAACCTTGATCGGACCTATTTTCCTCGAACGAAGCTTGTTGTATTCGGACGCCGGCATGCGGTCCCTCGTGAGATAAACCCACACCAAATCTCCTGGAGCAAACAACACCTCACGCCTGTGTTTATCAGCAGCCGTCTTGTAACGCACGGAAGCCTGTTGCAGGTTGGAAATCGCCGAGGAATGCACCTCTTGCAAAGACTCCACAAACGCAGTAGCTGACCCGTGCATCCGAGAAACGTCCGAAACAGCGGACAGGTCTAAAGGGCCTCGAGGAATGATCCCATAGACAACCTGAAAAGGACAAAACCCAAGACTTCTATTCGTGGCATGGTTATGAGCGAACTCCGCCTGTGGTAGTTTGGAATCCCATGCCTTAATATGTTCACCAACTAAGCTCCGAAGCATATTTCCAAGAGAACAATTTGTCACCTCCGTTTGACAATCCGATTGAGGATGATAAGCTGTACTCATGTCAAGGCTGGTATTGAGAAGCTTCCAAACCGATCGCCAAAAGTGGCTCAGGAATCTTGTGTCTCTGTCAGATACAATAGACGTCGGCAGACCGTGAAGCCGATAAATCTCCCTGAAAAACAACTGAGCAACGAGCAGAGCATCAGTTGTTCTCTTACATGGGACGAAGTGTGCCATCTTTGAAAATCTGTCAACTACTACAAAGATCGAGTCATGTTCTTTTTGTGTGCGCGGCAATCCCAAGATAAAATCCATACTCACATCTGTCCAGGGTTGTGTAGGAACCGGTAAAGGCATGTACAAACCAGCGTTGGATGCCTGACCCTTTGTTGTCTGACACGCACGACAACGAGCCACAAATCTCTCCACATCTCGTCTCAGACTTGGCCAAAAATAAGACGATGAAACCAGCTGTAAGCTCCGATCTCTACCCACATGACCTTCCTTGTGGAGCTCCTCAATGATCTTTAATCTGAGGCTGCAGTCAGGGATGCATAAACGCAAGCCCTTAAAGAGGAACCCGTCTTGAATTGAAAACTCCATTGGCATTCCCTCTCTCACATCATGTAACACAGAAGCGAAAAACGGATCAGAAGAGTATAATTCAGCAAATGTAGCAAAACCTGAGATCGAATTGTGCATCGTAGTCACCAAACAATGGCGCCTACTCAGAGCATCGGCCACCTTATTCAATTTCCCTGACTTGTGACGAATGGCGAAAGTGAACTGTTGCGAAAATGCGATCCATGAGGCATGTCTTGCCGATACCTTGGCTTGACTGTCTAGATGTTTGAGCGCGTCATGGTCAGTATACAGCACAAATTCCTTGTGAAACAAGTAGTGTTTCCAATGTTTAATTGCCTGCACAATTGCGTAGAACTCGACATCATAGGTACTGTAACGAACCCTCGCTCCTCCCAACTTCTCGCTGTAATAAGCCACGGGTTTCGTTTGTTGACTTAAGACCGCGCCAATCCCCTGCTTCGACGCATCACAATGAAGCTCAAATGGAATTGCAAAATCCGGGAGTACCAGAATCGGAGCCGTTGTGAGCTTTTGTTTGATTAACTCAAACGCCGCTGCTGCTGCCTCAGTCCATTGTAGCTTGCCTTCCTTCATGCAATCTGTCAAGGGAGCCATAATTGCGCTGAAATGAGGCACAAAACGTCTATAGAAAGACGCAAGCCCATGAAAGCTTCTCACATCCGACACTGTTCGTGGTTCAGGCCAAGAACGTACCGCTTCCACTTTCGTCGCATCCATGGACAAACCTTTGCTTGACACCACATAACCCAAGAACAAGACCTTATCAGTTGCAAAATCACATTTCTGTCTTGCCACAAACAAAGTTTCACGCCTCAGAACCAACAAAATGAGCCGTAAATGATGAATGTGTTCCTCTATCGATGAACTAAACACCAATATATCGTCAAAATAAACCACCAAGAATTTACCGATATAAGGGTGTAAAGCTTGGTTCATCACTCTCATGAACGTGCTTGGCGCGTTGGACAGGCCAAAAGGCATCACGAGCCACTCAAACAAGCCCTCTCTGGTTTTGAAAGCTGTCTTCCACTCATCACCCGGTCTGATTCTAATTTGGTGATACCCGCTCTTCAAATCCAGCTTTGAGAAAACTCTCGCTGTCCCAATCTGATCCAACAAATCATCTAGTCGAGGGATGGGAAATCTATACCTCACTGTAATCTTGTTGATCGCCCTGCTGTCTACACACATACGCCAAGACCCATCCTTCTTTGGAATAAGCAACGCCGGAACCGCACATGGGCTGAGACTCTCGCGGATGTGTCCCTTCGCCACCAACTCTTCCACTTGTCTCCGTAGCTCTTCATTTTCCTGTGGGCTCATCCGATAATGTGGTCGATTTGGCAACTTAGCTCCGGGAACCAAATCGATTTGGTGTTGTATGTCGCGCAAAGGTGGGAGCCCCTGAGGCAACTCATCAGGGAAAACATCACTAAACTCCCTCAACAGTGACGTGAGCTGTGGTGAAACCTCTCGTGACATTGGTTCCAGCGTGGGCGACGATATCAACATCAAAGCAAAACCCGACTCCCTCATCTCTGTTTCAAATACCGAGCGCGAGCACAATGTAGTTGCCTTGTGTTGCTTCTCCTCCGGCGCAAACACCTTATCGAGTCGAGGCAATTGTGTTGCCTCCGGTGTCGAGGGCAGTAGCACAATCTTCCTATTGTCAAACATGAAACTGTATGTGTTGCGCCTGCCATCATGTATTGTCCCTCTATCGTACTGCCACGGACGCCCTAGAATCATATGGCCCACATCCATCGTGGTGATGTCACAGTAGAGTTGGTCCTTATAGTGGTCACCAATCGAGAACGTCACCAACGTTCTATGTGATATCTGAAAGTCCACCTCTTCTGTTATCCATTGTAGCTTGTAGGGTCGCGGATGGGCTTCCCGTTTCAATCCCAACTTCCGAACTGCATCCTCAGAGATAACATTGTTGGAACTACCTGAATCAATCACGAAGCGACAGATTTTCCCTTTGATTGTGCACATGGACTGAAAGAGATTCGTTCTCAACCAAGGTTCTTCTGCAGTCGCTGGGGCGAAACACACTCGTCTCACGACCAGAATCTTTCCACGGTCTCCTTCCAACTGCTCCACGGGTAACTCTCCATCCTCCTCCAGGTCATCATCGTCAAAAACCGCATTAGATTCCCAATGAGGGCCGTCTGCAAGCAAGCCTCGACGAGACTTATTGGGGCAAGCTGTTTGAATGTGCCCTGCTTCCCCACATGAGAAACATCGCAGCATATTTGGTCTAGCGGAACGACGCAAACTCTGCTCCTCCGTTGTGTTTCCACTACGCAGTTGTTGAGGTTGCTTTGTCTGTTGTGACTCGACATTCTCCTTAGCTTGCACTGTGTCAGCAACTGGTGAAGCTGTAACTCTGTTTCTCATCGAACTACCTCCCCAACTTGGTTTGAACTGTCCCTCCAATGCCACAGCTCGCCGATGCGCCTCTGCTACAGACGTTGGATCAAACTGAGCTAACGCCGACTGAAGTTGCGGACGCAGACCACCAATGAAACGTGATACCAGCTGTATCTCACTGTCATTAATATCAGTGCGAGTCATCAAGAGCGAAAACTCCTCAGCGTACTCCTCCACCGAACGCGTGCCTTGTCGCAAATTCTGAAGCCTCGTGTACAAAGTACGATCGTAGTTAAACGGCAAGAATGTCTCCTTCAAGTGTTTCTGGAGCTTTTCCCACGTTTTGATCTTACTCTTGCCATTACGCTCCCGAGTTGTCTTCAGCTGCATCCACCACGCCGCAGCTGTGCCGCGAAGCTTTGTGGCCACCAATGCCACTTTTCTATCCTCCGGGACCTCTTTGAAATCGAGAATCTCGTTTACTGCCACTATCCAATCCAACAGATCATCACCTTTCAAGCTTCCATGATACTCCGGAAGGTCTAGCTTGAAACCTGATTCCCACCTTCGATTTGGTTGATACTGGACCCGATCGTTTCTCCCATGACGATAAGCTGGAGCAAATGGATTGTGATCTGTCTCCACTTCCTCGTCATCTGTCTCTTCCCTACGGCGATCTTGGTTCTGAAGAATAGCTTCCGTCAATTCCTGGATCGAATTCGAAATCGTGACCTGGATGTTCTTCTGCATCGCCAACAGCGCTCCACGGAGTTCAGTCCAATCATCACGGGGGTTGCCGCCAGTCTTTCGTGGAGGCATGATTGTGAGAGAAAAAAAAATTTCGCTCACCGGCACCGGAACGGAACTTGCTCTGATACCAAACTGGCGTAGCGCAAGCGTCGCCAAAAGCTCCATGTCGTTGATTCTGCGAATACCCAAACAAGAAAAGCTCTTCTCGTTAAAGATCTCAATCTCAGAAATCTATAGCAAGGAAATAAGAAGCTGAATGAAGCTCTGAATAATACTTTGATTAAAACTGATGATGATTACAATGAATCTCGAGCTCCTTAAATAACAAATGAATGAATAAATCTAAGAGAATCTAGATCTAAGTAAATCCAAATAAGAGATAACACCAACTAGCTAAATAAAAGAGAGTCTATCTTAAGTATAAGAATATTCCAGATCCTAATGATAAGATGCGCTGCATCACCATCACACAAAACAACGCGGCCACCACTTGGGAATGACACAGGAGGGTTATTAAAACAATTCGGTCGAAGAAAATCTCAATTGGCCCGAGTGGATTTGAAGAAATTCAATCCAGACCATTCTCTCGGCCATGACGCATACAAGGAGAACCACTCGGCCAACTCCTAAACGGCGTGACCGAAGTCCACCAAACTTCACAGGCGACCATCAAATCACATTTGGTCGGCAAATCCAAAAGATAGGACGGAGAAATCTACATCATGAGATAGACGACGGAGCTCATTCTGGCCGATGGCGCGCAAGCAAATGGCCGACAAATCCAAATCACGGCATAGGCACGCCAACCGGTTGGAAAAACACTTCCTGAGCTTAACTAACATTTTATGCAGGAAGAAACGAAAAGGAACGAGCCAAACTTCACATGGCCAAGGAAACTCCTTCCCGGAGCCGAATTGACCATTTTGTGAAGGAAGTCTCAATCTTCTCGTTCAAATGCTCCCAAACTTCACCAGAGGCCATAAAATACCAGGTTGGTCGATGAAATTTCAATATAGGTCATGAAATTTTAACGGTTTGTTCTGTAGTTCACAGCACCACATTTTGGCCGACCGAATATACCAATCTCGGCCAAAACACAAACCGGTGCGAAACCAAGGCCTGAAATTAAAAACTCACCGACCAATATTGCCTAAAGAAGTGTAGAATGACCCAAACCGGAACTGATCTTCATTATAAATTGGTCGACATTTGGTAACATCATCCTAAACCTTTTTCTTTTCAATTTTTCATTTGAACTTCATGTTATACCTCTCTTAATCCGATTTGATTTCACCGGGACGGTGCAAGTTAAGTCTGGGGGGATTACTAACAATGTTTGTTCATTTTGGCATTTTCATTTGCATTTTTTCCCTTTTATCGAGTCGTTTTTATTGAGTCAAAATTTTTGTCGAGAATCATGACCTTATCTTGGATCTAACCATGATTGTACTAATGTTTAAGTGACCATTGAGCAGTTCTTGGCAATACATCTTACCACAGGTGCACTATGAGTTGATCGATCTACCAAAAACGCCTACATCTCTAAAGACTTGAGAAGGATCCATCTTTGACTCCGCCCTTAATGAACTTAATCTTCTCAGCTAGGGGCTTGGCATACAAATGGCATGATTCCTCATCCTCTCCATCAAATGAAAAAGTCTTAGTGAGTTCGTGCTTCCCTCTCTCTCCCCTTCAATTAAAGAAAAAGCGTAAGGTCCAAGTAACCGGGGATTCGGTGGCAAACACCATCAATACTCGCGTCGCCTATGTCTGTGGAAGGTCCAAGCAAAACCTCTATAATAAAGAGAAGGAGTTGAATAAAAAAATACTTCGCTACCCTAAAAAAGGGATGAATCAACTCAAGAAGTGAGAAGAGAGAGAGGAGAAACATGGAGTAAAAAGACAAGTGCCAAAACAAGGGGATGAGAAAGAGTCTAAAGCCGGCTGATCGATACTCCCTAGTTGAGACCACACCTTTAGAAATGAAAGGAGTCAAGGGTGGCGAATTGGATTGTCCAAGGAGAGGTGGACCGCTTTGGGAAAAATCGCAAAACTCATGGTATGTACTTTGTTCTTAATTCAAAATTTGCCAATGCTGTTTCATGTGGATTACTAAAGCATAAGTCAATTTGGATTTCCAAAAGATTTGAGAGTTCTCACGTTTTCAAACCTCTTTTCCTGCTTAGTTTGCTTGGGGACAAGCAAAAGGCTAAGTCTGGGGGAGTTGATATCACCATATTTTACATGATTTTACTATATAATTACTATGTTTTCAAACGGTTTTTGCAAGATTCTTTGCCTTTAGAGGTAGTTTTCTTGTATTTGTGGGATTTGAAGTCTTTGTAGGTGAAATATCAAAAAGGATGCAAAAAGGAGTAAAAGAGCCCTAAATCAAGATCCATGCAAGTTTCCAAGTCAAGAAGATCATTTTATCTCCAAGTGTTAGTTCTCGCTTGCGCGCAGAACGAAGCTTCGGAAGTTTGGCCGCGCGCGGAGGAGTTCCCGACGTCCAAAAGTTACGATCTTGATATGGAAAGATAGATACTTGAGTCATGCATCACGTCGAAGTGGAATGAAGCCATTTGGATCAACTATGAGGCCTAGACTTATTTTCTACCGAGACATGTCCGGTAAGCGAGTAAACGAAGCCCATGGAGGATTTGGAGTGTCTAATGGCCCGAGCAGCAGCGCCAAAGGCCTTGATCGAATAGAGAAGAGGCCTGGCTAATGTTTGGAGCTTTCCTTGGTACAATGTCGGCCCATACACGACGTGGAGAAGAAGGCTTTGCTCACGGGAAACTTTCCTTTTCCGGCATGAAGAAAACCCTACGCGACTTCGCCCATATATACATGTTTTTAGCCGCTGAAGAAGATAGTCCGAAAATTATCAAAGAGTGTACGTGTGAGAAGAGAGTCAGAGAGAGAAGCCCTAGGAGATCGTCCAAGAAGAAGGAGGCGCCGCTCAACTCTTGTTCTTTCTTTTTCATTGTTTCCATTTCTATAAACTTGATTTTAAGAGTTTTCAAGGGAGAATCCGACTTTGTTCATCAATAGAGAAGCTTTCTTCATCCCTTTATCTCTTTTAATACTTGCATAATGTTTACAATCATGCTTTGCTTGCTTGTTTGCATCATGGCCGAGTAGATCTCTTAGTTAGGCCGAGGAGATCTATGGTGGCCGTGATGATTTGATTGTGTTGCAACTTATTGGGATTTATCTTATGGATCTTCACCTTTACTTGAGCTTAATGCATGATTACTCTACCGTACATCTAGTAATCTGATCTTAGAGAAATAGAACCACGACAGTGCTGAATCTAGATCTCAAAACTAGTATTTGGTGAGCAATAGATCATAGCCAACGAAAGCTGAGTTATGGTTTATTGTGAACAATTGAATCTTGATCACCTTTAATGCATGTTTGCAATTCTAATAGCCAACGAAAGCTGAGTATATTAGGTTGTTTTAAACATAGTGGTTGGAGCCACGACAGTGGAAAGACCATACACTAGTGATTCATGTTCAAGACGGCTCTACACACATCCCATGCAACTATCTTTTCATCATTGCTCCATATGATTGTCCTTTGCCTAACTCTTGTTTTAAATTGTTTACAACTCACTCACATTCTTTTGTTTTACTTTCTCATTCTAGGTCCAAAACCACCTCATATTGCGAGCTAGCTACAAACCAATCTCACAAGGTGTTAAGCGAGAACACTTCCTCCTCGTGTTCGACCCCGACTACAACACGGCTGTGCACTTGCAGCTCATTAGTTGGGTTTATAAATTGTGAAAATTTGAGGCAATCTAAACCCGCCATCAAGCTTTCTGGCGCCGTTGCCGGGGAGGAGTTGCTTTTCCTTCACACCTCTTGATTGATTTCAATGGGATTGATCACAAATACAAGCTTTCTCTCGATACCGCGAGCAATGGCAACTTCATGACCAAGTCGGTGTCGGAGGCAAAGCTTTTGATTGAGAATCTCGCTGCTAGTGATGCCAATGCGTGCCCTGACTACAATAGAAGCGCGAGGACCACGAGCTCATCAGAATCAGCTCAAATCTCGGAGCTAAAGAACATGGTCTCGCAACTACTTAAAGGCCGGCAAGGAGTTCACGCCATTGAAGATGCCCTAGCCACAAATGAAGACACTCTCATGGATTTCATGAGAGAAGCCACTGAAGAGAATCTAGAGGAAGTCAACTACATTGGAGGAAACTATGGGAATAGAGGATTCAATCAACCATTTCGAGCTCATCCAAACCTATCATACCGGAGCAACAATGTGGAGAATCCAAGCGACCAAGTTTACCCTAATCAAGGAGCGTATCAAGGAGGCCAATACCAATCCAAGCCACGACAAGTCTATCCAAGAGGGATGTACCAAGTGAAGCAACCGTTCACTTTTTCTCAAGAAACAAATCCAACCCAAACCGGAGAAAAATTTGACGTGGCCTTGAAGAAATACATGGAGGAACAGAGGTTGACACCAAGAACCTATATGAGAAGCTTGATCACATGTTTGGTGATCTAAGCAGCAAGTTTGGATCTCTCTCAACCCATGTTCAGAAACTAGAGGTGCAAATCGCTCAAACGGCCGAGGAGGCTGATGTACTTGCATTTTACATAGTTTTAGCCCTTCTTTTATGCATCTTTTGCATAGTTTCATTCACCCAAGCATCATTTCTTGATGTTTTCCCTTCTTTTGCATACATAGTAGTTTTAGGCTTGCATTTGCATACATGTGCACGTTTGATGTCTTAATCAGGTCATTTGGAGCTAATTGGAACATTGCCTATCACTGGAGACTAGTTGAGGAAGGAAAGACTCTGTCTGCCCCATGTACGGACCCGCACTCGGTCGAGCTAGTGAGATGCGTCCGAAGTATCGTATCAAATGAAGGGTTTCCACTCCGATTCAGCCTCTGACTTCTTCTTGGAAGTTGTGGATAATTGAGTTAGCTTTCGTCTGGAGGTGGTTTCATGTCATTCGGACCAGCGGTTCAGAAGATACGACGATATTGGTTGGACTCGACCCACCAGCTCGACCGGCCAGTTTCCAACTCGATCGAGCTGCTTTTCCAGGAGTCAAAGTCAAACCCGAAAAATGTTGCTTCCCTTTGACTCCCCTTTGACCCTAAACCTAGTTTGCTTTACTATAAATGGTATTGAGCCACGAATTAAACATAGCTTTTGGCTCAACTTTTATTAATCTTGTATTTGCATTTCCCTTTTTACTTTTTAGCCTCTCTTTGTGTTCTTGAGCTCTTGCTCATTGAACTTAGATCTAGGCTTTATTATTGTATTTCTGCACTTCTCTATTTCAATAAAAGTTGTTCTATATCATCTCCTCTATCTTTTGATGTTTCATTCATTGCATTTGGTTGTTTATTTCACCATGATTAGTGAGTAGTTCCCTTTAGGGCTTAAGATGGGATAGGTTAGAGGTTGTTTATGCTTAATCCTTCTTGCTTATGTTCTTAATCTAGAAATCTCTCTCTTTTGGACAAACCTTAAGGCTACATGACCACTATCCCTGGCTTGTATGTCCATAGGCGATTCTCCACATGGAAGTGATGGAAATCGTTGGAAAAGGTCCACTAAGAGCTCCAATACTCTTGCTCTCGAAATGGAGTTCATAGGGGTTGGATGGATTAGTTTGAGCAATGATCCTATGGCCTCCAAGGCTTGATTCTCACTGGCTAACCCCCTGTTTCTGAGATCAAGTCTTGGTTGATAGCTTTCACCTTGGGAAAGGGTTAGCTAGGCATTGAGAAGCTCAATATCAAGAGATACCTTGATACAAGTTGTTTAAGAGCAAGACTGATTAAGTATAGCCTCCCTTTAGCTGCAAAACCCTGTCTTTAACCCTAATATTCGCATTAGCATCTTAAAGTTTGCACCTTTATCGCTTTTCATTGCATTTCCTCTGTTTTTACACCAACTCGACCCTCAACTCGATCGAGCTCACCAACTCGACCCTCAACTCGATCGAGCTCATCAACTCGATCGAGCTCTTGGTCGAGCTCCATTGCATCTGCTTGTTCTTGTTAATTTCTTGCATTTAGCTGCTTTCTTTTACTTCTGCATTGCATTTCCGTTATATTAGGTTGTTTAGTTGTTACATCCCTCCTTTTAATCATTTGGCTTGACTTTCTTGTGTTTGCATATTCTCATAGAGCAACATCTCACCCTTATGGATTGATAACCTCTTATACTTCAATGACTATGATGGTTAAGAGGAATTGATTGATTGTGATTGCACCATACCATTTCATCTTTATTCACCCCTGTTTGCATTCCACCTCATATCTTATCATCCTTCATTCATATCACTTCATCCACGTAAAATCCTATCATCAGCGGCCAAGAAATAAAATGAGGTAAACACTCAAAAATTTTGTAGTGTTGTCTCATCTATAGATGGCACAATTGTTCCTACACTATCTCAAGGGGAAGAAGAAGAAAATGAGCCTAAGGAGAGGCACAAACCGGAGAGATACAGTTGGGAATCAAGAAGAGCTTACAAGAGAAGACTTGAAGGCAAGCCACTACAAAAACAAGAAGATCCGGGGAAGTTTGTGATAACTTCAAGTATCAATGGCATTCAACTCCATGATTGCCTATGTGATACTGGTGCTAATGTTAATCTAATGTCTCTTGCACTTGCAAAAGACTTGGGATTCAAGGAATTCAAGAGCCCCAAGATAAGAGTCGAGTTCGCGGATCTATCGTGCATGGAACCTTATGGAATGCTTGAAGATGTCATGATGGAAATAGGGGGTCGATATGTCCCAACTGACTTTCAAGTCATGATTTGGGAAGGCTCAAAGAGGAATCAACTGATTCTTGGAACCCCATTCCTTGCTACAGCTGGAGCGGTCCTAAACTACTTTGGGAATCATCTATCTTTTGGCCACATCCGGCAAGATATCTTTTTCCCAAGTGTAAATTTCAGGTCAGTGCCAAGTGCGACCAAGCTACCACCAGAAGAAGCCACTCTCATGCCTAAGAAAGAAGCTATGCTGCATGGAGAAAGAAGAGAGAGTGAGCGCTACCCAAAACCAAAGGAGAAGAAGAAAACATTGGAGCCGAGGCATGAAAATGTCTTTAAGATATCAACTCCATCTTACTTCCAACCTTTGACGAGTATGGAGCTGAAGAGGAGACTAATGGTGCACCTAATCTCTTTCACAAGATAAGAATCTTTACACCAAAAGATTCGGAGCTTAAAGGTGACCAATCCATTGAAGAGAAGCTTGAGAGAACTATGAAGCTTTTCCCCAAGGCATTGGTTTTCAAAGATGATGTGAGAGATGATCATGGCGTGCCAACACCACCACAAGAGCCACTGAACCGGAGAATGGAGAAGCTAAAGGGATCCTTTGCCCTTCAGCCACTCTTCACCACGATTAAAGAAAGAGAAGGAGTCAAGCTAAATGACTTAAAACAAAAGCGCTTTATGGGAGGCAACCCATATGGTTTTTAACTATTATTTCTATTTTGCAGGAGTTTTTCAAAAATCAAACAAAAATACAAAAATATTTTCTTAGGATGAAGACCCAAAGGAGACCAAACAATGGAAGTGTCCCACCCAATGAGCCCACCCTTGTACAAGGCGTTTCTCTTCCAAAAAGGTAAGTAAATCTCACCTAGTATTCATTTCTAATCACTCTTGATCTTCACTTGAAAAATCGTTTAAACCATTGCACTTTAAAATATATTTCATGGTTTAACTTGATTTACTATTTGATGATTGGAAAGAATACATAATCACTTGTCAAAACTCATTTCTCACTGAAATTACAAGAGATTGAACTATAGTTTGAAATTTGGATCATTGACCAAGACCAAATAAGAATTTATAGTTTGTGCTTTAATCTCTTGGATTGTGAACTTCAAGTTGGTCACTTGAGGATCACAATCTGAGAAACCATCTAATCATGATTTCAAGTGTTTTGCAAGGAGTTAACCATTTGACAGGAAGGAGAAATAGCAAACCTATAACCACCTCAAAACCAACATGCATATGGCGGCCAAAGGGAGGTTAAAAGGAGATACAAGGCCATCACACGAAACAAGGCGGCCACCACTTGGGAATGACACAGGAGGGTTATTAAAACAATTCGGTCGAAGAAAATCTCAATTGGCCCGAGTGGATTTGAAGAAATTCAATCCGGACATTTCTCTCGGCCATACGCGCACAAGGAGACCAATTCGGCCAACTCCTAAACGGCGTGACCAAAGTCCACCAAACTTCACAGGCGACCATAAAATCACATTTTGGTCGGCAAATCCAAAAGATAGGACGGAGAAATCATCACGGTCATGAGATAGACGACGGAGCTCATTCTGGCCGATGGCGCGCAAGCAATATGGCCGACAAAACCAAATCACGGCATAGGCGCGCCAACCGGTTGGAAAACTCTTCTTTGAGCTTAACTAACACTTTTATGCAGGAAGAAACGAAAAGGAACGAGCCAAACTTCACATGGCCAAGGAAACTCCTTCCCGGAGCCGACTTGACCATTTTGTGAAGGAAGTCTCAATCTCGTCAAATGCTCCCAAACTTCACCAGAGGCATAAAATACCAGGTTGGTCGATGAAATTTCAATATAGGTCATGAAATTTTGACGGTTTGTTCTGTAGTTCACAGCACCACATTTTGGCCGACCGAATATACCAATCTCGGCCAAAACACAAACCGGCGGAAACCAAGGCCTGAAATTAAAAACTCACCGACCAATATTGCCTAAAGAAGTGTAGAATGACCCAAACCGGAACTGATCTTCATTATAAATTGGTCGACATTTGGTAACATCATCCTAAACCTTTTTCTTTTCAATTTTTCATTTGAACTTCATGTTATGCCTCTCTTAATCCGATTTGATTTCACCGGGACGGTGCAAGTTAAGTCTGGGGGGATTACTAACAATGTTTGTTCATTTTGGCATTTTCATTTGCATTTTTTCCCTTTTATCGAGTCGTTTTTATTGAGTCAAAATTTTTGTCGAGAATCATGACCTTATCTTGGATCTAACCATGTTGTACTAATGTTTAAGTGACCATTGAGCAGTTCTTGGCAATACATCTTACCACAGGTGCACTATGAGTTGATCGATCTACCAAAAACGCCTACATCTCTAAAGACTTGAGAAGGATCCATCTTTGACTCCGCCCTTAATGAACTTAATCTTCTCAGCTAGGGGCTTGGCATACAAATGGCATGATTCCTCATCCTCTCCATCAAATGAAAAAGTCTTAGTGAGTTCGTGCTTCCCTCTCTCTCCCCTTCAAATTTAAAGAAAAAGCGTAAGGTCCAAGTAACCGGGGATTCGGTGGCAAACACCATCAATACTCGCGTCTATGTGGAAGATCCAAGCAAAACCTCTATAATAAAGAGAAGGAGTTGAATAAAAAAATACTTCGCTACCCTAAAAAAGGGATGAATCAACTCAAAGAAGTGAGAAGAGAGAGAGGAGAAACATGGAGTAAAAGACAAGTGCCAAACAAGGGGATGAGAAAGAGTCTAAAAGCCGGCTGATCGATACTCCCTAGTTGAGACCACACCTTTAGAAATGAAAGGAGTCAAGGGTGGCGAATTGGATTGTCCAAGGAGAGGTGGACCGCTTTGGGAAAATCGCAAAACTCATGGTATGTACTTTGTTCTTAATTCAAAACTTGCCAATGCTGTTTCATGTGGATTACTAAAGCATAAGTCAATTTGGATTTCCAAAAGATTTGAGAGTTCTCACGTTTTCAAACCTCTTTTCCTGCTTAGTTTGCTTGGGGACAAGCAAAAGGCTAAGTCTGGGGGAGTTGATATCACCATATTTTACATGATTTTACTATATAATTACTATGTTTTCAAACGGTTTTTGCAAGATTCTTTGCCTTTAGAGGTAGTTTTCTTGTATTTGTGGGATTTGAAGTCTTTGTAGGTGAAAATCAAAAAGGATGCAAAAAGGAGTAAAAGAGCCCTAAATCAAGATCCATGCAAGTTTCCAAGTCAAGAAGATCATTTTATCTCCAAGTGTTAGTTCTCGCTAGCGCGCAGAACGAAGCTTCGGAAGTTTGGCCGCGCGCGGAGGAGTTCCCGACGTCCAAAAGTTACGATCTTGATATGGAAAGATAGATACTTGAGTCATGCATCACGTCGAAGTGGAATGAAGCCATTTGGATCAACTATGAGGCCTAGACTTATTTTCTACCGAGACATGTCCGGTAAGCGAGTAAACGAAGCCCATGGAGGATTTGGAGTGTCTAATGGCCCGAGCAGCAGCGCCAAAGGCCTTGATCGAATAGAGAAGAGGCCTGGCTAATGTTTGGAGCTTTCCTTGGTACAATGTCGGCCCATACACGACGTGGAGAAGAAGGCTTTGCTCACGGGAAACTTTCCTTTTCCGGCATGAAGAAAACCCTACGCGACTTCGCCCATATATACATGTTTTTAGCCGCTGAAGAAGAGAGTCGAAAATTATCAAAGAGTGTACGTGTGAGAAGAGAGTCAGAGAAGAGAAGCCCTAGGAGATCGTCCAAGAAGAAGGAGGCGCCGCTCAACTCTTGTTCTTTCTTTTTCATTGTTTCCATTTCTATAAACTTGATTTTAAGAGTTTTCAAGGGAGAATCCGACTTTGTTCATCAATAGAGAAGCTTTCTTCATCCCTTTATCTCTTTTAATACTTGCATAATGCTTTCAATCATGCTTTGCTTGCTTGTTTGCATCATGGCCGAGTAGATCTCTTAGTTAGGCCGAGGAGATCTATGGTGGCCGTGATGATTTGATTGTGTTGCAACTTATTGGGATTTATCTTATGGATCTTCACCTTTACTTGAGCTTAATGCATGATTACTCTACCGTACATCTAGTAATCTGATCTTAGAGAAATAGAACCACGACAGTGCTGAATCTAGATCTCAAAACTAGTATTTGGTGAGCAATAGATCATAGCCAACGAAAGCTGAGTTATGGTTTATTGTGAACAATTGAATCTTGATCACCTTTAATGCATGTTTGCAATTCTAATAGCCAACGAAAGCTGAGTATATTAGGTTGTTTTAAACATAGTGGTTGGAGCCACGACAGTGGAAAGACCATACACTAGTGATTCATGTTCAAGACGGCTCTACACACATCCCATGCAACTATCTTTTCATCATTGCTCCATATGATTGTCCTTTGCCTAACTCTTGTTTTAAATTGTTTACAACCTCACTCACATCTTTTGTTTTTTTCTCATTCTAGGTCCAAAACCATCTCATATTGCGAGCTAGCTACAAACCAATCTCACAAGGTGTTAAGCGAGAACACTTCCTCCTCGTGTTCGACCCCGACTACAACACGGCTGTGCACTTGCAGCTCATTAGTTGGGTTTATAAATTGTGAAAATTTGAGGCAATCTAAACCCGCCATCAGTCATCCGCAACAGTAGGGAGAATGAACAACACCTTCCGTTTCTTTTTTGGGACGGTGATTTGACGGGAGACGTCAAGCGAGCGGAGATCCGGTGAACCATCGTCCGAGTTGTCCTTTCTTTTAAGCTTATTGGACCTTCTAAGGGATTTGCCTTCCTTCTCAGTCGCGCCCAACAAGTTCACAGCATCGACGTCCATATATCGGACGTCCTCTCCTTCTTCAGAATGCCCATTTGTTTTTGCACGGATGTTTTCAGACCTGTTTTCCGGATGCATCTCAGATCCCCCTTTAGAGGTCTGCTCGGTTACTTTGGAAACCCCCCTCGCCGCCGCCACGTCTTATAGCTTCCACCAGTTCCTCCGTCATAGTACGAAATTGGTCAGCCATCCATTCTTTCAGTTCATCTTTTACCTCTGAGATGGTGCGAAATGTTTGAGGTGAATTCTTCTTACCGCCGGTTTAGCCGGCGCTTTGGTTCTCCGGCATCGGTTCCGGAGACCTTTTCATCTCGCCTCAACTGAGTCCATCTTCCTGAGGCTGATCAAAACCGGAGCCATTGTAGATTCACCACCACGAAGTCATCTTCGGTGAACGCATGCCCTCCCCGCAGCAACTGAACAATCCTATCGACTCCGTCGTCGTGAACCTCATCATCCCACTCGGGTCTGCGTTATCGCCTTCTGTGACGTCCACTCGAACAGTCAGCTGTATGGAAAACGAGAGGAACGTCATATCAGAAGATGATTTAAACGAATACCAACCGTATACATGGACGAATTAGATAACTCAGTGATACGTACGTTAGGGTTCTCCTCTACATGTAGGATATCCTCCGATTGCAACAGAACAATAGGGGTCTCACAGGCGAATGGGTCTTCCAAAAATGTGGCGGTGTTTTTCGGATCCGGCAATTTCTCTACCAGTAGTGGGATGGCATCAAAAGCTACCAGCTGCAGTGATAATGGAAATCCGTAGCATGCGGAGGTTTGCTGCCTCAACCTCTGTTTTAGTTCCTTAATAGGGTTTGGATTTAAAGGTGATAGCGGTGCTGGTCCGAAACGGGATAGGGTTCTAATGAATGATAACCGCCCCCACGGGAATTGTAGAAACTTCTCTACATCTTCAAGCATATCCACGTATGAGGGTGTGATTTCGGTGGCTTGTTGCCAAGGATGACACCGTCTACGAGAATGATCAGAGCCAGATACAACCGCTTACGGTCGGATATATGCTTCCCATTGAGCTTAGACAGAGCTCCCTCCACAGTCACGTGTTTACAATTCCTTCCGAATAGCTCTTTCCACGTACTCGACCGTTCCTTTGGTACTGCAGGTGGATTGTGTGGCCTTCGGGAAGTCTAGAGCACACCAAACCCGATACACGTTCGAATTCCCGGATGGAGAACCTGAATGGCTTCCCTCCAAAGACCGACCAGATCTCGTATTTCCTCTTTGTTACCAGCTGCCTCGCCAGTATTGCGTGGATGAGTTTCCCGGAATTAGAACATCTACCAACAGGCAACATGAACAGGTGCTTGAACTGAGATCGAGAATTGTTTTCAGGGCCGGTGTTCCGGCTAATGCTGCGGCGACGCGTCCAATGAAATTGGCTTTCGAATATATGTTCATCCGCCCTGGCTCCGGATAGCAATCCACAGCGAAAACCCTCTTTGGGAGGGTTTCTCCAGATTACGTTCCTAGTCGATTCCGGGACGTTTCTGTTTCCAGAGGGTTCGGTACCTGCGAAAGGGATTTTACATACTTTCAATTGTGGCACAACTTTAGCGTATTCCATTCCCGACAGAAATCAACTGACTCTAACTATTAATCGAAAGAAAGAGATAGGTTCTTACTTTCACCGGCATCGATTGGCGGAATCGTCGATGTGGATGGACCCTCATCGTCGTTCTCGACGGATTTCGAGCGCCGACTGTTGTCCTTTACAGCGACTGCCTCCTTCGCAATATCGTCTCCTCGGTTACCGGTTGATTCCCGAGGGAGCATTACGGAATCTTCCGTCATGTGGGTTTTCGAATTCACAATTGATCCGTTGCAGCAATCCTTCGTGATTCTCCAAGTTACCTCTCTGTAAGAAGCAAGGGAATAGTTTGATACGCCCCTGGAGTAGATCGTGATTGAAGGTAAGTGAATGAATGGATCGGATCACAAAGGAACCGATGATGAGTGATTGAGCGGATTGAGAAGTGAAACGAATGGCTATATTAGAGATCCAGCGGAAGAGATCTCTAACACCACCTCCAACGTGTTGATATTACACACAACAAGTGAGAGGGAATCTGTAGACTTAGTTGATATTACGCACAACAAGTGAACAGAGAATGATCAAACAAAAGAGAGGTTTTTGGTAAAAGATTATTTGATAAACTTCAAAGAGAGACTAGGGTTTCAGTTATAAAGGAAACGAGAGAGAGAGAAGAGAGAGAGATGATTGGAACAAGCTCCAATCATCTAGAAAACACACACAAACATAAATGAACGAAGACTGAGTAAAGAACGACCCTTCAGTTGCTTTGGCGCTCTCCTTTGAATCTCTTGGGCCGGACCTTAACACTTGGGACAAAAGAGAGGATTTGTAAGTGTGGTTTGAGCCTCGTTAAAAACCTTGTCAAGAAAACCCAAAGGGACAAAACTTGACAAGGGAAAAAGAGCACACCAAAACACACTTGTCTCTTTATCCCTCATGTAAGGCCTTCAAACAAACCAAAGTGGTTAGCTTGTGTTCTTGTTGGTTCAAGGTGCTAAGGACTTTGCCAATTGCTTGGTTTAGTGCCTTAGTCCGCGAACGAGTGAATGGGCCAGTTGGAATGGCTAAGCTCTCCTCAGGTACAAGCTGCTCTGCTTCAAGTCCTTCCTCAGCTACAAGCTGCTCCATTCCATCTTCTTCCTCGGCCAAAAGCTGCTTTTCCTGAACCTCCTCATCCATGATCGCATCATAGTTGAAGACCAGATCTGACTACGGTGGTTTCTCGAAAAGTTACTACATTTACATGGGGACGGTTATGATAGAAAATCAAGTGACGGTTCTATTGGATCCGGTTTGGTTGGTCTTCCGGTCAGCATATAATAAATGCATTTAAAAATTCGTTAATAATGGGATAATTGCCGCGGAGGGGGGTTATGACACGTCGACAAGCGGTAGTATAATACTATTTTTGCAAACATCGCATGGACGAAGTATTTCCACGTCTGACCTATTAATAAAATACAAATATAAAGTCCGTAAATAAGCACAGATCTGGGAAATGACAGTGGTCTTCTAAACTTATCCACTGTGAGATCTAGAGAGATCGACTCTCTGCGAATATCTCGCGTTGAACCAACAAAATCAAAGATGACATCTAGCCCAATTGCGATTCCTTTGTTGGGGATCTACCAGACGACCTTCTCTCCAAAATCATCGAGATATGTGGAAGGGAGTCCTACGCATTCCTGCTTCCTTTGTACGGGCGGGGATTAGATCTAAGAAGCTTGTGTAATCTACCAATGTTCTCCGAGCATGCAATTTAAGCCCCCTTTTCTTCGAGCGCGCCAGGTTCTTGCTTTGGGAAAACGGAAGGGCACGCCGCCTCTTCGAAGCATGTCTACGGGAGGGGAATCCGCAAGCCATATACTACGATTCGCTAAACCGCCTTGTCAACGGAGGCGATTTTCATGGCTGCGTTAACGGCTTGTCTTCTATCGCCGGTAGATCCCCGATGGCCTCCCTAACAGCCGCAATTTTTTTTGTTTGCAAAGGTGAGACGAAAAAGGCGAGTGAGATGTTTCATATGTTCATTAAACTTTCAGGAGTTTCCTTCGAGGACCCTGGGCTCAACAGTTTGGTGATGAGATCGTGCGTAACATTTTCCGCTGCGAACCCCACATCTACCCAGGATCGCACCTGAATCACTTTCATATCCCGACGACGACTTCATAAGCTGCCGGAGTGCGCGGGTGAACATGTCTTCCAGCATGAATGCAGCAACTGCTACATGTACGGCCTTGCGTTTCGCGTGAGTTTATTCATCACTTTCGGTTAGTGGTTCATCATGGAAATAGGTCGTATTAGTGTCTAAGTCTTTTGCTTCTACCTTGTATTCATGGCTTATTTCAGATGTTGATGGGCAAGTTGTTTCGTACACCAGTTTATGTTTCAGTTTATGTTTCATACACCAGTTTTATGTTTCGTACACCAGTTGTTTCATCCCTTTGAGTTTTGGTCGGCGGAGTTTACCTTTACTAAAACTCCAATTTGCCTAATTTACAATATTTGCACCGCCGTTGTGGAACAAACGTACACCTTTGCAAAACCAGTTTCATTTAAACGGAGACCAACCATCGGGAGACCGTACTCATATGAGTACACAAAAATCGTGTACGCCAACAGTCTGTACGCTAAATGATTACTATACGGGTAGTAAACATCTGCCGAGGGAGATGCAGCGGAAACGAGTATTTTCAACTCAAGTGACTATAAACCTACGGGACAGGCTATTCAATAAGTAAGGCCGAGTAAGTAATCCGACGACATCTTAGTTTTAGCAAAACGAACACATAAAACAACCAAATGAAATGTTACCTTATAATAATAATCTTATCATCCCGTCACAAAATGCAACAGATAAATGCAAAATGCAACAGAAAGGGTATGCGCCACTGATAGTGTCTTCGGGGCGCATTAATGTTACCGTCGAGCAGGTCCTTTTATTTTCCTCAGTCGAGTGGTTCCTTGCACGACCTCCGGTTGTACCCGCCTTTGTGGCATATACTACACTTGTTAGGTTTCTTCTTTTTCGCCGTACCCTAAAACCGTTTACAAAAATAGGGTTAGACAATGCCAATATTGCATGACAAAAAATTGAATGTCCAGCAGTTATGGTGCTTACGCCTTCCGGAACCGGGTATTCACCAGCGGACCGTTTCCTTTCTTCGCTGGCCTTCCGGGAGGTCGCTTCAACTTCGGTTTCATGGTCTCCGGTAGGTCGAGAATATACTGGGGAACATCAACATTGTCTGGGGGATGGGCAATGTGATACATGATATTGAGGATAACCATGTTGGCTTCTTGTGAATGTCGTCCACCAACGATTTGTAGGGCACGTCCCAACTGTGGCAGCAGCAATTGCGTGCCGACATGGTATTCTAAGACACTGAAATTCGAGGCATGTACACGTCCTGTTGGAGATCCACAGAGTAGGGTGCTCCGGATGCACCCACTACCTCGAAAGTCCACGCACCAACTTGCACAGCCGGCAATCCTGCGGATTGCTCCATATTTAACGACAGCTCCTTATCCACTTCCTCTGGTATGTCGCCATGCATTTTCTCTATTTTCTGTCTCCTGCTCTCAAACCATCTGCACAGCATTCTCGAATGAATTCAAACAAGGCGACGATAGGGCTCTCCCTCGCAGGGAGTAATGCGGCGTTGAGGGCTTCTGCAATGTTGCTAGACATCAAATTATATCTTTTCCGGGAAAATAAGCCCGTGTCCACTGTGATACTTCAATTTTCTCCATGTACCTCCAACATGCTATATCCACCTCCTTCAGCATACCGTAATACTTCTTGAATTTGGCCACCGTAAAATGCCTCTCCAGCCTGTTGGACTAGCGCTCTCTGATGTCTACGCTTGTAGTGGTCGTCGACGTTCCTTGTCAGTGGGTAAGACATGTTCCGTGGTGGGAATTTGGAAACCATTTCCGTATCGCGCTCTTGATTGATGGGCTTCTATCAGAAATTATCGCCAGTTCAGAACTGTCGTCAATGATATCACCTAACTTCTCGAAAAACCAAGAGCAGGACAGGTCGTTTTCGCTATCAACCACGGCAAACGCTATAGGGAATACTTGAAAATTGGCGTCCTGACCGCTGGCCGTCAAGAGACATCCCCTGTACTTCCCAAACATATGAGTTCCATCCACCACGAGAATTTTCCTCAAGTGCTTCCATCCATCCACGCATGCCTTCAGCGCCATAAACGCATACTTAAACCTTGTTGCACCCTTTTCATCAACCTCGGTATGTAGATGTGTAATGCTCCCTGGATTTGCACACTTCAGTAAGTATAGGTACAGTGGTAGCAACTTGTAGGAGCTTTCCTCTGTTCCATGCGCAGATGCAATTGCCAATTCTTTCGCTTTCCAGCATTTCCAGTAAGAGGCATTAATGTGATGCTCTCTCAGAATCGAGTACGGCAAATCCTTAGGACGTGGCCCGACAGTAGTTTCGTACTTGGTTCTCAGAAGTGCTGCTATCACCTTCGACGATGCGTGCTTAGAGAACGTCCGTCGGCTGTCCGCGTCGCAAGTATGTTTGAGATTCGCCTTTCTGACATCAAACATTTGCGATTTCCCAAGATTACTGCGTTACTCTCCAATCACACCGCGATTAATGCAAGTGGCGACAATATAGCACTTTTCATGCCGATGATATTTAAACCTAAACATCTTCTTCAGGGCGTGTATAGCAAGCGTTATTTTGAAATGCTCTTTGTTTTTGAACAACCTACCACAAGTAGATGGAACCATCCTCGTATGTCAGATCAATTTCGGCCAACCTCAACGAGTCGCTTGCCATATCGTTGTAAATAGGACCGATTCTTCATAACCATAATGATCAACCATCCGAAGCCCTTTCCTCAATCCAATCACTCCAATTTTCGGAAACCTGCGTCGATGCCAGAACAACGATTAGGAGCTGGATCCGTAAATTCCTCGCCAACATTGTAGTGCATAGCGTCGGCCATTTCCTTCTCGTGTTCTCCTTCTGTGGAGGGGTTTCGAGAAATATATCCTCATGACTCCCTAAAGGGTCGGCAAGCAGAGCAGCCATTACGGACGTTTGATCATCTAAAGCGGCGGGTCCATCATTACATCCTTACCAACCAAATATTTCGTCTTCGAAGGAGTAGTAAGGAAAGTGTACGCTCCGCTAGATGGGCATCCGGATTAACTATCGGAGGTGTTACATTAGTCGGCGTTTGATGCGCCTTTCTTCGGTATTATGAAAATTAAAATCTTCAATTACTCCTTCGAAGGTGCGGATTTCCCGCTTCTCGGTAAACTTTGATACCTCGACGAAAAATGTGGTGGCTCATCCACAAAATCATCATCGTCAGCCGATCTCTTCCCGTCATTTCTGACAAACTCGTCCCAGTGGTCCCAATCGTACTCAACTCCATCACTGTGCCACTCATCATCCTCATCGTCTGGTCCATCAGTATCTCCGTCTCCTTCATTGTCTTCACCATAGTCATCTTCTTCATCATCTTCGTCTTCATTTCCTCGTCATCCTCGGTATCTTCAACTCTTCCTCTTCGTTCTCCTCTTTCTCTTTCTCATCCACGCCTTCCACTACGACCTCTTCTGACGGTCCTTTCTCTTTCTCATCCACGCCTTCCACTACGACCTCTTCTGACGGTCCTTTCGCAGTTTGAACTTGAACGCCTTTCCCTGTTTTGCTACTGCTATCAATCCCACGCACTCCGGCGGTTTCAACTGCGGTCATCTTAGCCTTTCTTTCCATATCCGCCTCAAATGCCTCTGCGTCTCTAACGATGATTTCCTCTACGGTCAATTCCCTTTCAACCCCGACTCCATTTGCAGAACATTCTTCGCCACCTCGCTTTCCTTCGCTTATCTGTGGGCAATCTCTTCTCCTCATTATCTTAGCCTTTCTTTCCATATCCGCCTCAAAATCCTATGCGTCTCTAACGATGATTTCGTCTACGGTCAGTTCCATTTCAACCCCGACTCCATTTGCAGAACGTTCTGCGCCACCTCGCTTTCCTTCGCTTATCTGTGGGCAATCTCTTCTCCTCATAATTTCGGCTGCAATACCTTCCGTTGGACTGATATCACCATATTTTACATGATTTTACTATATATTTACCTATGTTTTCAAACGGTTTTTGCAAGATTCTTTGCCTTTAGAGGTAGTTTTCTTGTATTTGTGGGATTTGAAGTCTTGTAGGTGAAATAATCAAAAAGGATGCAAAAAGGAGCAAAAGAGCCTAAACCAAGATCCATGCAAGTTTCCAAGTCAAGAAGATCATTTTATCTCCAAGTGTTAGTTCTCGCTGCGCGCAGAACGAAGCTTCGGAAGTTTGGCCGCGCGCGGAGGAGTTCCCGACGTCCAAAAGTTGCGATCTTGATATGGAAAGATAGATACTTGAGTCATGCATCACGTCGAAGTGGAATGAAGCCATTTGGATCAACTATGAGGCCTAGACTTATTTTCTACCGAGACATGTCCGGTAAGCGAGTAAACGAAGCCCATGGAGGATTTGGAGTGTCTAATGGCCCGAGCAGCAGCGCCAAAGGCCTTGATCGAATAGAGAAGAGGCCTGGCTAATGTTTGGAGCTTTCTTTAGCACAATCTCGGCCCATACACGACGTGGAGAAGAAGGCTCGGCGCATGAGAAACTTTCCTTTTTCAGCATGAAGAAAACCCTACTCGATCTCACCCATATATACATGTTTTTAGCCGCTAAACGGAGAGTCTAGAGAGTGTCAAGGTGTGCGCCGTCAGAGAAGAAGAGGAATACCCCCAAGAAGGAAGAAGTGAAGCCTCCTCGGATCCAAGCCGCACACACGAACACACAAAAATCGTTACATCTTTGTTCTTGTTACTTTTGTTTTCCGGATTTTGGAGTTAAAAGGAAGGATTCGACTTTTTCATCAATAGAGAAGCTTTCTCCATCCCTTTTTCTCTTTAATATTCGCATGATGCTTTCATTCAAATCTTGTTTGTTTGTTTGCACCATGGCCGAGTAGATCCCTTACTAGGCCATGGTGGATCAATGAGTGCTTAAATCTATAAATGAGAATCTTGTGAATTGGGATATACTTTTGAGTTCTTCACCTTTACTTGAGCATAATGCCGTTTGCTTTTCTGATCATCTAGCATCGGATCTAGGGTTAATATACTCTCCAAAAGCTTGCTATATTGCCGGAACTAGTATTTGGTGAGCGATAGTTCACGGCCAACGAAAGTTGAGTTGTGGAGTATTGTGAACAATTAAATCTTGAACATTTTAATGCATGTTTACAACTTTTAATAACCAACGAAAGCTGAGTCTATTAGGTTGTTTAAACATAGTAGTTGGAGCCACGAAAGTGGAAAACTATACCTTAGTGATTTAAGTTCAAGAACGGTTTGAATCCCTTTCATTTGATTTCTTTGTATAAGTTTGTTGCATCTCGGCGATCTACCATTGTCTAGTGTTTCCCCTTATTGATCTCATCCATTTCCATTTATTCATTATCGTCAAAACCTCAAACCATATTTTGCTTTAGCTCGCTTCAACTCTTACTCTTGTAGCACAATCGATAGGTCCTTGTGGATTCGATCCCATACTATACTTACCTCGTTGCTGTGCACTTGCAGGTACTTAAGTTGGGTAAAACTTGAAGACAAACCCAGCTTGCATCATGGACCCAAAATAACCAATGACTCTCCGACTCTTTCCCTAACTGTGACGAAAATGTTGACAGACTTATATGCCGAATTTAGGGCCTTCAAAACTCTTACGTCTTTGTCGCAGACGATTTGGACAGGTTGTGTCCCTTTACCATTCAGCTCGGCAATAGGATCTTCAATCCAATACGACAGCTCTATAGAAACGGGGGATGCCTGAAATCCGTACAACATAGCGACTCTCGATCGAAGCCCCTCAACTGACCCGATGGAAGACAACTTTATACTTCTCCCCATTCTCGACAGATCTATCTTGAAATCCCATTGGCCGTTCCAGTACAGTATCCACCGGCCAACAATTACGACAATGCTTCCGTCGTTATTACTTGCGTACTCGGCTATTAATCACCACATTTATCCTACAGAAGGTGTACACAGTAAGAACTAATAATTTACCTGCGTCTTCATCCGATTCCGCCAATTTTGCCATCGCTGCACTAGGGCCAATCATTTCTGCTCCAACGCGTACGAGAGCGCCAAAGGGTTTCTGTCTACCTTCGTTTCCCGCTAATTGGTAAAGTTCATCACTGTACACTTTACTTTCTAAATAAAGAACGAACAATATTCCTTCGACCGACATGTGTCACACATATTAGCCACATCATATAAAATAGCTGTTGTTTCTCGCCATATCTGATAAATAGTGCGGACCAATGTTTGGCCCGTTAAGAAAAGGGAAAATATAGCCCACATAAATTATGTTCGGGTATTATTTTATTTCCCTTTATTATTCATTATTTATCCGTAAACCGAATGAGTAACCCGAGTGTTTGACTGCCTTAACTCATACCGTCCCCAACAACTATAACCTAACCGGCCACCAACCGGCGTTACTCAACCAGCGGAAACCAACCATGGTTCCCTTCTCTTATCCGACATTTGAGATTTTACCGTGCCAATTCGATTGAAAACTTAGACCGTCTTCGGGTATCATTCCGTCTGTTTCTGTGCACCTGCGAACATGATTCCATCCCGATCTAATCGGCTCCGCTTTTGGGTTCATGATTCAAAACTGTAATTACCCGTTTTCACTCGTTTCATTGGATCAAACTTCAATTTGTTCGCCCTTTCTCTCAAACTACTGGCTTTTAAGTTTCAAACTACCCACTTTCTCTGAGACCGGATTCCGGGCCCACGCGTCGTCCACTCTCGGCGACACAGGCGCGTCAGCGCGTATGTTTGGGGGATGGGTCCACCTGGGACCACTTCTGCTTCTCTCTCCTCAGTCTGTCTCTCTCTCACACACAGGGCGATTTCGGTCTTGGAAACACAAAAATAACCTTCTCTCTCCTACTTTCCCAATTAAAACATACACCCACCTTATTTCCATATTCCAAACTTAAAACTACCCTATATGCAAACTATCCCTTCTTTAATATGTTTCTCCTTTCAATTTGAAATTCAAATATATCATTTAAATCAAAATTATATAATAATATATGTATTAAACAAATATATTTTTTTTTCGAACTTTAAATTTTTCAAATAGGATAATATTAAAAATATATATATATTTTACATAACAATTGAAATATAGTGTATGCGCTAACATATGGTATACACAAAAATAGTATACGAACTGGTATATAATGTATGGTGAATATATGGTGTACACCAATATATTCGTCTATCACAAATAACCACATAAATACAATATAGACACACCAAAATCTAATAATATTATAATGTATACGCCAATATATGGTGTACACAAAAATAGTGTACATGTCAATTGCGGTGTACGTACCACTATATGGTGTACGAATCGTTAGGATACAATGTGCACAAAAATCTAATAATATTTACAGTATATACGCCAACATATGGTTTATACAAAAATGTACATGCCAATAACGATGTACGTACCAATATATGGTGTATACAAAAATGTACACGCCAATAACGGTGTATGTACCAATATATGGTGTACGAACACCACTGTTATTGACATGTACACTATTTTTGTGTATACTAAACCACCCAGTCAAAAATTGGTAAGCCCTTGGAGAAGAATCCTAAACCCTAAATGGTAAATACTAAACCCTAGATAATGATTAATGAACCCATGGAAAAATATTATAAACCTTAAATCCTAAACGCTAAACCCTAAACCATGTGAAATAATATAGGGATAAAATAATAAAAGCTAAAACCTAAATGGCAATCCCTAGTCAAGGATGGTGAACCATTGGAAAATTTCATAAACCCTAAACCCTAATTGCTATACCCTAGTCAAAGATTGGTACATCCTTTGGGAAGAATCGTAAACCCTAAATAGTAAATACTAAACCCTAGTCAAAGATTGATGAACCCATGAAAATAATTGTAAACCTTAAACCCTAAACGCAAAACTTTAGTCAAAGATTAGTGAACCATGAAAATAGCGTACATGCAAGTATATGGTGTATGCGCCAATATATGGTGCACAAATATATGATCATATCATACTTATCTATCTTTAACACTAGTGTTTATCTATATATCATTTTCAATAAATAATGGTGTATCAATACGCTATATTATACAGTGTACACATCAATAATGTACACTAAAGATTTTGTATACGTGTTATGTGGTGTATGCATCAAAGGTATATTACGTTATCTGGTGCATGTCACCAATTTTTACAATTTTATGATCAGAAGTTTAGAGATTATTTAGATTTAGATATAAAGTTTAAAAATTTAGATATTTTTGGCCAGTTTTCATATATAACACTAAATAAAGTTTTTACTTCTTTTAATAGTATATTTTTCAAAATGAACGCCCATCACATTTTTCATCCATGTCGAACACCAAAAATCAGCAAAAGAGAAACACATGGATAATAAACTAATTAATCATCAACATTAAATCCTAAACCCTAAATACTAAACCCTAAATGGTAAATACTAAACCCTAGTTAGGGATTTATGAACCCATGGAAAAAATAGTAAACATTAAACCCTAAACACTAAACCATGGGGAATAAAATAGGGAAAACATAATAAAGTTTAAAACCTAAATGGTAATCCCTAGTCAAAGATGGTGAACCCGTGGGAAATAGTCATAAATCCTAATTTCTAAACCCTAGTCAAAGATTGGTACATCCTTTGGGGAGAATCTTAAACCCTAAATAGTAAATACTAAACCCTAGTAAAGGATTGATGAACCCATGAAAACAATTGTAAACCTTAAACCCTAATTGCTAAACTTTAGTCAAAGATTGGTGAACCATGAAATAGTGTACACGCAAGTATATGGTGTATGCGTCAATATATATGGTGCACAAATATATGATAATATCACACTTATCTATCTTTAACACTATTGTTTATCTATATATCATTTTCAATAAATAATGGTGTACCAATACGCTATATTATTATACAGTGTACACATCAGTAATGTACACTAAATATTTTGTATACATGTTATGTGGTGTACGCATCAAAGATATATTACGATGTCTGATGCATGTCACCAGTTCTTACAATTTTATGATCAAACGTTTAGAGATTAATTAGATTTAAATTTAAAGTTTTAAAATTTATAATTTTTGGCCAGTTTTAATATATAACACTAAAAAGGTTTTTTATTCTTTTAATAGTATATTTTTCAAAATGTACGCCCATCACATTTTTCATTTATGTCGAACACGAAAAATCTGCAAAAATGAAACACATGGGTAATAAACTAATTAATTATCAACATTAAGTCATAAACCCGAAATACTAAACCCTAAATGGTAAATACTAAACCCTAGTCAAGGATTTATGAACCCATGGAAAAAAAAGAGTAAACATTAAACCATAAACACTAAACCCTAAACCATGGGAAATAATATAGGGAAAAAATAATAAATTTTAAAACCTAAATAGTAATCCCTAGTCAAAGATGGTGAACCCATGGGAAATAGTCATAAACCCTAAACCCTAATTGCTAAACCCAAGTCAAAAATTGGTACATCTTTTGGGGAGAATCCTAAACCCTAAATAGTAAATACTAAACCCTAATCAAGGATTGATGAACCCATGGAAACAATTGTAAACCCTAAACCCTAATTGCTATATTTTAGTCAAAGATTGCTGAACCATGAAAATAGTGTACACACAAGTATATGGTGTATGCGCCAATATATGGTGTACAAATATATGATCATATCACTCTTATCTATCTTTAACACTAGTGTTTATCTATATATCATTTTCAATAAATAATGGTGTACCAATACGCTATATTATACAGTGTACACTAAATATTTATTACAATAGTAATATGGTGTACACTAAATATTTTGTATATGTGTTATGTGGTGTACGTATTAAAGGTATATTATGATATATGATGCATGTCACCAATTTTTATAATTTTATATGATCAGAAGTTTAGAGATTAATTAGATTTAGATTTAAAGTTTAAAAGTTTAGATTTTTTTGGCCAGTTTTCATATATCAGACAGCAAACCATCATGCCTCTTAAAAAATATATATATATATATATATATTTTTTTTAACAACTAAATATTTTATGGGAAATTGCATTCAATATACATAAAAAAAACACAATATTAAGGATCTAACCATTACAAAGGTTTGGCTACGATATACTACATATATTCTATAATAATTACAACAATATCCTCCTTCACTCTTCCCTTTTCCTAATAGCTCGGCTTATGGCTAAAATTCAGCTCAATCTGAGCTGATATGTAAATTTAATATTTATAAATCTCTTAGAGAGGAGAGGGACGAATCCGGTGAGAAGGGCCAAGCAGAGGAAAAAGGCAATGGAGAACGGCGAGATAGAAGAAGGAATGATAACGGCGGAGGAAATTCCGATGTCGGAAGTAGCGACTGAAACAATAGCACCACCGCGAGAGGCTGGGAAACTCCACTCGAATTGCTCCGTGAGAGCAAAACCTCCGTGGAGGAAATCGTCACTAGGATGCTCTCAATAAAAAAAGAAGGAAACCAGAAATCCGAGATTCTGGAACTCGTCACACAAATGTGCCTCAATTTTCGAATTTAATAAATCTTTTAGATGTTAGGATAATGATGTGATGTTTTCCTTCGGCTGAAATAAAAAATAATCGGCTTGGCTCTTTATATTAGAAAATATAAAAAGCTTCTCTTTAAAACTTCCGCCGAAAATGCAATGGCCTTGTGGGAAATTTCCAGCGTGTGTGGAGTACGCTCCAATTTCAGAAACGCTATTGACATTTACTTAATTATAGAGCCCAATACTATTATTCACCAAATTCTCCCATATTTTATTTTATATTAAATTAGTTAAACAACAAAAAGAGAAAAAAAAAAAAAAAAACAAAAACAAAACAAAAAGTCGTGTTCTTGGTTTTCTCTCCTGCTTCCTCTCTCCTCTCAATTTCTCTCTCCTATACTTCCACAAAATTAAAATAGCGATAAAGTCTTAACACATAATCGGCAAAATCCAAGTTCTCAATATTTCTTA